TTTGGGAACCCATCTATCTCAATTTATCATTTTAACGATTTTTGTTTAACCTAAATATTTTTTGGAAATCTGAAACATTATAAGAGCTTAAATCATCTCATTAAAGTATTTACAATAATGCGTAAGTATTTTCTATTACCAAACACTATAACGTAAAAATTGAAAATTTAAAAAAACGAAGTCACAAGAGGCTGCATCCATGGATATGCCTTTGCCTGTTATAAACATATTATCGATAAGATGATATTGATAGTGTCAATCCCTATAAAAATTTGATGTTTACCTCATGCTGAATGAATATTTACCTCAGCTTCCAACTCACAAGTACAAAAATTACAGCTAAAGCGGGTGAAGTAAAAATGGCCTGCTTTATTGCTGAGCATAATCTGTCTTTTAACATAGCATCTCATTTGAATAAATTGATTTGCGCTGTATGTCCAGATTCGAAAATTGCGGAATAATTATCAATAAGCCGCACAAAAGCTAGAGCTATTATTGTTAATGTAACTGAGCAGACAGCAGAAGAAAATATAATAGAGATGTTACAAAACAATTGCTTTGCATTACTTGTTATGTGGCCAGTCACTCGCGCTCATATTGCCAATCCTTTGACTCGCACCCAAAAAATCAGGGAGCGATGGGCATGACGAGGAGCATGACGTACGGCATGAGCATGACAAGTATTGTTGTCAGACTACGTTCCTGCCTTCTTTCCTCGCTATTTCTCAAAACACTCGACGATGTGTGGCAGGGGGATTAGTATAAACACTGCTCCACAAAAACACCAAATCTATAATTTAATCATAAAATCTCTTGACTGTAATTTCTTCAATTTCATTTCAACTGTAGTTTTTCTTGTTCTTGTATCCAAGTAATCATTATGTAATTATAAGAAAAAGTTGTATTTACTCGTTTATTTGTAAATATTGCGATTTACTAATAAAAGTTTTTTTTTTTGTAATAAAAATGTTATGCTATATTTCGAAACAATTGGATATTAAAAATCAACACTGCTAAAACGCTAAACAAATTTCCCGTACAGTAGCGGATCCATCACTCGTTCACTATACAATATATATAATGTTACTGGCCTATTTCCTGGTTTGCATCTTCCATATAAATTACCGACTTCAATATAAATTATTAAGAATAACTCAAAAACTGTTGGTCAGATCTTGACCAAATTTATATGGGACCACATGAGAAGCACCACCTTTCAAATAAAAAGCAATCATCGAAATCTGTTCATCCAGAAAAAATTTATGAGGTAACACACATAAAAAAACATACAGTCGAATTGAGCACCTCCTCCTCTTTGAAGTCGGTAAAATAAGGGTTAAACAAGCACACACTTTACCTGACGATTCGTGATTCGTGTCTATTGCAATCTATAGAAAGTCTCAATCAATTTCATGCCAAAGAAATTGATTAAAATTGGGCCTGTGGCAGTAACATGATCGTTGGTGGGTTTATTGCTCCTAAGTGGTGCCATCGCAGAAATTATATTTTGCGGGTGCAATCTTGATTATTGAATGGGTTCTATGCTTATGAAATTTGAACATCAAGAACTTCACGTTGGATCGATGAAACAAGTGATCCAAATCATTAATTTGTCCGTTTTTGTAGCTTTGAACTTGAGATAATAAAGTCATTAACTCTCTGTTGGGTTCAGTCATCGTTAAAATATCCCAAAAACTGCAGATGTGCATCAACCACTGAGCTCCATATTAGTACGCTGGACTGGCTATATCCTACAAAACATTTGTGCCGATTCGAAGCGCCGCCATTGAGTGTACCGGGAACTAAATTTGACTTAATTTGCAAATGGCCATTGTTTTTATGGAGTATAAAGGTAAGGAAAACCATCCTTGTGTACGAATAAGTGTTTTTCGTTTTTACGAACGCGTCCAACAAAGGTGAAAAAAAAAATCGTCAAAAGTAATTAGAATAAGATGGAGAAATAAACAAAGAGTTAAATACTGTATGATACTTTGCATGGATTGAATTATTTTAAATTCGATTTCTTAATCAAGGTGTCGTAAATTAAATAAATAATTCAAAATAAATTACTCAACATACAGTAGGTCGGAAAAAAGACAAAAGCCGAGGCGAACCATTTTTTGTAATTTTTGTTTACGTCCACTTGGACAACTTTTCACAATGCAAGTTTTCCCATTATGGTTCAATTATTTTATAACGTTTTATAACTATCAACACAATAAAAATATATATAAAAATCACTAATAATTATCTAAAAAAAATCACACTAATAAAATCACGTTTTCTCACAGCAGTTGTTTGGTTATATTTACTTAATTATTTAGACTACATAAAATATTGAGGTTTTGTATACGGCATATGCATGGTATTTTACTAACTACTCATGATTTTTTTTAAATATTTGAACTCAGCACACTTCACTCCGTCTACAACAGCTATGTTCATATCGCAGTTTTTCAGACGCCGGCGCTGCTGTGGTAGGTTTTGGAACATCTATTTTCAGTATACAGTTGGAAACTTTTTCAACTTCCTCCTTTATGATGGTTCTCCTTAACTCTACACTACATAATTGTTTTGCTCATAACGTCTGAGAGTTAGTAATATAATAAAAAGTATTTTTAGTAATAGTGAAAATGTAAAATTCTTTACCGGAAGGGAAGTATGGTAACATTTATTTAAGTTTATATTAAAAAGAAATTCGATAATATAGGCTCTAAAAAAATTGTTACTTATCTTATATTTTAACTGATTAATTTTTATTAAAAACTAACTCTAACATGTTATGAATATGTAGTCACCTATTTCCGCGGTAAATTTCATACGTGGTAATAGTGAGCTCTTCACTAGCGACTTTGTCAACTGAACAGTAAAGTTGGTGTAAAAAACTAGATACACAATCCCATGCAAAAGTTCTAGCTAATTACTACTTTACAAAACTAGTTGCATTCTGCAGCTTCACCTGATTCGTCGTGATGGAAACTAAGGCATGTGCAGGTAGGTACCTACCTAATTTTACTATATTTTACCTATATAGCAGTTTCTTAGGTATTCCACTTAAAATATTGGGTAGGGGTTGAACAGAATAAATAAAACAGGTTAAAATTATACGTTGGTTCTGTTTATTCAACCGCCTCACTACAGATGTGCATAAAAATAAAACGACAAACACAAAGTTTGTGATTTTAATATTCCACCAAAAATAACTAATATGTTGTAAAAATCTCGTAAGCTCTCCTTAAGAGGTATTTTGCAATTTTGCTTCATAATTCAATCTAATAGTCAAATAAGCTTCGATTATTAATATAATAATTAAGAGTTTATAGTTTGATAGTGCTGGCGATTCGTACATATATATGTCAAGTATGTTCGAAACATACTTTCGTTTACAATTTTCTTTTCACATGTTTTCGGAAAACTCATTCAGAACGAATACCTATCCCAAAAACATTTTCTTAATCACCCTTTGACGAGGTGCTGCAATAAATCGTTTGAACTAGATGCTATTACAGCACTAGTGTTAGTTTGAAGTGAGGGAAGCCTTTCTAGGTTTTTTATCACTTAATACAATTTTGCCACTTTTTTATTAGCCCATTTTTTGTTCTCTTACATTTTTCAGTTTTTTTCTTTGTTTCGTATCTAATCTTCTCCGAAGTTTTCTTCATTTTTTTTTACTCCCTCGGATATATATATAACATATATCTATAACAGAAACGTTTGCAATTGAGCTACTGGGTACTGGCAATATATCTCTGTAGACACATGACGATGCTTTGCGTACCGGCTTCAATACAACCAACAAACAAATATAATTAGTGTACACATTATGTACTTATCTATGATTAAAATTAATAAAATACCACCCTTTTACCTATTTCTGCTGCTAAACAGCAGTGCTTACACTATCGCTAAACAACAGTGCTTAAATTGCCGCGTTCCAGCCATTTGAGTATAGAGAGCCTGTATAATTATAAGTTTTAAGACATTTTATCTTAGTCCTCAGGGGTTAAAACACATTTTTTTATAGAATTAGGGTGACAAATGAGCACACAATCCACCTGATGGTAAGTGGTTGCAATGGCCCATAGACATCTGCATCTATCTTCGTTTGCAGAAATGTTGTCAGCAGTTCCGACTAAGAAAGAATGCCTCTTTTCCAGTTAAAAGGGTCTCCGGTTCTCTACACTCACCATACAAAACACAGCAGCATTAAGCTGCTATTTTACGCTGGTATTCTTTAAAAGCGTGGTCCTTCCCCGGTTGAACGAACCCATTCGTGCTATAACTATACTATTGATATAGCTGCAGCATGGCTCTACCACGTAAAATGTAACTTTCTTTGTTTGAAGATGACTGTAGGTGACCAAGTACCGCAGTAGCCGTTTATTATTTAGTGATACTGTAAGTTCCTTTGTTACTTTCGTTTTATAAAAAATATACACCACGTGGATGAGAACAACAAGTTGTACACATTTGAACATGCGCAAACGAAATGAACATATGTACAGTAAAATATATAATTAAGAAAATACGCACAGGCATAAATAATGTGGGTATTGTTCCAAAACGCAGCTTTACTCTTTGTGCACTTCTATGCGAAAAACATTTTTGTTCAAAGTGCTTGCTACATGTAGTTGAATTTTTTTGGGAACCCATCTGTCTCTATTTATCATTTTAACGATTTTTGTTTAACCTAAATATTTTTTGGAAATCTGAAACATTATAAGAGCTTAAATCATCTCATTAAAGTATTTACAATAATGCGTAAGTATTTTCTATTACCAAACACTATAACGTAAAGATTGAAAATTTAAAAAAACGAAGTCACAAGAGGCTGCATCCATGGATATGCCTTTGCCTATTATAAAGATATTATCGATAAGATGATATTGATAGTGTCAATCCCTATAAAAATTTGATGTTTACCTCATGCTGAATGAATATTTACCTCAGCTTCCAACTCACAAGATACAAAAATTATAGCTAAAGCGGGTGAAGTAAAAATGGCCTGCTTTATTGCTGAGCATAATCTGTCTTTTAACATAGCATCTCATTTGAATAAATTGATTTGCGCTGTATGTCCAGATTCGAAAATTGCGGAACAATTATCAATAAGGCGCACAAAAGCTAGAGCTATTATTGTTAATGTAACTGAGCAGACAGCAGAAGAAAAAATAATAGAGATGTTACAAAACAATTGCTTTGCATTACTTGTTGACGAAAGCACAGATAAGTCTACGATAAAACATTTAGCGCTTGTCGTAAGAATAGTAAAATTAGATTTCAGCGTTGAAGATAGATTTCTGACTTTAATACCAATCGTAGATTGTACAGCAACAGCGTTGTATGGCAAAATAGTAGAATATTTTGTTGAAAAAAATATTCCTTACAAATCAAACATGATAGGCTTTGCTTCTGATGGCGCTAACGTTATGTTTGGAGATAAACATTCATTGGTCACTTTGTTTAAAAATGACATACCTCACCTTTTTACTATGAAGTGCATTTGTTATTCTTTTAACCTTTGCGCATCATACGCATGTGAGAAATTGCCAAGGGGCGTGGAAGATTTCTGTAGAGACGTATATAATCATATACAAAATTCTCCAAAACGTATTGGAGATTTCAAAACATTTCAAGCATTCACAAATATTAAACCACACAAATTGCTCCACCCTAGCCAAACCAGATGGTTGTCACTTATTAAGGTAGTAAATAGGCTTCTGGAACAATTACCAGCTATAAAATTGTATTTTTAAGCTGCAGTTCATGTAGATAGATTACTTTCTGCGCAATCAATTCTCTCGACAACTGAATTGTACCTGGAGTTTTTGAAATTTGCATTACCTATATATACCGTTCTCAATAAAGAAATGCAATCCAAGACTCCGAAATTATATTTACTATACGACAAAATACTGACCGCATACACAACTATCTTGGAATGCTTTGTACAAACTGAATATTTGAATCTCACTGAACAAAAAAAAATGAATCACAAAACTAAAATATTATATCTTGACTTCTCGAGTGAGCAGAAACATTTACCGTTGCAACATATATACGTTGGTGGAATGGTGCCAAATCTGATCAGAAGAAAAAGAGAAATAGGAGAATTAGAGGAAGAATAGCTGAAAATTTTCTACTTAAAGTGTAAGGAGTTTTATATGGAGGCTGCAAAACAGATATTAAAAAGGTTTCCTTTTGACGACAAAGACCGTCAAGCATTAAAATGTCTGAAGATGCTAAATCCTACAGCAATTCTGTATCCTGAAATAAAAAAGAAATTCCCTTCCATTGCAGATTTACATTATTTCTTCCCAAAGATTTGTCCAAATAATATAACGGAACTGGATAGAGAATGGCGGGTGTTAAGAAATGTCGATTTTTCTTTCAACCAAAACAAAGCTCCCGATATTGTCGACTTTTGGAAACATGTACAAGAATTAAGAAATGGAGACGAATCTCAAACATTCCCTACATTGTGTGAATTGGTAAAAAAGCTTTTGTGCCTACCACATAGCAGTGCCACCGTGGAAAGGTTATTTTTAGCTATAAATATTATGAAAACCAAATTACGCAACAGAATATCGACTACAGCTATTAAAGGAGTATTACACACTAAATCCGAAATAACCGATTGCTATTCATTTGAAGCCACAGAAAGGCACATGAAGAAATTCAACAAAAATATGTATGATTTTAAAAATAAAAATGAGTGTGAAAATATTGAAGATGAGGCAATTGGAAATGAAACTGGAAAATAATTTTACTTTGATTTTTGTTTTTTGTTGTTGTGATTATAAAAATATCAATGTTTGTGAGTTCTAGTAACTAAGAAAATTGTTTATTATTTAATTATATGAGCAAAATTATGAAATCTGCCTTTTTTTTCTTTGCCTACTGCTTTCTACTGTTTTTTTAGGCGAGTTGTTGTTTTTAAGTTTTTTGAGGTTGGCAACAGTGTGACCATATGTGGCAGGTTCCTGCCATTTTGGCAGGATTGGCCTCTTATTTTAGCCTGTGGCATGATCAGTTGAAGTTTTATAAAACCTGGCAGTATTTGGCATTATTGGGGTATTAAAAATATATTTCATCATGGCAACTTAAAATGATGAAAATGGTAGCCCCTAGATACTTCGCCAGCATGTTGGGGATTTCCCTATATTTCTCGGTTTCTCGTATTATGCTTGTATCACATTCAATAAACAACTTTAAAAAAAATTTTTTTTATGAAATTCATAATCTTAACACGAGTTGGTTAGTATTTCAATCAGTCATAAAAGAGACGTACTTTAGTTTGTTATAGAATTAGATTTCATTATCAACATAGGTGGCGGTGATGAAGCGAAAATAAGACAGGGCGTTTCGAGCGAAGTGGAAGCAAGATCTTTTATTTCCATCATGGATCTCAAAAGCTAAAGATGATCCAGACTGTGTAACTGTAAATTGGCTAGTAAACATTAACAAAATATGAGTGGATTCCGCATGCGAAAGAATATTCGCTAAAATAAATTTAATTAAGACAAAAACACGAAACAGATTTATAAACTAACTAACATGTCGCGTATATCTTGTACGTTAAACAAGCATGGCGATTGCATTGCATTCGAACCAACGAAAGATATGTTTAATTTTAATTTAAAAAATACAGCATTTATATGTGTATTTTGACTTTTATTAGTTTAATACAATGTTAAATAAAGTAGGCAGTATTTAGGCATTTTTCATTACAGATTTTGGCAGGATTTGGCAGGTTTTGGCAGGTTTTTTACCAAAGTGTGGCAGGATCTATATTTTAAAGATGGTCACACTGGTTGGCAACACTGCAGTCAGGACACTGACAGTAGATAAAAAAATAAAATAGGTTAGAATAGAATCTTGTCTTTAATTTCCTCAATAGTAATTATATTTGGAACGGATTAATAATGTCTAATAGTAATTTATTCTTAAAGTCTGGTTTTGTCCGCGCACCGCTTCAAAATGGAGTCGGACGATACGTCTGTCAATTACAACGAATTGTTTTGAAATTTTGTAAAAGCCATGGAGGAAGTAGAGGCCTACGGTAAATGTTATTCTAAAAGGTTATATAGAAATAACATAGAATACGAAATTAATAACTTTCTATGAAAATTAAAATAATGTACAAGCATTGCAATTAAGTTATAATTTACTTATCACATAATTATCTACAGACTACTTGTATTAATGGTCATATAAAAATTTAAAAACTTATTTTTCAGTGACTTTATAGAACAAGATTTAGTTGATTTTGCTTCAAATAACCCTGGTGTTGTGGTCTACTTGAAGCCTCGTAGACACCGCAGTCCAGTTGTTGTCGCCGAATATTGTAAGTGTATTTTTATGGTATTACCCTCTTGGAACGGCGTCAGAGAATCCATCACCCTATTGGTGATGTATAATACCAGAAAAATTGATAGCTCCTGATTGATGCAATATTTTTATCATTTAAATTTTGTACAAATTGCCAACCTCATATACCAAGCACTCCTGTTCTGGTGGGAGAGTCCTGTGAGCCCTTTCTATGTATCCACTTTTGGTACACTACTTTCGGTTATTGTCTTATCTACACTGGGTAAAAAACTCAGACAGAGAATGGGCATTTATATGTGGTAGAGCTATGCTGCAGCTATATTAGTAGTATAGTTGTAGTACGAATGGGTCAGCTCGACAGGAGAAGGACTATGTTCTCACAGAATACCAGCATAAAATGGCAGCTTGACACTGCTGTGTTTCATATGGTGAGTGTAGAGAACCGGAGACCCATTTCAATTGAAAAAGGCGTTCCATCTTAGTCCTCAGGGGTGACGATGCATCTGCATTTTGATTCTTTATTGAGGATAAATGTAGATGTCTATGGGTCACAGTGACCACTTACCATCAGGTAAGTATACTCGTTTGTCACCCAATCCTGTAAAAAAAAGGTACATTAATGGCACATGTTTGGTATATTGATTGTCAGCCTATGTAGCATGATGATTAAGACAGGTCCTACCTAAGGCAGGAAATATTGAGCAACAGACTTAAAGGGTGATAAAGATTTTTGGAACTAAGTTCCTTATCACATGCTACAAATTTGGCAGATAGTGTTAGGTGAGAAAAAGTCTCCCTTTCTATAGGCGAGCGAGATGGAATAATATCCATCTCCCTCGCACTTTTTCTTAACTCACCACGAAAGAAATATTATTTTTAAACAATGCTTCATTTGATTTGTATTTGTTAATCAATAATATAATAATTTGTCAATAGTAATATAATAGTATATTATTATTTATAAATTATTATCCCCTATTATTATTTAAATTATATATTTTAAATTATAGTTATCCTATATCAATGTAAGGTATAAATTATTTTTATCTTTTAGTAAACGGTGATAGGGTGTGGATGAACATGCATAACAAAACGCATTCAGAAATAACCAAGTGGATTGAAGTTTTACGCACGCAACAAGGAGATATAGCATCAACCCGCCTCCGCAAATATCAATACACCGACTACCCGTCGGTTCAAGGTCCTTGGACACCTTTTACATTTAAAGATCCAAAACTTAATGTTGCTGAATTGCCGAACGAGGAGTTTGGCGCCAACAACAGGTTGCCAATGTCTGCTACAGAGCAATTGAGAATTATGTTTGAAAAACAGACACTTGATGTAAAACCACAGGAAGAATAAGTTATAATCGTCATTCTATAAAAATAATATATCTAAATCAATTTAAGAATCAGAAAATCAGAAGATGAATACTATTCCTCGTGTATCTGGCTATAATATACAAAAATAATTTTTCAAATCGGACTAGTAGTTCCAGAGATTGGCGTTTTTAAACAAAGAAAAAAAAACCCTTCCACTTTATTATATTAGTATAGATTGTCTGTTGTAAATAGAATTATCGTAGTTTTTAGATATTAATTTGTACATTAGTTTAGTTGTTATTAATAAATACATAAGATATAATAGTATTTTTTTTGCATGGGGGTTATATGGTAATATATTTACAAACAAGCGGGCATTCCACTAATGTTTATGATGTCTACTGCAGCTCATCGACACCTGGAATCAAATCAAGTAAAAAAGGCCACATGTAATGTGTGGTGGTGGTGTGAGAATATTTACTCCCCCATATCGTCCCGTGGGTGTCGTAAGAGGCGACAGAGGGAAACTGAAACAGATGGACAGCATTATCCTTAACTCACTTGCCAAGTGTGGTAACTTTTGCAAAATGCTGTAAATGATAGATAGAAATGGACTGCAATATTTTTTTGATTAATTTATTTTTAATACTACCTTTCGAAAATTACTAAAATGGCCTAGTTATGCCGTCGTTACTAGACATTCAGCAAACAAATACATATATAAAAACTGTTAGTCATAGGGCTGCACATCAGAAGTGAAAACTTTTAGAATCACACACCTGTAAACGTTACTTTTTATACATGTATCTTCTTTCCCCATCCCAAAAGTATGCCTAAAGAGTTTTCGCCTCAAAAATAAAACATACAAACATAGCTACAATACTTCATGCGTTTATTTTTGAAAAAAAAAACATTAACATTGATCTAGTTTTGAATGAGGCGCAGGGGAATATAGATGAAGGTTTCATCAAATAAACAGAGCTGCAGTTATCTTTTAGGAGTCTAGTGCGGTCATCAGTCTCAGCACTATAGCTCAATAGATAATTAGAAATCTATTCTCATAATTTCTGCTATTATGTTATCATTATCAGCATGTAATTGAATCAAGAGTGGATAACAACAACATGCAAGCATTTCACTATTAGAAATAACATTTAAGATATAAATCCACCTCATACTGGCAAGCATGGTGTAGAATAACTTCTCACTTCTAAATGGGGAGATATCTTTAGTATTATTGACGCTTTAACTTAGAAAACTACTTTAAGATAGACGAAGTGCTGCTTACATATAAAGTGATACCAAAACCATACGCAATTTATAAGTCCTCACACACACTCACTTAAGAGGATTGTGAAGCTATAAATTTTCATATAAAAAGCGATAACGTTTTCCCCCCCCGTAAATATAATCCAATTTTAATAATTTTTGGAAATGTAGATATGACAAAAAACTAGGCCCGTTTAAATATTGTATACAATATAAGTTATTAGCATCTAAATATTTATATTTTTGACTTAAAAACTTCCTTGAGCGTTTTTATTTTTTTTTAATTAAATTAAACTGATTACTAAAAAAGTAAAACGTACAGGCCTAGATTAAAGTGTACTGAATCTAATAAGACTAAAATTGTCTTATTTTGTAAAGTTTTAGGGGGGTAAAAACGTTATCGCCGGAAACAATATTTCACAAAGAGAATGTAGGCAATTGTCTTCAAGACTTGCAACTCTCTCTATCGCACGATACGGGTCGGGGGGCAGGGGCATATTGTATGTGTGCATGATGTTAGGGGTGTTGGAGCTGTGGTAGCTCAGATGGTTAGCGCTCGCTATAAGTTTCACAGTAGGTACGCGAGAAACCCGGGTTCGATCCCGCCGGCATAAATGAAATTGTTAATTGCAATTTTAAGTGCTGATTTACAACGTGCTCAGCGGTGAAGGAAAACATCGTGAGGAAACCTGCATGTCTGACAAATAAGAAAAAAAATATATTTCGAAGACATGAGAAGTTCGCCAACACCCATTGGGGCAGCGCAGCGGACCTTTCCTTGCCCTAAAACCCTCTCAGAAATGAGAGGAGGCCTGTACCCAGCAGTGAGACGTGTATATAGACTGGAACTTTTAGAGGCGTTATCGATATTATTATCGCCTAGGAAGGAGAAAATAATATCGATAGCCTAGAAAGATAATACCTCTCCTGAGAAACTTAATGTCTGTGATTATTTAGTTATTAATTTAGTCTTTATTGAATAAGGATTTTAAATTAAAAATATTTCGAGTTTACAATAAAGTAGGTAGGGAAATAAATAAAAAGTAACACCTTGAAGAAATTATTATTGTTTATTATTACATATTACTTAATTACACTCTTTCTCGAACTGCCATTTCTCTAGGGACTCTAGGGTCAATCATTTCTGGTACATATAATAAACATTAAAAATGAAATGAGTAAAGTCTTGGCTGCATTTGTGCTGCCCAAAAGTGATCATAGTATTTATTTTTTTCCTACGCCGAACTACATGGTTTATTAAATTAAGTACGAAAACATGAAAAAAGTTGTGTCCATACTACGAAAAAACAAAATTGCCCACCAGTGATATGTAATTATCCCTGGACCTGATAATAGTAATCATGGTTTCTTTTTTCTTTCTGTCCTTCTCGTATCAAACAAAATTTGATCTGTGTTTAGTTATGGCCTCCAAATGTAGCATATTAGAATCAGAAATAAGACATTTTCATTTAGAGAATCATGTCCAATAAGCCCATCGGGAGTTGTCCCTAAATAATAATCTTAGGAATCAATAAACAGTCCACACTCCCAAAATTTTAGATTATGTTTCCTAATCTTGATTCTTTGCAAAATGTTAGTTTAATGAAATTGCAATCGAAATTTTTTTTTTATTTGCTAAATGATTTATTTCTACAATTTTTCGCCTGTACTACCTACTTATCTGACTCAATCTTGACTAACTTTGGTTCAATAATTAGCTCGACAGTCGAAGACGGTGATGTATTATATATATATACACACCGGCACAATTAGCGGAACACAAAAAAAGCAGGATTTTAAAATCTTTTACTTGAGGAACTGGCCAGTTATGATATTTTTTTAATTTATTGTCAAATTTGAAAATAGAAAATTAGATGACATACACTTTTTTCATTCATTTGTTTTATTTTCCCGAACAATAAGTTTTGTCAACTTGTTCGAGTAATAACTACGTAATTGTAATTTTTTTGAAAAATTGCACTTAATGGTTTTTTATAAATTTGTTATTCTATAGGCAATTTTGTTTATTAAAAGCTCTTTATTATGCCTGACTTAACATCACTGAAAATCATTAGGGCTGATGAAATGAGAAGAAATGGCCATACCTACAGATCGATTGCCTCAAGGCTTCGTCGACCAGTATCAACGATTCATCGCAGCATCCAGCGGTACAGATCGTCTAATTTTCTTGTGAGGAGGAGGGGTCAAGGTAGAAAAAGATGTACATCGAGGCGAGATGACAGTTTTTTTACAACTTGGAGTTCGTAGGAATACGCGATTAACGGCTGTACAAGCTCGAAATTAACTGGAAGACGTTCGAGGAGTACGAGTAAGTGAGCGTACAGTTCGCAGGAGATTTGAAGAAGTTGGTTTAGGGTCGTATATACCTCCCCCCCGAACGGGTTCCCGCCTTGTCGTGGCGGGGGGGCTTAGTAGCCGTGGCTTGGTCACCCACGGTGAACAAAGAGGAACCCCTTGGCTGGCCCTTGGTGTAGGGCCGGCCCGAGGTGGCCGCTCCGAGTGGGCTTGGGAAGCCCACTTCGGATGTGTGTCGGGGGGCTGCGGTGAAAGGGGAGTCCGCACCCTCTACCGCTGCAGCCGAGGTGGAGTCGCGGAGGAAGAGGAGTGTTGGTATGGCGATGCGCCACTCGCCCTATCCTCCGCGACTCAAACGGGGCCGCACCGTTGATGCGGTGGTGGTGGGGCCGCGGGGGGAGAGGAGTGTCGGTATTGCGAGGCGCCGCTCTCCCTACCCTCCGCGACCGAAACTTGGTTGGCGGCGGAGCCCGAGACCAGATCCGCCGTTGGGGCCAGGAAGGTCGGTGCTTCTGAGTGCTAGTTTTTCCTGGCCCCATGGCCTTCGCGCATCGGACACGGGGGCGTCCGTTGCGCATTGGAAATTGGAGGCCGAGGAGGAGGGCGCACCATGTGTTCTGGTGCGCCTTACCTGAGACGGAGGTGGGGGAGTAGTGTTCCTCTCCCGAGTAGGGGCCGCCATGGGGCGGCCAGCGCAGGTGGGGCCGCGGAAGTGTGCGAAAGCGTTCCCGTGGCCCTGCCAATATGCGACGAGTGTGGAACACCATGGGGTTTTAGTCGGTGCGAGTCCGACATAACCCGTCCTTGCCCCCGCGAGGCGGGTATGCGTAGGCATTTCCCCATGTAAAAAAAAAAAGGGTCGTATATACCTGCCAAAGGCCCAAAACTTGAGAGACGTCACCGCGTAAACCGATTAAGCTATGCGCGAGAACATCGTCATTGGGATTTGAACGAATGGCAGCAGGTTCTCTTTACTGATGAGTGCAGAGTTCTTTTAAAACAGATCGATGGAAGACAGCGAATATGGAGACGCAAAGGAGAACGCCACATACAGTCTAATTTTGAATACACAGTGGCTTATGGTGGCGGCTCGATTATGGTTCGGGGAGGGATATGTTTGGGAGCTCGCACGGAGTTAGTGATAGTCACAGGAGGGACCATGACAGCAGATCGATACATCAGAGATATTTTAGAAGAACATTTGCCCAATTTATTGGTGACGACTTTATTCTAATGCAAGATAATGCTCGTGCTCATAGTGCACAATCGGTACAGGCATATCTGAGCCACGTAGGTATACCGGTGATGCAGTGGCCAGCAAATTCCCCCGATATGAATCCGATAGAGCATGTCTGGGACTTGCTAAAAAGAAGGGTTAAATCCAGAATGCCACCCCCCAACAATCTGAATGAACTTGGAAACGCATTACTTGAGGAGTGGGAGCGGTTGCCTCAAGAAATCATCGATAACATAATCTGTAGCATGCCCAGACGAGTGTCAACCGTAATCAGAGCAAGAGGGGGAAACACTCGTTATTAATTTTGCTTTAATTTTATTGTTAAATCATTTAATGCTTACTTTTTTTATTTTTTGTGATGGTTTATAATCATCTTAAAATTTCACTTATTTCAAATTTCTTTATTTTTCCATAAAAAATTAACGAAGACTTTTCAAAGTCGTTGTTAAAAGATGTTAATCAATTTGTTATTTTGTGTCTAATTACATTTTCGTCAAATATATGCGTTATTATCTCATAGTCTCACTTTTTTTTCTGTTCCGCTAATTGTGCCTGTGAGTATATATCTCTTTATATATAAATATTACGTGTCACGTTGTTTGTCCGCGATAGACTCCTAAACTACTGAACTGATTTCCCAACTTGAGAGATAGGATAGTTTTTATCCCGATAAATGATCCTCAAAAATTTTTATTGCGAATTTAAGGATTTTTATAGGAAGGTTCGTTGGAAAGGGCAGAACAACGTCTGCCTGTTGAGCTAGTATAATATATTTACATGACTTATTATTATGGTATTCTTTTTAATTCTCTTTGTCAGATTCGATTCCTTCGCCAACTGAAGTACCTACATTTTTTTTATTGTATAGGGTGACAAACGAGCACACAGTCCACCTGATGGTAAGTAGTTGCTGTGGCCCAAAGACATCTACATTTATCCTCGTTTGCGAATCAAAATGCAGATGCGTTGCCACCCGTGAGGACTAAGATGGATTGCCTCGTTTCCAGTAAAAAGGGTCTCCGGTTCTCTACACTCACCATACGAAACACAGCAGTGTTGACCTGCTATTTGACGCTGGTATTCTGTGAGAGCGTGGTCCTTCCCCGGTCGAGCCGGCCCATTCGTGCTACAAATATATACTAATATAGCAAAAACATCGTCCTTGCACATTATTGTCTGGTAATTATTTGCCTATCTCGGATAACATTTTATGGCTAACTAACGCGGGCGAATTCGTGGGTGAAAAACTAGTTTACCTATATAATTTGGTTCATCGTTTAAATTTTTGTGAGAGCGTAGTCGTTCCCCGGTCGAGCCGACCCACTCGTGCTACAACTGTACTACTAATATAGCTACAGCATGGCTATACCACGTATAGAAATTTTACTAATCAAATCTTTGTATCTCGAAAATTTTATCATTTTCCTTGGAATACGAACAACTTCTTCTAACGGACTAATATTATTACTGGACAAGTGGTAAAATTAAAAATTTTGTACAACCGATTTCAATAAAACTCAATTACAACATAATATATGTAATGCTCTCTTGAAGAACTACAGACCGATTTCCCTTCTGAGCCGCGTCCACGTGCTGTTTTCGAGAGTCATTACGAATCGCCTCGCACGCAGACTTGACGACTTCCAGCCTCCCGAACAAACCGGTTTCCGAAAGGGCTTTAGCACCATAGACCACATACATACCCTTCGGCAAGTTGTACAGAAGTCCGAGGAGTACAATTTGCCACTATGGTTGGCGTATGTGGACTATGAGGAAGCCTTTGATTCCGTCGAAATTTGGGCGGTGCTGCAGTCCCTTCAGCGGTGCCAAGTTGACTGTCGGTATATCGAAGTGCTGAAGTGCTTGTACAGTAGAGCTACGATGGCTATCCGAGTACAGAACCAGAGTACGAAACCTATCCAATTGCAGAGAGGTGTAAGACAGGGTGACGTTATATCCCCGAAACTCTTCAGCACTGCATTGGAAGACGTTTTCAAGCTTCTGGACTGGAAAGGATACGGTATTAATATCAATGGCGAATACATCACTCACCTTCGGTTTGCCGACGATATAGTCCTTATGGCAGAATCGCTGGAGGACCTAAGCACTATGCTCAATGACCTCAATAGTGTCTCCCAACGAATAGGTCTTAAGATGAACATGGACAAAACAAAGATTATGTTTAATGTCCATGTCACACCTATGCCGGTAGTTGTTGGGAGCACTAAGCTCGAAGTTGTTGACGAGTAAGGTACGTTGGGGTAATACCGGACGGATTTTCGAATAGTTGGAAGAGTCTGCCAAAAACTTTAATTTCCCGACATTCGTATACGTCAGATTTATGGAACATGGAGCAAACCGTTAATCGTTAAACGTAGTTTAGCTCTGAGAATCTATTGCTTGTGTAAACTCAACGGTTTCTGCTTTAAAGGTGTGCGAAAACTAGACATACTTTTTTATATGCATAATGAAAAATTGGCCATTAAGGGGTAAGACCGGACTTAAATTAAAACCACTTCTACTGCTTAGAGAAAAAAGTTTATAAAAGAGATTTGTCCTATCTTTAACGCTCAAAAACATATTTCAATATGATCTATAAATTACTAGAAACATAAATGTTCCAAACGATTTTCTCTTTTTTTGTTTCTTGCCATCCGATCTTATCCCTGATATAAAGAAATTGTAATTTTATGTTTCTCAAACTTTGTTATGACATAAGATGGAATTACTCAAAATAAGAGAAAGATCGGATGCATTTGATTTTATATGGAAAAAAAAATAACAGTAAGGACTGGCGAAATGCCCTGGGATAATGCAGGAGTTAAGGAAGATATAAATATTTTAACAAAGCGGCATTTATTATTATAAATTATTTTTTAAATAATTATTATAAATTACATTTTGATTTGTAATAGAGCATAGATATAGATGTCTATGGGCCGCAGCAATCACTTAACATCAGGTGGACTGTCTGCTCCTTTGTCACCCTTAAGTATCCTATAAAAAAATGTATTTTAATGTGTACTTAAAAGTAATAAAACCATCGTATTGTTTTATTACTTTTAAATATACAGACTTGCTAACGAGACTGAGTCCCATAGTCACTTGCGTAATCAACGAAAAAATATACACGACCAATGAAAGTTTAACAACCACTGCCATATTTGTAACAAGCAAAGATCGGATAATATTCATCCGATCTTCACTCACGATGGGAAACATCGGATCTCGGCCTACAGCGATCTTACCCCTGCATGGACCAGCTTTATTTAGCTATAACTTCATAAAAATTAGTATCCACACAAAATAATAACAAAAGAAGCCATATTCTCGCTAAAAATCGTAAATAAAAGTGATAGGGAAAGATGGGATGGACAAAAATAATACAAAAATTACATTGTTTTATAAAATGCCACGCAGCACAGGTCCCGCTTGCCGGAGTGACTGGCGCGAACTGAGGGTCGGGGCAAGATGAAATGGCGTCGTGTAGCATATTGTTAGCTTTTCAAAATATAGCATAATTCGCCGGGAATTGGAATCCTACGGTCTTGCCCCATCACCGATCTTACCCCAACGTACCTTAACTTGTCGTAAATGTACGCAAATATAGCTATGAATGAATGAATGCTCCTGCTGCTGGTATCGTAGTGTGCGTGAAAATTAGTGTAATATGTTGTATTTGTGTTGTTCACGCCCGGAGCCCGGCGGGAGGCAGAGCGTGCGTTATGAAACAGATAGCATTTTTGAAAATACCTACTCGCGTCGCGTATCGGCACTTCACAATCCTCTTAAAATTATTTGCAACGAATATGGCTTTTGTTGCATAAGTGTTAATTAAATAGTGGACGGGTTATACAAAGAAAGTAGAAAAATGTGTACACAAGTGAGACAAGAAGTTGAGCATTATTTCGGTGTCACGTGAAATGTTTGTGAAACTTATTTTTGTTAGGCTCAGTTTTTAAATCATCATCATCACCAATAAAGTCCATCTCAAGTCCACTATCAAAAATATGCCTCTCCCAAGGAATGTCAAAAACCATGGTGCCACTCCTGAGCCACCTGTGTCTATCCTCCATCTAGTAGGGTCCAACTTAGATTTCGTTTATCGGATGGGGCCGACACTTGAGAACTTTTCTCGGCTGTGGGATCTTAAAGCTATATGGTCGGCCTTTTACCACTTGAGTTTACCTACTGATCCATTGGGCTATGTTAGTGGTTCTACTATGAAACTAATGTAACTAACACTAAATGCTTAAAGTAATATTGCAAAAATAAATAATAAAGGAAGTTTTAAAAAGCGTTTTTATTTTGTAAAACTGGTGTGCAAAAGCTTAAACAATAGTTTAACATTGTTAACAAAAAAAATAACGTCATCATTTAGGACTGAGAATATAATTTCATATGAATGAATAAGTGAATCAAATCCTCACATTTCACTTCTATTACATTTAATAAACATGATAACAACATTTACCAATATAGATACCTCAATTTCAAAAATTATATGGCTTCACCATTGTATAACATTTGAGTTGGAGTAGTTTCATCTATCGATAGTATAGTTGGTACTCTGTGATAGGCAATTTGCTTACATATGCCTATCTATGCATAAGCCTTCAACATGGAGTCCAACAAGTAAAAATAACCTAAGGTCACGCAACTTATAACTTAGAGGTATTATTATAACATTTCCATATATTTTTATTTTGTATTGACCATAATGACTATAGAAAGTCTACTTAACTAATTGAGGTAATCGATATTCATGAGTTTTGTTTTCTCCTAGAACCCCATTACAAAATATATAATAGAAATATTTGCATTAAGCCTTGATAATGATTTTACTTTTGTATAATATCACTGCATGTCAATGCATGGCATGGCATGACAAATAGATAGACTTGACCTGGGTAAGACTGTATAATATTGCTGTGTTTCGTATGGTGAGTATAGAGAACCAGAGACCCATTTTACTGGTAATTAAGTATTCCATCTTAGCCCTACAGGATGACAATAGGATGTAGATGTCTATGGACCACAGCAACCAGTTACATGAGTTGGACAGTTTGCATATGTCACCCTTATGCAACTTAGAAAACAGTTAGCTCCCCAAATCATTCTGTGAGGTTTTTGTTTTCTTATTAGTGTGACTATTTTTAATATGAATTTTGACATATCTTGGAGACTTGAATTTCTTACCGCAAATATCACACATGTGCTCTTTACCGTCAAAATAGTGCACTCGACGCATGTGCGTCATTAAATACGATTTACATTTAAGTAATGATTTACAAATGTAACACTGAAATTGTCTGGTGCTGTGACAATTTTTTTTGTGAGTAGTCAGTGCTATGCGATTAGGTAACAATTTTTCACATTCATCGCAAGGTAGCTTCTCATTAACTTTGGTATTCATTCGCCAGGCTTTTTTTACACCATCATGTACAAACATTTTATGTCTTTGTAGATACCTATAACATTTGAATAATTCTCCACATTTAGAACATTTTATAGGACTATTGGCATGAACTTCCTTCATATGACTGTGCCAATGTTTATATGAAAAAACCTTGTCACAAATAAAACATACATGCGGCGTTTTTGTTTTGGGTACACCAGGCTTATTAAGAGGTTTCTTTGACTCTGTGTGTTTCTTAAAGATGTGGTCTTTGAGCTTTTCTTTCGTTTTGAAACAAATTAGGCATGTGTTGCATTGATAAATGGTTGGTTTCACAACCATAATCTTTAAATGTTTTAGGTTATGCTTAAACAAAGAATAGCTGTAACAAAAACAATTTAAATCAATAAAAGTCATGCTTAAATTACTAAACCTTCTTAAATCTTTGGCCTGCTACTGACAATTTCTTGACGGAAAAACCCTAAAAGCGATTTTCGACGCAACCCATGATTCAAACCTGGGAACTCATGATCACCAGTCGTTCTTATGACTAATAGACCAACAAGGCAGTCATATCTTACAATATAAATTAATTAATTATAAAACCTAAGGCAACAATTATATCGCCAAAAGTGCAAATTTTACAACCTGACTATGCCTAGTTTGATGCTTATATATCAAATATAAAATAATAATAAAAAAGTCATGTGATGCACAATGAATACTGTATTGTCTGCTATCTTCTCTAATCACTGTAGTGTAACACAGGTGCGGCACGCACTTAACTAAACACGTCCACTCTCGCCCGAGGCTCTCGTGTAACTGACGTGGTGCGCTCGATACAGTGACTTATATATAAATGTATGTTTGTGTATTTGTGCATGGTAAATTATTAGTAAATAAAACAAATAACAATATTTACTGTATACTACATATATGCAAACGCTACAAATACCTAACAGTATTATTATTCGAGCCATGAGATACCTAACAGTAAATAATGAATGCCCTCTAGTAAGCCATAGGCCACTAACATAGTCACATTTAAACTGAGACAATACGTACAACAATAATCAAGCTAGATTCATGGTGGCACACACTAATTACAACCTGTTACGTATTCGTGAAAGACGCCTCCCCCGTGACAGATTCATAACACAACTCAATTGTATCCACATGTTAAAGGTGTGTCGGATTACAAGGGGATGGTTTCTGATAAATGGACCCCAAAAAATACTCAGACTAGTTATGGGGTGCAGCTTTATTGATGTGAGTCATCTGGTACTGCAATTGTTAATCCACCAGCCAAGTCAAACAAGGCAAATTAAAAATACAGTAGAAGAGACCCACGTCCAGCAGTAGAGTTTTTTAATAAGAGGAAAGAAGAGTACACAGTAAAGCTGACGGTATGTGAATGCTGTGGTCCATATACATTAACTACCTTCTATTTAAAAAATAAAATAAAAATGCATTGTCATGACTGAGGACTAAGATAGAATATTTCATTACCAAGTAAAAAGGGTCTCTATTTCTCTACACTTACCATAAGAAATACAGCAGCAATAAGCTGCTATTTCATGCTAGTATTTTGTGAAATTATGGTCCATCCCCATCAAATTTTATATTTCAAAAATTACACAATATGATAATATATCTACTCTATGAGTCTCCATGATCAAAATGTTTGGGTACGACTTTCCATTGACGTCAGTGGAGTTTGGTGTTGATACGTATTTTTACAGAAAGATTACACTATTATAAGCACACACACAAAGTCTCAATATACGGAAACGCGTAATTTTTGAGAAAAGAATAATTGAAAATCAATTATTCTTGCAATGTTTATGTCTAATCTGCTAATAAACTCGATGCTAAAAAATCGATTTCTAAAATATCGATATTTTAGAAATCGATTTTTTGGGAATCGATACATCAGCTTACGATTTGAATCGATTTAAAAATCGACCTTTTTCGGAAAGAATCGACATCCCTATTGACGTCGACAATGACATTACAAAATGGCGCCAGTTTATTAGCAGATTAGACATAAACATTGCAAGAATAATTGATTTTCAATTATTCTTTTCTCAAAAATTACGCGTTTCCGTATATTGAGACTTTGTGTGTGTGCTTATAATAGTGTAATCTTTCTGTAAAAATACGTATCAACACCAAACTCCACTGACGTCAATGGAAAGCTAAGCCAATGTTTGTATTACAATAAAAACCTTGTCTGACTTTAATGTTCACAGGGAAACTAGCTGATATCACCTTTACCCTGAGAATTGTCAAGAATTCTGTAATCTAGTATATTCTTGACAATGCTTATATTTAATGGTTAACACCTTTATAAGAAAAGTTTAATTTAGGCTTTTAGAGACAATAGCAAGCCCATTTCATGCTAAGATTACTTTAGTTACTTTTTTTTAACTATTAATTTCAGAGACTATTAACATTCCTTTTAAGGTTGCTGCAGTTAAAATTTCCAATATGGACCATCGATTTAAATGCCCATATTTGATTTTCAATAATTTTTTTCTCAAAAAGTATGCATTTCCGCATATTGAAACTTTGCAAAACACTTTCTTTTAGTGAGTACTATCTATAAAAAAAATATGAGCATTTAAATCGATGGTCCATATTGGAAAGTTTATCCTCATAATCGGCTGATATGTTTAAAAATTATAATATAATTTAGTATGAATTTACCTATCTGGAAAATGTTGGCCACACAATTGACACTCTTGTCGAGTCTTCTCATCATTTACTGTTTCATGAAATTGTTTCCCAATCTCCTCCAAAAGAGTGACGTTGTCAATACACCAGTCCACATCGCCAAACAGTGTGCAACTTTCAATTTTTACATCGTAGTGTACTTCTAAAATACCTTCTTTATTTTCGAATTGAAAATCGTCTTTTTCTTTTTTAATTATAACATCGGTGGGGTATTCCATTTGTTATGATTTTGTTTTCCCATGCAATATTTTTAGTTAATACTTATTAAGGCAAGAAATACACAAAAATATAATTTTAAAGAAAATATTCTCTTTTCTCTTTTTCAAAACAATATCGATGTCATTGTCAACAAGTAATAGTGTTCTGTGCAATGTCAATGTCATTACATTATGTCATTCGAACATAAAACATTCATTGTCTTTTTTTTGAGTTTATGGCCTGGTATCTAGACCTTTAGGCCAAGTCTTAAGTATTTTATTCGGTTTATTATAATTTCCCCAAACGTATAATTATCCTTCATAGTTCACTGCTTCACAATATGTTGATGCGTCACATTGTGCAGCCCTTAGGAGATGTATACGACAACTTGAGCCAGCAGACAGCTGACAGTTGGGGATGGTATCTCAAGGCGCCTATGCAGGCAAACAGCTTATTTCCCACCAAAACTGTCATCCATAGATAAATATATATCGCACCTTCGGTGCAACAAAGTCGCAACAGCTCATTTTGTAATTTTACAGGAAAAAGCTTTTAAGATTTTTTTCGCATTTATTTCCTTATTACTGGATTACTATCTGTGATACGTTTTAAATATTTATAAAATCAATTGTTTATTGTTTTTGCTTGTACGAAGTACATATATTTCCATGGTTTTTGCTATAGTTTCATATAAATTGTTTATTTTTAATTACTGAAAAAAATATTAATAAAAAAAATGGCCTGAATTGTGACTTTGTTGCACCAAAAATAATTTTAGTTTTATGAAATAAGCATTATTATTTAAGATAATGTTTTAAATGAAATAAAGTTTATTTGACAAATATTTCATATATTTTCTTCTCAAAAAATCAACTAATAACAAAAAGTTTTCTCAAAACAATTAGTCTTATAAAGTTCTAAATAATATAGCATCTTTTTCATAGTTTTAATTTTAATCAAATTCTAGGAAAAGCAGACTTACATAATACTCAGTCTTATAATCTTTAAAATTAGGAAGTCTTATTATGAGTCTTATAAATGGTTAAAAAAAACTGTTTAATTTTATAAACAATTCTTATATAAATTCAAACTTATATTCTGATAAACTTGAAAATAAATTCGAATTATTATAAAAAAATAACGTCAATTAAATTGTATCAATCATCATACGAAACAAAACAAATTTAAAAATAATAAAATTTTTGTTTTAGGATTAATTCAAATCAAAAGCTTTAAAAATAACTATTCAAATAAACTGTTGTATAAGTTTTCATAATACTTTGGAACAATATTACCAGTAATTAATTGACGAATGTCTTGTTTCTTATTGTTTGCAATTGGCAATTTAGAGCTATAAACAGCACTCAAATTAATATCTGTGATATTTTTCTTGCCTGAACGGCTAATTTTAATTTTAGCTTCTTTAAATTGTTCAGTTTTATATGTGGTTTTGTACTTATAGGTATCGGAATCTTTAATGAATTTCATTACTTTGATATCAGAAAGTCTGATTGTTTCGCCATCAATATTTTTGATGGTATTTAGGTTAATATCGTTAGCAAGTATCTTTAAATCATATAAACTATTAAAGTTTATTTCATTAACAATGAAACTATTACCAGTCTTTTTAGGATTACGAATTAGAGTCACATACTGATCTGGGGTGTAAATTGGTCCAGATTTTTTTGCTCAACGAATATTTTTCTCTATTATCGAGTGGACAGCATCCGCTTCATTTTGGGTGTGTCCACGAATCAGGTACTTGTGTGTTATAGATCTAATTGGCAAGGTAGAAACGGCATAATAGTACAAACTTAGAATGAATTTGTTTTTTGTTGACCGCAACAGTTATCGGAGAAAAATATTATATCTATATCTGGTTTAGTCGAAGAACATTCTTTTAAAAAATTGTACACACAAGAACCTATTTCATTGGCTCCTCGTTTACCCAGACCCTCGTGCCAAAAGAAACAAAATGTTTTATCATCCTTAATGTTGGTTAGTGTAAAGTTATAATAATTTAGTTTACTTTTATAAAAAACTGCCGACGATTGGCCTATAGGACAAGGCAACACTGCTTGCAGATCGAATACAGCCACAATGATGTTGCTATCTGGGTTTTTGCACTCGTCTACATCTTGTTTTTTTTCAATCCTGCTTAGACTCTTTTCATCTTGTTGTAGATTATAGCTGGACGTTAGCGATTTTTTATCTACAGCATTTTTACATAGGCCATAGGCCTCACATATGTCACATTGGTCTTTATGTGGAAGAAAAAAGCTAATATTAAATTGGGTATTAAAAATCCGATGGCATGCGTCGTAATTTGCTGGTTCCTTGTTGTTAGATAGACGGTTTTATTGATAATTACGGTGTAGTTCGGCTACAGTCAAACCTCCATCTATATATTCTCTAGAAGAATTGGCTCTGATGTAGTGACTTTCGATCCTAGGGATTGAATGATGAATCTAGTTTTGACTGCTTTCCGTGTTTACCGCGTTTATCTGTTGGTATTACACTTACGCTTGCAAATTTACTTTCAATTACAGTACGTAGTGGTTTATTACTTATGGTTAATGTATTCAATTGAAACGTTTTACTAACCCTTATCTCTTTACCTTGATTAATAAGAAAGTAAGTTGTGTTTGGTTTTCTACATTTTCTATTCATGTCTCCACCTTTTCGAATCTTAAAAGTACGGATTTCAGGTTCAACTTTCTTTACACAAGAAGCAAGGAAGCCACGCTGTCTTTGAAAAGAACCAAGGTCCCAGTACGTCTTAAGTATTATATTTCTATCATCTGCAATAAATTTATTTGAACAAGACAATCGACAAGTATTTACACAAGGTGGACGAATGTTTTTTTGTGGCATGGCTTTACCTTTAAATGATGTGTATGCTTGACCAGTGTTTTTAGATACTTTCTCTGTTGTTTTTTCCATTGACTAGGGTTTCTGGTCCTTTTTTAGACTTTGGTACAGTACTAGCCTGTTCAGTACTTCCTTGAATAGTCTCAGAGGCTGCGTTATTATGTATAATTGATACATTAGAAACATTTTTGGAGCAATATGTAGATCCGGAGTGGCTAGAACTATTGCCAGAGCTGGATGAACTACTACTTGAGCTCGAGGAACTACTGCCAGAGCTAGATGTACTTCGGGCTGACTGTAAAAGTATTTTTCTTGGACGCTTTTTTTTTTGTTGATTCATATTCAGATCCATCAGTCGCGGAAAAATCTTCATTATAATCATGGTCGGTTTCATTGGCATTCGAGAAGGTGTCTTGCATTAGCACCTCTTGGAAACCCCATCACTTGAATGATCACATTTTCACATTTTTTACTATCTGTAGTAAAAGCCACATTTTCAATATCCTTTCTTGCCACATCACCCGTAACGATATTTTGTAACATGGAATTAATTTTTACTTCGTCGATTAAAACTGTGTCCGAATTATTGGCATGATTACATTTATTATAGTCGTCAGTATCTGAATGATCCATTTTTCTTCTATCTGAAGTACTGGAGATATTATTTATTGCAGAATGACAGGTTCCTAAATTGTAGTGATGATCATTGTCCTGATCTTCTGTATGTAAGTTGGCTAACCAGGTTTTAACTAATGCTTTGTTTTTTTATGGAATTATTTTGTTGAGTCTTAACCATAGACAATTTTTTTACTGCGGGAACCCATTGTTCTCTGAAATAAAATTGATTTTATTAAAGATATTTCTAAGTCAGATTCATCTGAAATCGAACCGAAGACCTCTGAAGTTAGAAATAAGAGTATACCACCACTTACAGACGTCGAGAAAAATAAGAAACTAAATAGTTAGTTTCATCACTAATTAAAGTCATCAAACAGCCTCCGTAAAGATAAATTAATAATTTTAGTGGGGTGCCCCAAAGCGTGCTCGTCTTAAAATAATATTTAGGTAATAACAAGAATTTTTAAGTTTGACTTGAGCCAAATCGGTCATGGGATTGCCGAAAACATTTGGAACTAAACAGTTCCAAGTCTTTTTATTATCCTGCAATAAATAATAATACTGGACCTACAAAACATTTTTATTGTTTACAGATTTATAGTTCCAAATTCTTCGTCTAAAGCGTAATATTAATGGACCTAAAACAACACTTTTTTGTTATTAACTTTGTAGTTCCAATTAGTATAGTAAAAAAAAAATATCATTGGACCTACAAAAACACTTTTTAATTTAGGACTTTGTAGTGCCAATTAGTTTAGTTGAAAATTATAATGTTGGACCAACAAATCAATTTTATAATTAATGACTTTGTTGCTCCAAAATTTTTGTTTATAACAAAAAATAATTGAACTCTTACAAATAGATGAGTCTTTGTTGCTCCAATAAAACAGAACAAAAACGGTCATAAATACCTTTAAGTGACTGTAGTTCCAAGACACGTCAAACTCTCGCGAGAGCGGGGGCACTACTGACCAATCAGACTTTGTCGGCCCAAAAATCACGGAAAAAGCACCAATAACCACAAAGGCACTCGCGCCATCTAGTAGCATTTTGAGATACTTTCGCGGGTGTCTTTGTTTCCCCACACGAAGGCGTGGTTCAAAGACAATTTGGCATACTTAACTCAATTTTGCAATATTGGCTACTTGTGACTTTGTTGCACCGAACGTGCGATATGTAGCAAGCTACTCTCAAGTCTCATCTCATTTTCTCATTGTCATTCAATAACAGCTAGTGTTACCACTTACCAGATAAAAATTGCAAACTACCCGTAGATAAATAGCTACCGTGTCAGTAGACTAAAATTACAGTGATAGTGAGTAGTGAGTGATAAAGATATTCTTACATCGCATGTTGCACGGTTATAGCTCTATATATAAAAATCAATTGATGGCCGTTAGTCCCGCTAAAACTCCAAAACTTCTGGACCGATTGTGATGAATTTTTTGTGTGTGTTTTATGAATTGGATCCCTGGATGGTTTTCACAAAAGAACCCGGATGGTGGCGCTATTGTCGAGATAAAAAAAACCACGGGGTGGTTAGTTAATTTAAATATTGTGAATAAACTTCTACACTACTGTGAATACACGTTCAGTCTGCAATTGCACTGATGACTCACTATTTTCTTAACACAAATGGACTATACTTAAATTTTATTGCTAGAATTGGAGCTCGCGCATGATGTAGAAGGCATGGGAGAACTCTCGGAAATTCCAACCTTCACGGTAGCGCAGACATGCTGATGCTTAACGTGCAGCGATTTCTCTAGATACATGTCATACGACAATGCCTGTGCGCTCCCATCGGCCATGTAGCCAATTGGAAAGCTAAAAAAATATTTGAACTAAAGTACTGCTAAATTACAGCAACATATAAAGATGTGTATAAATAAATGTGTAATTGTAAAAACTACGCGTCAACTTACGAGTATAGCTGCTGTACATTGAGTGTCCCCTTTATAAAAATATTGAGCCGCGACCCGAGCCTTCCCAAAACACAATCCTGAATCCGTCTACTCGTCGTCGTCACTATAATGAATGTGTTTGGATTGGAGCATGAGAGGCCACTCCCTACTTGCAAAAACACATTCGAACTTTTAAAATCGTCCCTATTACATCCATAATATATTTTTATCGATATATAATCTCGATTCTCACCCATCACTGACATATTACTATCCAGTTTCATTATAATATATTCCTATTCATTGGAACGACATGTACACACGGACTGCTTGTTAATCTGTAGTTTTATTGCGATAAGTATTACGTATAGGTACTTGAATTTGTACTATATAAGTCGATTTCCCCACTGAAGGAAATCGTAGTGTAGGACTGATTATGCCTGTTATATTCAAAATAATAAAGTATATAGTTTATATAAATAATATAAGTTTGCTTTCTTCTTGCTCTCAAACAATCTCGTCTCACTTACCTTACACCAACCACGTTTTACATTTCCGTCACAGTTGGTCGTAGACACTTTTTTTTGTTGGTTATATATTTGGATATTTTTGATGGGAATATAACTATAACACTATTCATTTCATACACTTCTGGACGTGCATGAATTGAATTCCACGAATGTGACTAGAGAACCAATCAGCGCGCGCGAACGAGCCAATCAGCGCGAACTTATGCGCAATAAGCCAATCAGCGCAACTTATGCGCAATAACGGTCACCGCTACTGCTAGATTTTCGTGCTGCTACTCATAATAGTTAACGATAACATGAAGTATGATTGTTTGAAAGAAACTGAATATGCATAATATACTTTTTTATTTATTTATATTTATTTTTTACTTATTTTATTTAACACAGCTCAATAAAATCTGTCTCTTACAACAAGCTTCGGCAAGTGTTCAACTACTTTCACGAATTCTTCGTAATCACAACAAAAACTGTGCGTGCCGTCATTAGGACGCCATCTTAGCCACGAATAGTTCCTGTTCCCATCACATATGTCATCGCAGAACGTCAGCTGATCCACCATAGTTCGATTATAGAAGGGTGAATTGATTGAAACAAAAGCAACTGCAGTTTCTTTTTTAGGGTCATACACCACCTAAAAAGTTACATATTTATCATCGTCAACTTTTTTACGTCCACAGTGAAAAACATGCATGAGTGCCATGGAACACTCGATTGGAACGAAGTTCCTTTCATAGTATATTATTATTGATAAACGTATTACATTATTGATTAACAAATACAAATAAATGAATTACTAGCGTCTAATAAAATGAAACGTCATTTAAAATAATATTTCTTTCATGGTTAAGAAAAATTGCTCATTTATTATTCCATCTCGCTCGCACTATAGAAACGGGCTCGTTACGGAAAAATCTTACACTTTTTCTCACCTAGCCCCCATCCGTCAAATTCGTACCGTGCAATAAGGAACTTCGTTCTAAAAAATAAAAAAGGACTTAAGATTATTGATAGGTCTTCATATTATCAATATCTAAGTAGTAAATATACTTGAGTGTGACTGCGGTACAAGCTCCGCTATGCTGTCTGAGATGGCCCAGGAGTTTTTATGACCTCCAAATCTTCGAGTTGTTATGATGATTCCAGTCTACGACAAATCATTTCCCATTTCATGAGCTGTTTTAGTCAGCGTTCTGGTCCCACCCACCAGGGTTGCTAGCGATCCCAAGAGCCGTCTGTGTTAGTAAATTACCAGGCTTAAATAAGCTATGGTAATTAAATGAGCTTTAAAAGTAATCAAATAATAAGAATGCTGAATAAAATACCTACCTTATAATAGTAAAGAGGCACGGGTACGATACCATTGTTGTTGTCATCTACGTGTAGAAACAACTCATGGTGTTCATTGTGTGCATCAGCGAGGGTACACACACCGTGAGTGCCCGTGTACACAACTAATCGGGATCCATTGCTGTGGGCACGACGGCGAACTGCCTGAATTGTGATTTAGTGTATTTATTTATTTAAAAAAATACTAGTAACACTAATAATATTTCGAACCAATCGCTAATCGCACCAAGTCAGCATAAAATTAGAAGTGGTTGAATATTTTTTATTTAAATAAATTAATTTATATAAAAAATATTATATATTATTAATAATTCTATTTTAATTTCTCTTTTATTCTATACGATTTTCTATTTTATTAAAGAAAGAAAACAACACAACGCATTCCTAAGAGGACGTGAGCACCAATGTGTGCTCACAAGCTCATATTTTTTCGAAGAATTAACTGTTTGTTCATTAGGGAAGTGGATACCCAATTAATAACCTAAAGACTGAATTTAGATCACGGCAGCCAGTCGAAAGTCAACGGAGACTAACCATATAGTGCACGAGTGTGTGCGCAAACACAGGTGCACTATTCTCTACTCTATTCTCTCACTCTCACAATCAGCAATCGTGTTGACCACTAGACCCACCAGGCAGTCATAAAGACGACCCGAGTAAACTGAAAAACAACTCGCCACTCACATCTTCTAAGGCGGCCCAGTCCCCAGCATTCCCTCGCAGCCACTGAGGTGCAGCGTTGATATAATGGAACGTGGCTCGCTGCAGAGCGCTCAATGTGAAATCCACTCTTGGAGCAAGGTGGCCCCGCGTGAGGAACTGCACAAAAAACACGTTTGTATGCAAGGGATCAGACCAATAAGGGAACCATTTGCTTGATTGTAAATAATTTAAGATGCATATGCGTGAGTGACTACATGTTTTTATAATGAGTTGAGCATGGCTTCCGCATCACTTGAATTGTGCTTTACCGTGCAGTGTTGTAAGAGGCGACAGAGGGAAACGGAATATAGAGATTCAATTCAATTCAAAATTATAAAAAAATGCGGTTACCATCCCGTCTTCAAAGCGTGGTAACTATTGCAAAATTGAAGCAGTCTATGTTTATCAGTGGATTATTATAGGCTATTAATAATGGATGGATGGATGAAATGTACGTAGTGTTCTATCTTACTTTGTTGATCCAAATGCATGGGTGTCTACGAAGCGCACAGCCCACATAAAGGTTAGTGGATGCTATGGCCCACAGACGTCTATTAAGGATCAAAATGCATATTACCATCAAAAGTTAATATTACAATACAAAATAAAGCAGCACTATGCTTCTATTTTTACGCTGGTTATATTCCCCGGTCGAGCCGACAGCTGCAGTTAAAATAAAATAATATTTCTTTCATGGCATGATAAGAACAAGTGCGAGGGAGATGAATATTGTTCCATCTCGCTTTCTTATAGCCGTCAAGGCCTGTACACTACGTCAAAAGGGGTCGTGACGGAAAAATCTTACACTTTTCCTCGCCTAGCTCCCATCCGCCAAATTGATTCCGTCCGATAAGGAACTGCGTTTCAAGAACTTCACTTCAGTGTCAACTAGTGACATCTGGTGAGCGCAAGATTATTAGCCCTCATTCAAACTCCTCAAATACAAATGTAATCGGATCTAATGGAGAGTTACCGTTACCGTCATAGCCTATTTAAAGTCAACTGCTGGATATATATAGGCCTGAGGTGGAAAGACTTCAGGTGGACTGTGTGCTCGTTTGTCAGCCCTATTCTATAAAAAAAAATGCGATATTATCATAATGACTTTACCTGATTTCTAGTAATGTATCGCTGGTCCATCCTGTCGCCAAGAATGTCGTTGAAGCGCGCTCTTTGGTTCTTCGTGGAGTACAGTCGAGCGATGCAATACTTGCCAAATAGACCCGTATCTGTGTGAATCAATGTTTGACATTCATTCGTATAAGAATATAACCCTTCTATTAAGTAGCCCACAAATTGGCATGTTTATTTATTATTTCTGACGCCAAACAATAGTGCAACCGGACTGTAAAGCACTTTAATTCTCCCCCATATATCTAAATTAGCAAGCAGACTTAGAAAAAACCAAAAAAACCAAAAAAGTTTCAGTATCTTACGTCTTTTACGTTCTAAATTATCTTCTTCCTCCCTCATTTGTTTTAATTTTTTTACTGATTTTATTAATTTTTTTTTATATCTACATTCATTTTAAAAGTATGAGAATATTATACACTTCTGTTACTTTTTTTTATCTGACAGTAATATTTAATAATTTTATTCTAAATTAACAAATACATCAAACAATTTTCTGTACCTTCCCTTATCTAGTTCACAATATTTGTTAATAATTAAACATGCATATTTTTCTTTCCATATACCAATAGCCAATGATTTAAAGTTAAGCCAACGCATATCAGAATTGACACGCTCATCATAAATGTGTTTTTTATTTAAGTCATCCTGTTTGGAAATAACCACTAAATTGGCATTATCTCGAATTAAAAGCTTAGGTATTTTTAAGTAGGTCTGTGATAAATAAAAACAAACAATTTTTTATTTTTTATGTCGACCCATAGAAAAATAATTACGTATATAACTTTGATTTTCACAGACTACATCATCAAAAATACTGAGCCCGAACTCGGCACATTTAGTTCTCTTCGTCGAGGAGTTTCAGTAGCAGTCATCAAAGTACACTTTCAAGTGACTCTATCAAATCCAGAGGTAAGGTATCATCATAACTAACAAAACGAGCCCAAACTCGGCACATCTAGTTCTCCTCGTCGAGGAGTTCCAGAAGGAGATACCGACACACCTTCAGGTCTATAAAGTCCAAGACGTATAAGTATATTTATATATAAATCCTGCGTACTTTTAGCGAAACAAAATATTATAATAGAAATCTGTGATTATAAAAATAATAATAATATCTTACCGTGGTCATGTAGGTACACATGTATCTTTTGTAATTCTACGGCGATCGATATTTTTCTGCACGAGTCGCTGTAACAAACGACCACTCACGACAGCATTTGAGCCCGGAGTAAATAAAGTACTAAGTAAAATAAATTAATACAAGGCTCTCAAACCACCGAAAATTTCGCCATTTCTTAGCCGACAAAAATTAATTATAACTACATAAACAAAACAAAATTAAACTGCCATTTACATTCCATGGCTTCCCACATGATAGACGAAGAGATTAAATAATAGATTGAGTTGAACTATTGATATTTTCAAAAGTTATCGTGTTTATGCCGCCATGCGGACTTGATAAATCCACACCACAAGCTACTAAAACCCCCTTTTTATGTAAAAATAGCAATTAATCGATTTAAAAAAATATTAATAAGTTCAACAATCATTTATCTTTCTGACAATGTGATTTTTATATCATTTATATGTATAATATGATTGCTAGATACGATTTTATGTGATAAAACGTTGGAATCTTTAGGCCCTAGCAGAACATACCTGCGCGCTTCGCGCTTAAGGCATGCAATTAAATTTATAGAATAAAATTAAACCCCGTACCAATAAATTGGGATCGTCTAACACCGCGCTGATAGAAACTGTTGGCTGGTGACAACTCGTGCCGCACGTAGAGAGTTGTCAGGAGTTGACTGTCGAAGCAGGCTTCGTATAACATCAAGAACTCACCACCCACCTGATAGCCGACTCTGGAAATGATAAGGTACAACTTATTACTATAAGGTACGTGGGGGTAATATGGTCACCTTAAGGTGACCATATTACCCTCCTAGTTTTGATTTTATAGGGCGGAAAGCTTAAAGCTTTGCTGCCCGATAAAATCAAAACTGAAAACAAAAGGAGATCAGAAACAAAAACACAACGTCGTATACTATAACTAATAGATTAAGAAAAAAATAGCAAACAAACTTTATAAATAATTAGGAACACTTCAAAAAATCAACTAAAAAAAAAACTAACGACACTACACAGTACTAAAATCGACTAAAATATCGTCGATAAAGCAGCGCCCTTTTGATCCTTTATAATTTGATTGACTGATGAAGAGCTATCATATCAGAGAGTAATATATGCAAAGAAGGTTGTAGTTTTTGAGTTATAAGAAAGTGACCATATTAACCGGATGACACTATTACTATTACGTATATAGGTGGTGGGACTCCTTTCCTGCCTCCAAATATCAGTGGTTGCACTTTGATTTGGCATCGTGGAGGGTAAAGGTAGCCATTATAATTATAGACTTGAAGGGTTCTATGTTAAGCCTCAGAAGTGACAACGTATCTGTAGTCATCTTTGTTTGAAATTGGATGCCAATGTCCATGGATTGCTGTAACCACGTACAATGACGTGGACTGTAAGTTCCATAGCTATAGTACCATAGCTGGGTATAAAAGACTATAATGTTGTTGATGACCGTGTGGAGCGATGTGGTTTTTAATCACCAAATGGTACAAGAGAAAGCATCAACTCATGTTGTTCTATTGTTGTCACTTAGCATCTGGTGGTCATTGTGCTCGTTCCTTACTCTAATTATATAAAAAAATTACTCTTTTCTACCGACTTCAAAAAGGACACGGTACGCAATTCGACTGTATGTTTTTTTAATGTTTGTTACCTTATAACTTTTTACTGGGTGAACCGATTTCGATGATTATCATCCCATATAAATCAAGGTCTGACCAATAGTTTTTGAGTTATTCTTAATAATTTATATTGAAGTCGGTTGTACAAAAATTTTAATTTTAAATTATATGAGGCAGGAGTAGGTTAGGCTGGCACTGCTGAATGGTCTCATCGAAACAGGTATGCAATTCGGGCTGCACTCACAAATTTTTTTATTACCCATTTAGTGACTTCGATTATAAGAGATATGCAAGACAAAAAAGGTATACACACCTTTCTGCTAAGAACTGAGATTGAACCCGCTGCGCTTATTCCTAAGCTTACTGATTTCTTTCGTTGTTACCAGCCTAGAGATAGTGATGGACCTGACCTTCGAGAATCCATGTTAGCCCTTACTGATGAAAATGTATCTGTAATCTCATTTATGTCCAGTCACATCCATGGGCTGCAATAGCCGCTTATATTAAAATGTACTATTTTGGTAAGTAATTTTAATGTTATTAAGTCTGGATAACATAGGGATAGCCGTGTAGTGGCGTAGTGGCGTTGTAAGAATATCCACTGCTCCATATCGTCGCGTGTACCCAAGTTGTTCCTGGCGTATTAATTTACTGTGAATGCTTAGAAAAGTAAAACAATTGAACTATTTTATTCGCATTACTGTAGTTTTTGGAAAGAAGTTCCTTATCGCTCGGTACGTATTTAATTGGCGAATGGGGGCTAAGCGAGAAAAAGTGAGAATTGAGAAAAATTTTTCCCTCACGACCCTCTTTCTATAGTGCGAGCGAGATGAAATAATATCCATCTCCTAGCACTATTTCTTATCTTGCCATGCAAGAAATATTATATTAAACAAAGAGATTTAAAAAATATATACATACTAACTACTTAAATGTCTTTGATATTAAATGACGTTTCATTTTAATAGACGCTAGTAATTAATTTATTTGTATTTGTTAATCAATAATATAATACCTACGTTTATCAATAATAATATACTACGAAAGGAACTTCGTTCCAGCCGAGTGTTCCAGGACACTAACGCATGTTTTTTTTTAATTTGTTTATGCTGTATATTATCCTATGAATAAATTTTAACTGAGAATTTAAAAATCGGCCCTAAGTTTTATACTTACTTGTAGAGTGTACGCCCACCGAAGCACTCTGTATAATTGGGCTCCACTGTGAACCAAGGCGGTGCATTACACCTGATGTCTTTGAACTCGCCCAGCCAAAGACCATAGCGGAATATTGTGTCAGAGATGCATTGAACCTCCTAAAATTACATTCTCTCTTTTTTAACTACCTTACTATTTATCTATTAATTTTAGTAGACTTAAAAATAAGGAGACAAATACTTTGATTGATTGTTTTTTTTTTTTGTGTATCTCACGCGATATCTTTTTCAAACAATTGTAAACCGATTTTGATGATTCTTTTTTATTTAATAGGGTGCACTCAGGATCGATATCATACACAGGGTTATTTTTCTAAGAATAGCGAAGTTTTAAACTCAATTTCAAATATATAAATAATGATATACCGTTATTGCTGTTTTTGAAAATACGAGTAAATAAGGCTTCTACTTTTATTTGAAATTATCCCAAATTGAATGTGATTTGTGGGCAACAACGTTCATGCCTACCGATCGACCCTTACGAATGTGTGCGTGCGCAGTAAAATCAGTTAAAACAATGCATTTTAAATTTAAAAGATAAAAAGCACAAAACTTATTATTTACACGATATTTAGGTACGCTAAATAGGTAACGCCCCCGAAAAATCCAAATACTTTTATTAACAATTTTTTGGGGCAGTCATTATTAAAGCCATAAAACTAACATAGGAAACAAAATATATTTCTGTCTCCTTTTTCTTTTTTACCAGCCGTAATAATTTATTCCTGGTCATAGACTTCTCAAATGATCACAAGGGAGTAATAGTTATGGTATAATTATTACTTTATTTAATGTTAATCTTTTGAGGGAAAGGCGAAACTGGAGCCGCCAAAGTTCAAGCGACAAATTCGAAACTTGCACTAAAAATACATCTAAATTCGATTCATATTTACATCATTTTACGTTGTAGAACCATGCTGTAGCTATATTATGTTTGTAAGCTCGACCAGGAACTGACCATACTCTCACAAAATACTAGCGTGAAATAGCAGCTTAATGCTACTGTTTCGTATGGTTGTTGTAGGGAACCGCAGACCCTTTTTTACTGGAAACGAGGCATTATGTCTTAAACACAGAAATCTAAATAATAAGACATTATTCAGATTTCTGTGGTCTTAATCCTCAGGAGTGACAATGCTGCATTTTGATTCTTAATCGATGATAGTTGTAGATGTCTATGGGCCACAGCATCCACTTACCAACTTACTATCAAGTGGACTGTGTGCTCGTTTATCAACCATATTCTATAAAAAGATATTTTCGAATAAAACTTACTGCGACCTCAAAATCTGTAGCATCACCTCCAAAAACAACGTATCTGTTTTTCCCCGGGCATCCCACTAGAATTTTTTCCGATCGCCGCATTAAGATGTCGCCAGTTGGTGTGGTGGATGATAGAAACGTGCCATTTTTGACATAAACAGGTGATGGTTCTCCGAAATCATTTTTTAAAGACAAAACACAATCTGAAAAGACAAAATCATGTTTTTAATTTAATAATTTAGCATTATCATCATAGTCACACCCCATGTACTTAATGCTCTCGTCCCGAGAATAATGCATCAGTCGACCGCATATCAAGTCGTTACTACCTTTTGTTTGTTTTTTTTATGTCGTGTATGTATGTATGATGTATGTTTTGTATGTATGATGCTTTAATCCGCCAGATCTCTCTCCGATTGTGTCGGACAACCGTCCCAGCGGACTATGAGAGTGAGGGAATACAGAGTGCACCTGTGTTTGCGCAACCACTCGTGCGCTTTAATCCTGTCCTGCTAGTCTATCGTGACCGAAATTCAGTAAGTTGCGAAAAAACCGACTCATCTCTAGTTCGCATATTTTCCATGGGGCTTTTTTTCTTAAATAGACTCTATCTTATAATTGAATAGCAAGGATAATACAGAGATAAATTATTATTAACTAATTTTCTTAATAAGACAGAGTGTGTGCGTGTTCTTTGTTTTATCGTCACAGAAACGGTTAGCTTGAAACAATGAAATAAAATTTAACAGAACCGGTAATTATTAACGGTAAAAATCGGAACCCTATTAACTGGGTCAGGTTTTAGGCCAGATTAATGTTGAGATCGAGACACGCGATTTTTTACAATTAGATAAGAATAATATAGACAATACTAGTTAAAGGCACGTAGTCTAGAGCTACTTCCTTCCGAGTAAGGATTAGGTCTAGTACTTCTTATTAGTTTGTGGATTAGGTTCAATTAATATATCTGACCATGGAAAATTCCAGAAAGATTTCATTGCCTCTGAAAAAATGACATCGACTTTACCCGTATGAGGGCGACCAGAGCGATATGACATAGAAATTCCCGGACTGAAAAAGCTTGAACCAACTTTGTGCTACTTTTACTGCATTATGTTCATAGACGTCACAATTTTTTTTCGCGGCTTGAGTCGCTTTTTCCCCATTTTTGTAATAAAACTTCAGAATGTATCGAATTTTTTTGTTAGATTCACTCATTTTGGCGGACAGAAAAACGATTGAAAAATGGCGGGAAAGTGTTTTTTACTTTTTATTTCCCTAATGTTCTATATGTATTGATGTTAAAACCAGCCAAATACTAACAGTACAACCAAAGAGATTTTTCTTCAATTTTATACGAACAATATACAAAGAAAGTATATTTTTTATTTGTACTTTTAACTGTCGCGAGAACCTAGAAAGACACTATTGTGTGAATAAGACAAATTAACGAACAAACCAACATACTGTCCCACAAACGAACCAAGAAACGAATTCGATTTGCCCAATTCTAAGAACGGACTACGATGTCAAAACGCAAACACTTTAGGGCCCCAACAGCTTATAATGTGAAAGTTCGCAAACAAATAATTGCTTTTACAAAAGTGAGACTTACCGCCGTCGGTTTTGTAGAATGTTGTTAAAATTAAGAAAAAAACTTGAACAATGCGATTATATCGCCTCATGTCGCCTCTCAATCGTGTTACACTCAATGAAAAACACGCTGTGTAATGTGTGTAACGGTATTATAGCTGTAATTCATTGTGCTGTAGTTGTGTACTTACCGTTCAGTGTTGATATTACAACTGATGATGTGTGTGTTATTTAAGATTTGGAATTTGAATTGACTATAAAAAAAACTAATGAATATTTTTTCAAAGTTAAGCCTTATAACTTATAATACCCCATTCCATTAGACCAATTTTGGAGTACATTATCAATTGTTTGGGCCTCCATTTCGTCGCATCACGCGGGTACAATGAAGCAGCCGTTCAGTCCATCTCCCATCATTGCCTCTTGCCACGTGTCTTGCCCATCTCCACTTCAGTTGGCACGCCAATTTGGCTGTGTCTATGATGTTTGTTCTTTTTCGTATATCACTGTTTCTATGTCGGTGTCTTAGTTTTATGTTAAGCATGCTGCGTTCCGTTGCTCGTTGGAAAATTTGTAGTTTATTATTATTTTCTTTGTAAGAGGCCAATTCTGACATCCGTATAATAAAGTGAGGAGTACAGTAGTATCCATCGCTTTCTTTTTTAATTTAATTAATAGGTTTGCCTTGAAAATATGTTAGAGCGTAGTCGGTCTGCGCGGGAATTGGGAAATAGGTATTTGAAGAAACTATTGCCGTCGCACTGCGCCCGAGCAACCGAGGTAATGTGAGTAAACCGAGGTAATGTAATGTGAGTAAATAATCTGTATTTGTGTGCGTAGCTCAGTACCACGCATCTTTCGCGCGCACCATGTTTACGGACTTGATCCTTTGCTTCACTGTTTTGACTCGGCTTGTGGATTGGATTTGAATACCTATTTGTTCCAAAGACTTTTTTTTTATAGGATTATGGTGACAAACGAGCACACAGTCCACCTGATGGTAAGTGGTTGCTGCGGCCCATAGACATCACAAATCAAAATGTAGATGCGTTGTCACCCGTGAGGACTAAGATGGAATGCCTCATTTCCAGTAAAGAGAGCCTCCGGCCACCTGCACTCACCAAGCGAAACGCAGAGGTAAACCTCTACTTCACGCTGGTTTTCTGTGAGGTCGTGGTACTACCCCGGTTCGAGCCGGCCCATCCATGCGACAGCAAAAGCTGCCGCGTGGCTCTACCACTGTTAGAGAAGACTAGAGAAAAATCGTGAGTATTATTTTATTTGTAAATAAATTTTATCATTTTACGCCTAAGATGTTTTTAAAGTATAGATACGTCATACTCGCTCTAAAATGGCAATACGAAAGTCAGGTAATTGCCCGACTCGCATTCAGTCGGGCACGCTCTCGCATCGTGGTTATACCTTCGCTACAGCGCGTAAATCTTCTAGTTATTCGTAGTACAAACGCTTTCCTGTGTTTTTAGGTGGTGCACAAATTACACGGCAACTGTTAGAGACAAGAAAAACGTCTCATTAATATTTTGAATATAGATGTTTTGTCCATAATTGGTTTTAATTTCAACACTAACCGCTAGTGTAAACTTTGACGCTAGCTAGTGTGTTCATTTCCATATCGATATGTCATGCGCTCGCGCCAATGAGCGCTCAGCAGCAATCAATACGCAACTAATGATGTATATTCATCTTTTTCTAACGATAAGTATACCGTATCATTTGTCTCTTTTTATTAGCGCAACGCGTCATAATTAATAACTGTACGTAGATATAGTATTGCCTGCGCCACTTTAAAATACAATAATGTTAGTGTGTAACCTGTCTATATTCTTAATATGTCTTTGTTTTAACCCCTTCAAATCGACAAAAGAAATTCAATAATTTAACAAAACACTGCTTCTAAGGTACAAGTAGTGTTTTGTAAAAACGGGGCATTTTTTTAGGTTTTTGGAAAGTCATATTTATTATTGTAATAATTTTTTGGAAAAAACTAAATGACAGGGGCATGCCTTCAATAGACCTAGATTTTTATAAACAAAACCGATTACTCTAGAGGCGTTATCCAGGAAGAGAATAGGGGAATATACATACATACAGGGATACATTTGTATGGAAAAAATGCAGCCCGTCTACGCTCTTAACTCGCAATACCGTCACTCCTCTCCCTCCACGGCTCCACCAGTCACGGAGGATAGGGCGAGTGGCGTATCGCCATATATATCGACAAACACTCCTCTTCCTCCGCGACTCCACATCGGCTGCAGCGCTAAGGGGAGAGGACACCCATCTCGCCGCTGCCCACCAACACACATCCGAAGTGGACTCGCCAAGCCCACTCGGAGTGGCCACCTCAGGCCGGCCCTTCATCTCGCGGCACCCATGTGGGTTCCTCTAAGTTCACCGCGGGTGGCCACGGCTTCTAAGCCCCACGGCCCCGACAAGACGGAAATACGTTAGGAAAACCTAACCATTTTTTTTTATTTTACATGGGGAAATGCGTACGCATACCCGCCTCGCGGGGGCAAGGACGGGTTATGTCGGACTCGCACAAACTAATACCCCATGGTGTTCCACCTTCGTCGCATATCGGCAGGGTCACGGGAACGATTTCGCACACATCCACGGCCCCACCTGCGCTGCCCTCCCCATGACGACCCCTCCTCGGGAGAGGACTGCTCCTCCTTCATCTCCTCCTCGGGTAAGGCGCAGCGCAGAACAAACAACGCGCCCTCCTCCGTGACCTCCAACTTCACCTGCGCAACGGACACTCCCGTGACCGATGTAATATAATAATTGTAGATAATGTAATTGTAGGTAAGATGTAATGTAATAATCCCGAATATAAGAATATGCATCTGGTCGTCGAGTTCATTTGATTCACTTGCAGCAAGGAAGAACTACTCAAAAAGAAATCAAGAAAATCTCTCTAGGTGAAAATAGTGCAGTGTCCCTGTTGTATAGTTACTGTTAATAAATTGTACTGCTGCAATCTCTGTAAACAGTCAAATAAATTGTTTCTTAAGTTATCCCATCTTTCTTTGATAGAACAGTCATATCATACAGTCCACATTAGTCTCAGTCAGTCGGTAAAAATCAATTATAAAGTTTTATAGTCCATTTGCTCTCCCCGTCCTTTTCACCGCCCTTGAGGGCTATTTAATAAATAAAAAACATTTAAACCCGAAGATTTGATGAACATACCTACATAATAAAACATGCGCGTCGAATATAAAGCCTCATTCTTTTTTAAGTGGCCATAAATACTCAGACCGGTGATGAGTAGCCGATGATCGTCAAAGGTAACTATTTAAGGCAATTCCTTCGCACAGCAGGCCAGCAGTGGACTTTTACTGACTACTGCTGATGATGACGATCATCGGAGTTAGTACGGTTCCGGTCGTAATTTAATTTTTATATTTGATGTTTTCATTTTTTGTTAAAACGTCACATTTTACATACATACATTACACCAGGACAAACATACAAAAGAAAAGATTGCCAATTAACCCCGGATTCGAACCCGCGGCCCTCGACACCGCAACTCAACGCTAAGCCACTGCTCCACGGAACAGAACCGTCAAAAAGCATTGTTTTAGTTTATAGACTACGTTAATGGCAACACTTGTGTGAGGGCTTTAAAAGCAAAGGATAAGACCTGAAAGGACCAAAATAAATAAAACTCATTTATTTTAGTGTCGTTTAACAAATTATTTATTTACAAAATTTACACAAAATCTCACTCAAAATATGCCTCAAAAATAATAAAAAATAACCCACAAAAATATTTTAAATAATATTACTCTTTACTGGAATTCATTACGTCAATATAATATATAATTACTACTTTTAATATTAATTGCAATTAATGATAATTCTAAATTAATTGACATATAAATTAATAAATGAAAGCACAATGACTGCTCTATTCTAAACCTTATTCGTTAAAAATTCTAAACAAACTCTCAGTCTACTTTCGAACTGTTTATGATAAATGCAAAGGTTCCAAGAATATCGGTAAAGAACTGGTATTTAGCAGTTCTAAAAATACAAATTAATGAGAACCAAAAGCATAACAAGTAGACTTGCAATGAACGGCTATTATTAGGTATTAGGCTACTTTTATCCTTTTCGGTCGAATACCGAATATCTAGATTATTCGACCGAATACCGAATATCTAGGTATTATTCTTCCGAATATCTATGTATTATTCGGCCAATTATCTATGTATTATTCAGCCGAATACCGAACATTTACTACATAGTAAAAGGTTTTATTGTAATCAGATAATTGGTAAAATCAAAATATTTATTAATTTTATAATATCAATATAGATCACATGTGTAATTCTTATTAAAAAACTAAAACTAGAAACTTAAATTATCATATAGTCCTACTCCCCGCGGTATCGTGCCAAGAACGCTGGCTGCGTTTCCCCGATGAATGGCTATACTTAGCCTTTGAGCGAGAAAAGAACCAGCCCTCTTATCACCAGCAGCAACGACCAGCCGCGGATGGAGTTCCTTTAGAAACTTCACCGCACGTGGACCCCACGGACCGATAGTCTCTACAGCAAATGGTACAAATATGTAGTCATCTTTCAGAGACTCATATTTGCGCCACTTACTCGGTTCAGCTGCCTCTGATGCCGTCCCGGCTCTAAACGAGGTACCCCTGAGATGAGAGGCCGCCAGAGTGTCTACGCAAGTAGCATCCCACACTAGGGCTTTACCTCTCTCCCAAGGGACCAATGTCATACCGTCGGGTCTCCTGCCATCGTCTCTAAATATTCCACAAGGCTCTAAAACCGAGGGAACATTTATAGAGACAAGAGCCCTTCGGATGACATCGTTCAAAGAACTGTGTCGTGAAAACCTACCAGCGCTTTTTTTACATGAAAGTCCGTGTAGCCCGTCGACGCTGCTACCACAGGGGCACTGATGGGGTTGACAAATCGACGCCATCAAGTAACGTGGCGAGATTACTTATTATAATTAAATGTTATTTCTTGTAACTATTAAAGTATTCATAGGTACATAATCAACTTCCATATTATAAACATTGAAAAAATAACTATCGAATAAATGTCTATGCACTCGAATTATCGGAGTTAAAGTGGAAGATAATGGTGCAGAAAGACTAATTCTTCTTCATTTTCAGGCAGTAGTTTACTCCTTTCCTTCTCGTAGACAATCCCAGCTCCAGAGCATAGATGCTCTGAAGAATACACAATACTTCCTTCCCGGCCGAATACTTATGCCTGATATTCGCGTGTTCGGCCAGGAAGTCGGCAGAATATTTGGCGTTCGGCGTGTGGCCGAATATAATATTCGCTGCAAGTCTAATAACAAGTAATAACTTGATTGATGTTATTGTGTAACTGATACATAACGATATTTTCGGTGTAAAAGACACCATCTTTATTAATTTATATAAATTACCAGTGTGCGTGTGTTCGTAATTCATGTACTCCTAAACGGCTTGACCGATTTTGTTGAAATTTTTATGGGGTACTTATGCGGTCATATGGATGAATAGATATCTGGATAGGTAGATGGCACTAATGTCGAGATCCATAAATAAGCTGTGCGAAGCCGGGTCGGATCGATAGTGCATTAATACATTTCTTAATCCTATGTAACAAACAAATAATATGTAAAGTAATAATATTAAAAAAAAACTAAACTACTACGCCACGACTGAAACTACAACCGGTATCTTAACCGCCACCGGGACTGTACCGATAAGTTGAACCTTTTAGAGTACCTAAATGTACAACCGTACAGAAATTTGAAATCCCTGCTATAAACAAGAATGAGAGAAGCCTGTTAATGTTCTACTGGGCACGCTTATGCGTTTTATTTATATTATGCATTATGTATAATATACGGAACGAGAAAGGATGATGCATCATGTGATGCCACCACCAAACTAATATGTGCGTATTTAATATCTAACTACCCTCAATATATACTAATTATTTAGACGTCTTATTTCTACAATTTGGAGGAAATTGATAGAATGTAAGCAAATTTGAAATAAAACAGAACATAATAAACGTACTAATAACCATTTAATATCGCTATTTGTTTTACTTCTTACATTTAGAAAATCTACGCCAAATAGATTAAAGAATTTCTTTTGAATCATGAACATCGGAAATCGTCGTACGTTTCTTTAGTATTTATTATAAAAAGGGAGTGAATTTTCTACGTGGTAGAGCCACGCTGCAGCTATATTACGATTGTAGCACGAATGGGTCGACTCGACCGGGGAAGGACCACGCTCTCACAGAATACCAGCGTAAAGTGATCTGCTTAATACTGCTGTGTTCCGTATAGTGCGTGTAGACAATCGGAGACCCTTTACTGGACACGAGGCATACCATCTTAGTCCTCATGGGTGAAAACGCATCTGCATTTTGGTTCTTAATTGAAGATTCTTAAATATAGATGTCTATGGTCCACAGCATCCACTAACCATCAAATCGACTGTGTGCCCGTTTGTCACCCAACTCTGTAAAAAAATAACATTTGAAAGGTACTGTGCAACTGTGAACCCAAAGACTAATAGAATGTCATCCCAAATATATTATCTATGAAACGAAAGTGAACGAACTTGTATATTTCAGTATTCTTTAATTTTCCATGCATTTTTTCAATTTTCACCGACTACACGTCATACAAGACACAAACAGTAAATTAAATACATAGAAACACCTGCCCCGCTTAAGCGGTTTTCTTGGGCCTGAGGTGACCATATTACCCTCCCCTACCTTATAGATAACTTACTAAAAGAAATTAAATACTCACATTCTTATTTACAAATAGTCATTTAATATAGTTCTTTGCAAGAACACGCCAAAGAGAATAAACACATGAGATATTCGATCCTAGTAGTAGGCAGATAGTTAGTCAAGCCAGCGATCAACCCAACAACAGCCTAGCATGTGTGTCCGATATTTATTTATTACAAACAGTTACATCAGAACAGTTCGACAAATACAATGCTATGCCAAAAAACAAAACGATAGATATTATAATATAATTACACTTATTACAAATAATAACTGACATCATTTCCACTATTTTTGCCTAGCGGTGACCGTTATTGCGCATAAGTCGAAAATAAGGTATTATGGGGTAGTAAGCGGATCGCGTGCGTATCTTTCGCTCGCGCTGATTGGCTCTCCAGTCGCATTCCGTCCCTGTACTGGTGCATGATACTTGCGCGACAGTACCCATGCGCAGCAATGCCCGCCACATTTCTTTCAGCGCTAGACTTACGTGCCGCGACTTGTAATGTCAAACACTCGCTGCCCGCGGTGCAATAAAATGGAGAAACAGGACGCCACCTGTTGCGCTTAGCGCATTCTGTCGCACTTACGGGCCTTACGGCTTACGGCAGGTTTGTACTATCAGCCGCACTTACCGTAGTCATGACTCACTTACGGTATATCAATGAACTACTCGTATATTAACAGTATAGTTCATTGATGCTCTCGACAATTCATTATTAGTCTGCCTGAATCGTCACGCTTGCATGCGGCTTGACTATCGCTATACCAAACGTGAGCGCACTTTTGCTTGTGAACGTCATAATCTACACCGGTTCGCGAAATAAGACCTTTCTTTCTTCTTTTTTTAAATGCCCTGTTACAATGTTATTATAGTTATTTTGCGGGCGCTCGAGTTTTTTTTTTCTTATAGTATAAGGTTGACAAACCAGCACACAGTCCACCTGATGGTAAGTGGTTGCTGCGGTCCATAGACATCTACATCTATCTTCTGTTGCAAATCAAAATGTAGATGCGTTGTCACCCGTGAAGACTAAGATGGAATGCCTCATTTCCAGTAAAAAGGGCCTCCGGCTACCTGCACTCACCAAGCGAAACGCAGAGGTAAACCTCTACTTCACGCTGGTTTTCTGTGAGGTCGTGGTACTACTCCGGTTCGAGCCGGCCCATCCGTGCGACAGCAAAAGCTGCCGCGTGGCTCTACCACTGTTAAGAGTAGCACTCCCGAGGCTTACGCACACTAACACAGTGTGTATGTGCACGACTAAGTATGTGTATGTGTAATAACTACAACAACCAGTATTAAAACCAATACAATTTCAGATTTACATTAAAATAAAGAAAATATACAGCATTTAATTGTCACAGGCTTGACGTGAAAGAGTCGACGTGACGAATAAGACGAGGAATAAGAAAAGGGTTTTAAGACAAGGAAATATCCACCACGCTGCCCCTATGCGTGCTGGCGGACTTCACCATGTCCTCAAGACAAAGTAGAAATATTTTGTTTATTAATATTTAGTGTGCACACATTCTTTTCAAATAGTTAAATGGTCTTTGACAATGTTTAAAGAAAATTTGTGTTTGTAAACTGCTTCCGCGATACAGGAGAAAATCCTAGTGTGGGGGTAACGTTTTTCTAAATAAAAAAAAAATGTCGGAAAAGTAAGAAGAGTTGGTATGTGTCCACTTATACTTCCAATTAACTTTCAAATGTATTCGAATAACGCCGTGGTCGAAAACGACATGCAATACGATTGAAACGAAATTATTGTTATTTGATTTACCCCTTAAAATTATATTATACATAATATATTAACATATCGCAAACAAATAAGAAGGATAGACGGAGCGCCGTGTACATTTCAAGTGACGCAAAAACCATACCACATAACCACACTTTGACACGTACTCACGCACACATCTTTCTTTATCAAACCGCACTGTAAAGCGCCCACATATGCACCTGAAACCGGGTTGTTGGTTGCATATATATATATATATATATATATATATATATATATATATATATATATATATATATATATATATATATTTGGTTTTAGCTTGCTTTTTGTGACATTTGAATAGTACGCAACGCACCGACTTTCTTTCTCTGTTCGTCTGAGTCATACATATAAATAGTTATATAAGCATTTATTACCCCCTGTTAACATTTAATTACATTAAACAAGAAACAACTAATATTTAATTACACATGTAGCGATTCAATAGATTATCAAACATAATATAATATTTACTGCATCTGAAGTAACCGTAAGTTATATATTTCGACAGCTCAACAATCACAGTAAAAACTGATATTTAAACAAAATGTTGTGAATAATTATGAATAATTACTGAATAATTATTATTCTTTATTATAAATAATCGGGAACCTTATTATATTGTAAATAATTCATAAATTTGAGTTAAAAGTATATATTACGTACAACAAATGGCTGCCTACGATAATATTCATATTACTTAGTAAGTCATTAATAATCTTTTTAAATTATTTCATTGGCTATGAAGATAAAATTAAAATAAAACTGTGAAATTCATTTGCAAAGAAAATGCCTGTTTTTTTGCAAAAGAAATAATGTTTATTGCGATTTATCTAAATAATCAAGCTCGAAGGACCAACATTAAAGTAGTTTAAATTCGAGAATTGACTTTGTAAAAGGGTATTATTGTGATATACAAGATGGCGATTTCAGTAAAATATAAATAAAAGCATTTGTTTTAAAAACAGGAAATAGAATAAACTACGCTTTTTCTTTTTTTGATACTCTATGTTTACAAATCATATCACTCCACGATTCGAATTTTTGTAAACACTCACTCTTTTAAGGAAACTTTCATATTCGATGATATTTCTACTTTTCCACTCACAATTTAGTACTCGTCAGCCATGATAAGTACAATGAGTGCTGTCCAACCAGTGAAGGGTTTGCATCCGGAACCCCTGCCATCTTCTGCAGAGTACTGCTCCCAGAGGTATCCTGTCCGTTTGTATTCAGACAGAACATTGCCTATGGAAAAAATAAACAAAATTATAAGCAAAAGGTACGTAAAATGTTTAGTGATTAAAGCAATATGTTGGGTACGACTAGAGTATAATAAACGCTTCGATCAACACGCAGAAAGAATTCTTAGCAGAAACAATGTGTCTTTGACTTTGCAGAAGTGGTGTGAAAAGGAATGACTCCTATTTCCTTAAGAAGCACCTAAGTATAGTAGTTCATTGTTAAAAAAAAAGAACAGAAATAAAAAAAAACGCAGAGTAGACTCTCCGCAGACACTCAAGCATACGGCTGTAGCAGAGTTTTGGCGGAAACTTGTCCGGCGACGGATAGTTGCTCCTATATTATTGTTTAAAATAATGGATTGAAGTGGATTTTGATACGTAAAAGTGGTGCGATTTTATGTATTAAATGTTTGCGCATTTGAACTATTAGTGGAAACGATAAAACAAGTGCTTAGATGATGACGTAAATCTCAAGATAGGGTGTCTGCTTAGGCGTCTTGAGATACTATTGAGTGAAGACTGTGGCCGTTGGCTCAAGCTGCCGAAAAATCTCCCAAAAACTTCACAATGTAACGCATCAACGTATGGAGAAGTTATGAAACAAAATATTATAAAGAATAATTTCTTATTACTTGACCGGCAAAAGTACAATCGTACCAGTACATAACTAAATTTAAAAAAGGCTGTCGTATACACTGGCAAAAATAACAGTAATGGGAGTCTACAATAAATTTAAAAAAAAACAACAAGAGTATAGTACAGTGCCACCAAGTGGACAAAATTGGAACTAAGGTCGCCATTTTATAAATAACATTTCGCTGTTGTTGTAACATAAAATTCCTAAAGCTCTTAAAAGTGATGCGCAGTAGATTATCCTTAAAGTTTCATTTTATGAAAGAAGAGAAACATTTACAAGTTCCAATTATACTATTCGAAAAGCTGTATGAACGCGTTGTTGCTGAGATAGGTTAGTCTTGCTAGATATGGAAAATTAAAATCACCGAATAATGCATTTGTGATATATAGTGGGTACATCTTTCACAACAGGAATTCTTGGAATTTGGCCGCTTGAACTCAGAGATAGTTAGCGTGGTGGATTATGGTCTAAACCCTCTTGTGCTCAGTAGTGAGCCGGCAATGGGTTGAGATGATGATGATGATGAAATGTTAAATTCTGCATAATAATTATGTATTACGGACAATAATAAAGGTAGGTAAGTTGTATGTTCATTGTTCTATACAGATAGATATGTTAGGAATGTGTAGTCACCTATTTCAGCGGTGAATTTCGTATGTGGCAATAGTGAGTTCTTCATAAGCTACTTTGTCAACTGAACAGTAAAGCCGCGTATCGATTACGTGCTCCTAGCGCGTGCGCCTAGAATGACCGCGCCGACCAGTGCGTCCCGCGCAACATGTTCCAGATGTTCCAAGTGTATCACCTAATCGCACCTGGCGCGCGCGGTAGCCGTTTGTGTTTGACCGTTCAACATGGATGTCAGTTGTGTACGAACCGCTGTTGCATTCATAGTTCCATGCATCTTCTCTGTGCACTTTACGACTTTTGCTATTCCACAGCAGTTATTTTGAACATTATAATTTTATCAATTTACGGCAACTCTGGTTATCCATAGCTCGGAACGCAACGTACACACGAATGATGAAAACAATCGTCCTAACCGGCGCGCGCGCGTATTTTGATACGTGGTATTAAAAAGCCATCAGATGGAACGGTCCGCTGCACGTTTGAGTGTTCCAATGATAAATTTAGCGCGCGTTCCAAGGCGGTGTCCATTTTGCGCGGATAGAGCGCGCACCAATGTTCGACCTCTTGGAGCGCATAATCGATACGCGGCTTAAAGTTGGTGGCAGTAGAGTTTTGGCGGGAACTAGGCCGGCGACGGGATCTCCCAAGGGCTGCACAATGTGACGCATCAACATATTGTGAGTCAGTGTACAATGAAGGATAATTCTACATTGTAACTTCAGGCTCAGAAGGGCTAGAATCCAGAGCTGTGAAGTCAGTTATTAAAAAAATAATTTAAAAAAATGGTGGCAGTATATGTATATGCAGAAGCACTCACCCACGAGTGCGTCGCGAAGGCGCGCGTGCAGGTCGCGCGCGCGCGTCGCGTGCGGGCCGGCGGCGGCGTAGTGGCGCAGCGCGCGCAGCGCCAGGAAGTTGACGTTGAGCCACACCTGGCCGCGCCAGTACGCCGGGTCGTGCTCCGTGTTGCGCCGCATGTACAGCGGCGACGCCTTCGACAGCGACCTGCGCCCCCAACCACGCCCACGTTACACAAACGCCCCATAATAGCGTAATGTCGATAGGTTTTTGGAACGAAATTCCTTATCGCACGGTACGAATTTGAAAGATGGGGGCTAGGCGAGAAAAGTCTAAGATTTTTCCGTCACAACCCCCTTTCTATAGTGCGAGCGAAATTAAATTTTTCTTATCTTGCGCCAAAAGAAATAATGTTTTAAATAACACTTCATTTTAATAGACGCTAATAGCTAGTTAAATTGAATGTTATTTAGTTCTTAATGATGTATAATAGAGTAACATAATCGCATTATGATAAAGGTTTTAAAATAAAGATTTAAAAAAACATACATGAATGCCGTGGAACACTCGATTGGAACGAAGTTCCTTTCGTAGTATATTATTATTGATTGTATTATATTGTTGATTAACAAATGCAAATAAATGAATTACTAGCGTCTATTAAAATGAAGCGTCATTTGAAATAAAATAATATTTCTTTCATGGCAAGATAAGAAAAAGTGCGAGGGAGATGGATATTATGCCATCTCACTTCCTTATTTCACCGCCATGGTCGTCTACACTATGACACAAGGGGTAGTGACCAAAAAACCTTACACTTTTTGTCGCCTAGCTCCCATCCGTCAAACCTGTACCGTCCGATAAAGAACCAGGCTGGTGCAACTTCCATAGTAAAAATTATATGTACTACAGGGGTCAAATTTTAATGACGGTTACTCTTCTTTATGCTTTTCGTGATATGTCTATTAACGACATTGTCAAATGAAATAGGTTCAAATGTCAAATCAAACAATTATATTTGTATATATTTTATTAATTAAGATTGCTTTTAATTTTGCTATAGGAGCCGTTGTTCATTTACAGAATTGTTAAAAAATAAAATATGCATTATAAAACTTTCCAATTAAATGGTGCAAGAAGCAAAAAAATGATAACAAGAAAAGGCTATTCGTAACAATATTTCCCTTAGATGATGAAAGGTATGTGGTGATTTCAACTTTAATACTAATATGATATTCAACGCGAGTGTATTTTTGGACTAGCCATCTATGTAGGACATGTTTTTATAGTGTACGATTGTGTGCACAAATACAAACACACTATTTCCTAAATCTGATAGTTCGATAGTTTGGCAATCCGTAACGAACTATACTTAGAAACTACAAGTCAATTCTGACTGCTAACATTCTATTTGTTCAATAATAATGTGCTTTTATTTATATTTTCAGATGCAAGCAATGGGTGAAATAGCTGGCACATGCACCAATTGAAAAGATTTACATGTTAAGACATATTTGTGACAAACATTGGATATGAACCCAACTAAAGCAAACTGTTATTTCTTTAGTGGACTTACTTTAAACGTCACCATTTATGTGTATGTTAATTAGGTTTCATTTACATGTAGCAAAAGATAATATCCCTCTAAAGTCACATTTTGGCAAGAATTAGATTATATAACTAAATCATTATTTTATTCATCAATAAACATTAGCTATAATGAGCACTTATTTTGAAAGCGACAATTAGTAAACGATCTCTGCGAATAGTATGTACATAGGTGCCTCTGTGAAGAAGCCTAGCGATTTGTACATATTATTTGTTACACATAAGAGCAATTTAATCCAATCAGTATTAAAAACCCAATATTTTTACCCTTAAAAAACTAACGTTGAAAACAAGCATCCAGACGCAGACTATTTATTTTACAGCATAACAACAATTGTTCAGTGCGGGAAGGAAGCCTCGGTCCTACAATGCCGCAGCCAAACGCTTAGCCACTGCGCTACGGAGTCGTCATTTATTTTTTACTTAATTAATTACTAGTTTAAAAGTGCGTTTTTTATTTTATATTTTCTTTGTACTTTTGTACCTAATTGTAGAGATATAAATACAAATCGCTGTGTGTAAAATACATTGATTTCTTATCCTCATCGACATTTTTATTCAATCCACACTTTAAAAATTTTATTTCTCATAAATAATTCAGTATAGAGATCTAACTTTTCTTATGTAAAAATATCGATAAACAATATATCGATAAAGGTTATATCGATAAAATTATTCGAGGATAGACATTTACAGCACTATTGTAATTCGTCAATGTTGTCAGCACTGTTTCTCAAAACTAAATGTCATATCTTGATGTTGGTAGAGTAACTTGGCGTAATTTCATGCAATTATTTTTACTATGGAAGTCCCGCCTCTTAAACGTAGTGATTATATTCTCTTTGTAAAGAACTTCGTTCCAATATCTCTAACAAATGATAGTACCCAGCCGTCATCTATATTACAATCCCCTAACTTTCCTTGATTAATGACTAGCGATCCGCCCTGGCTTCGCAGGGTTGAATTCTGAATCTCTACAACTGGGTCCATGAGAATCTAAACTATCTAGTCATCGATTCAAATATACACAAAAAATTTCACCAAAATTGGTCGAGCCGTTTTTAAGTTTTAGCAAGACTAAAGAACAGCAATTGATTTTTATATAAAGGTTATTTTTCAAAGAGTAGCCAAATTTTAAACTTATGTTCAAATATATTAATAATGACATTCAAATATACAAATAAACCTTCTACTTTTATTTGAAATTATCCCAAATAGAACGTGATTTATGGGCAAAAACTACGCGTACGCGCGTTCCTCTGAGTGCGATTCAATTCACAAAGTTTTTGCTGACCGATCGTCAGTTATGAATGTGTGCGCGCGTTGTAAAATAGTAAGCGTTAGATATTTATGAATGACAATCCGTTAAAATAATGCATTACCCCACATTTTGAATTTAAAAGATAAAAAGGACAGAATGATTGAGATTTTTTTTAATTATTTTTTCGTTCACCATTTGCTTGTATTACTTATTCTAAAATTTCTCTGCAAATTTGGTCGATCATTGCAAAATAACCCTGTATTAATGGTTACCTTAGTCCAAATGGCGACCACAGCAATTCAGGTTTGTCCAGATCCTCCAGAATCTTGCCAAGTTTGTCACTATCCGGTTTTAATACCATAAGCAGCATTGGAAACAAGGAAACATAACCTGGAAAGAGGTAAACTTATTATATTTCTTGAGAATTATTTGCTTAGCAACCCAACTACTCTTCCATTTTTTTAACTCTTATAATATACCAGTGCTAGGCTACTAGCCTACTTTAATTTTTTTATAGGATAGGATGACAAACGAGCACACAGTCCACCTGATGGTAAGTGGTTGTGGTGTGGCCCATAGACGTCTACATCTATCCTCGATTGTGAATCAAAATGCAGATGCGTTGTCACGCGTGAGGACTACGATGGAATGCCTCGTTTCCAGTAAATAGGGTCTCTGGTTCTCTACACTCACCATACAAAACTCAGCAGTGTTAACCTGCTATTTTACGCTGGTATTCTGTGAGTGCGTGGTCCTTCCCCGGTCGAGCCGACCCCTTCGTGCTACAACTATACTACTAATATAGCTGCAGCATGGCTATACCTTTTTTTTTTCAGATAAGTTACATACTTATCTGAAATAAAGTTCAAATCACGTTGACAAAGTGCGAACATAAATAATGACAGCGTTTTCTTAGTTATATTAAATAAAATCGCCGTTAGATTGTCCAAAACAACGTACGCGGTTTACAAAACATAGAACTAGTTAAGTTATAAGTAAAGTAAATCGTTAAGTATATAAGTAAGTCCGCTTACTTATATACTTAACGATAAAATATAAATTATCTGCAGCTGTGTGTGTTAGTTAGTTAATTGAATTTCACAGAGAGCGATATTGAAAGATATGCGTTCAGATACAGATATCGTATCTGCGTAGTCTGTGACTCGCTTTAAGGCTGCAAAGCCTGTCTAGTAATATACATAGAAGTTTTTGGTTCTTTTCAGTTCCTTTTTTTTTTTTTGATAAACGTAACGCATCAACTGTGCTTGCAGGCAAAGATACTTCAACAGTCATGTTAGAGAGAGAAAAATGTTTAATGGTACCAGATGGGAGCCATGTAAGAGAGAAAATTAAGTAGGTACCTCAAATATTTTGTTCGGACTGATTCCAGCCTTTCAATTTCACCATCGCACAACGCGACAAAACTCGCAATACCATCCATACCATTTGGTTGAATGGCGGCCCATCATTGTGCGATTTATAAGACTACTGTTTTCTTCCTCGCACAAACTTCCTTGTGGAATCAACTAGGCGGTAGGCACTTACCATCAGGTGAGCCGCATGCTCGTTTCCCCCCCCCCCCTCCCCTATAAAACAGGTAGGTACGTAGGTACGCAGTCCAAATTAAGGCCGTCAAATATATTCAGATTTCCGTATCAAAAAATCGTTTCGAGATTCTGTAAATACATCACATATCTACATACGTTTATTTTCCTTCGGAATAACAAGACTCAGTTGAGAGACGCTAGCCTAGAATATGGACGACGATTTTCTGATTGCGATTGCATTGTTGCCGTATCATTGTATACTGGGTGCATCCCTTTAACATACTAAGATTTCAAATTAGTCAATAATATGTAAAAAGAGCCAAATAACGAGCCTATCCAAAGATTTTTTTAATGCTATCGAATGTCTATAAACTCTTTCGACGAATTATTAAACAAAATAAGAGGAAAGGTTGCGAAAAGAGATCAACATATAATCTTATAAGATTACATATAAAAATATACATAAACACACCTACTAGCTTCGTCCGTGCAACGCACACTGGAATCCCGAATCGATATTCCGGAACGAAATTCCGACTGTATGTGACCGGTCTTAATAAGTACAGTGTCTACTACGCGATCCAAATCATTCATCACCTAACTTAAAAGTACCAGGGTGTCATAACCTAGAAGGAGGTCTCACCGAATGCTGACGTGACAAATCGCGGCTTCGGCGGCACCGTAACGCTCCGGACGACTTTAGGCGATTCGTTCGGCGCCTTCGGTTGCTGCCGGACAAGTTTTACGCCATCTGTGTGAAGACCTAGAATTGGATGTGAAAACATATTATTTTTGCGGAATTCGAGCCCACTGGTATTGAGATAAAATTAAGTGGTAATTTGTGGATGGTATTTTCATGTATGTCACTGAAATCAAATTTACAATTTTTTTTATAGGATAAGGGCGACAAACGAGCACACAGTCCACCTGATGGTAAGCGGTTGCTGTGGCCCATAGACATCTACTACTATTTATCCTCGATTACGAATCAAAATGCAGATGCGTTGTCATCCGTGAGGACTAAGATTAAATGCCTCATTTCCAGTAAAAAGGGTCTCCGGTTCTCTACACTCACGCTGCTGTTATTTTACGCTGGTATTCTGTGAGAGAGTAGAAGTGATACCTTCAGAAAAGAAGACCGAGATAATAGGAAATACTGTATACTGTATTCTATCTCATTCTCTCGCAGGCTAAATCCTATAGATTTATACGTTTGTCTCTTTTTAGTGTCGCTTTCTCGTTTCATCAAAATTCAATTCATAACGACTCTAAAAAAGTTATTCACTATCGCTACTTCAAGTGTGTTTTAATAAGAGAATAACGCCATATCATAACCAGTTTATCGTACTTATAAAAAAACATGCGTAAGTGTCTTGGAACACTCGGTTGGAGCAAAGTTCCTTTTGTAGTATATTATTATTGATAAACGTATTATATTATTGATTTAAAATAATATTTCTTTCATGGTAAGATAAGAAAAAGTACGAGGGAAATAGATATTATTCCATCTCGCTCGCAATGTAGAAAGGGGGTTGTGACGGAACAATCTTACACGTTTTCTCGCTTAGCCTCCATCCGTCAAATTCGTACCATGCGATAAGGAAGTTCGTTCTAATAAAAATTTTATGAACGAGGTGGTTTCTCGTCTAAGCAAAATAATATTTTCGCGTATACAACCATGCGATCATAACTCACCGTAGTCCGCGTAGGTTTGCGTGTGGTGCGACCAATGCAGTTCGTTGAGTAGAGCCTCGTCTCCGAGCTGGTCCCGAGTCGCTTCGAATCTAGAATCGAAAGAAAGTATTATGGTTGTATCTCGACCGAGGAAGGACAACGCTCTCGCAGAATACTAACCTAAAATAGCAGCTCAATGCTGCTGTGTTTGGTATGTTGAGTGTAGAGAACCGGAGACCCTTTTTACTGGAAATTAGGCATTCCATCTTAGTCCTCAGGGGTGACAATGCATCTGCATTTAGTTATTTAATTGAGGATAGACGTAAATGTCGATGGGATAACATCTAGTTCCCACCAGGTGGACTGTGTGCTCGTTTGTCAGACTTATTCTATAAAAAAAGATATAATAGAAAACAAACTTTCTTATTCAACATCTAATATATAAAAACTAATATTTATTTGTTCGTATATTATGCGCTGCCATACCGTTTATCAGACTACGATAAAACATTTTGAACTTATTGCTTGCACTTGCGCGAAGGTTATAGCCATAGTACAATTAACTTACAACAGGTGGCGCGCGTATCGTGTAATTCAATTTCAATAATTGCATTATCATTCCTAATTAAATAATACAACTCTTTCAAATATAAGACGATTTGTCTCTGCGGCAACAACGCGTCGAGTACCCACTGGTAGATTATAAATAAAATTTATTGAAAGTAACTCTTTTGTTTAATTACCACTAATTCGAAAAAAAACTCTGTCCTGGGAAGAACAAAATAGAAACCCAGGAGGACTTTTTTTTAAATAACAGCTTACAATCATGTATGTTACACAATTAATTAACACAAAACACGTTAGAAATAGCGATCAACTCATTCCCAGGGGTTATTTGGTTTTGTACAGTTTTTGATTATTATGTAAATACAGCGCCGCCTATCGGACCTAGCATAACTATGAACCACTTTCACGACATAAAAATGTAAATATAAGTGCAATCGGTCAAGTCGTCACTAACAGACGCACCAACGATTATATATATAAAATATAAATATATACACATTCTGCACTTACTTGGAGGTGTCCCTTTGCAGCACTTCCGCTATGGTGGCCATGGCGTCCGCAGCAGCGTACATCCAGCAGCGCAAGTCCACGTGACGCTCGATATCTGATGGATGAGAAGCCCTGAAACAGTGAATAAGATGTTAAGATTTTTTTTATATAAGATATGGGTGACAAGCAAGCACTCAGTCCATCTGATGGTAACATCTATCCTCGACTGCGAATCAAAATGCAGATGGGTTGTCACCCGCGAGAACTAAGATGGAATGCCTCGTTTCCAGTAAAATGGGTCTCCGGTTCTCTACACTCACTATACGAAACAAAGCAGTGTTAAGCTGCTATTTTACGCTGGTATTCTGTGAAAGCTTGGTCCTACCACGGTCGAGCCGACCCATTCGTGCTACAATTATACTACTAATATAGCTGAATCAAGAGCTTCGACCCCCGAGTTATATCCCCGCCGTCACCAATAAAATTGTCACTTGTAATTTTAAGTGCTTTCTTTTATCACGAGCTCAAAAGGAAGACATCGTGAGGAAACTTGCATGTCTGAGGAATAAAATGATTTATTTCGTTTGCTTAGCCACCATGAGATACCATCGTCATCAACATTCCACTGTATTGAGCTGTCGTCAAAATCTCCCAGAGTTTTGTGAACAAAACAAAACAGGTAATACTAAGGTCATAGATCATACAGACTAGGTTGTATGATCTAAGACCTTTGACTGCCTTAATTTGCAAATCGTAACAACAAACTTACTTCCTACGCCCATAATCAGGTAACAATATATTACCATTAGATATTGTGTGTAAGAATATCCACTGCTCTATATCATCATGATGTCGTAAGAAGTGACAGAGGGATACAAAAACTATGGCAAATATGAGGCATGAGGCCCCACGAAGCTATCTATGGGTTTGGCCTATGTTCAGCTGTACTATGTGGACTTTTGATAGAGTGTAACGGTGTTATCATTATGAAAAAAAAAACAACACATATGCCTCTGCATATGTGTTGTTTTTTTTTCTATAACTCTTTATTCCCACCAGGATTCTCAACAGGCACAATCGCACAGTAAAACCGAGACTGTACTGAAAAATAGAACCTATATTACAACTAGCTGTTCCCCGCAACTTTGCACGCGTTTAATTAATTGCGGTTGCATTTTGTATGTTTTTTTTGCACAGAACCCTAATGCTTTTTCTAAAATAAAAGTAGTCGAAGTTACTTCGGTTATCGGTCCAGCTATTTCAGAAATCAGCCGGAACAAACAGACAGACAAAAATTTTAAAAATTTGTGTTATAAGTACCGTACACATTTAGTAAAAAGCTGTTGTTTTGACATTACAAACAAACACTTCAATTTTATTTATTTGTATAGATGTAAATGATAAATATTTAAAATTAATAATAGCTCACTCTTTAGCGATAAGACCGCCCACTGTATCACATTTCTTTCTCCTCTATTTTTTGTCGTACAATAAAGAGTTATCTATCTATCTATTTACCTAGGATAATCGTCCAAGCCCGAGGTAAGAGTTTTGGGGTTCAACTGGAGACCGTCGTCCTCTCTGCCCCGCCAGCGGTACGATGTTGGTACCTCGCCTTTCTGGGTGGTCTGGAACCACTGGTACCAGGCCTGGAATGCAGTTACAAAAACATAACAATCTGTCATTTTGTTTATAAAAGCGTGACAACGAGCCCGCAGTTCACCTTATGGTATACTCGATAAAAATGCTGATCTTATTTCACCCCTGAGATGCCTATGGAATGCTCTTTACTAGTAAACAGAGACTTTCATTCTGTTCAGTCACAATACAAAACACACTCTTTATCCTGCTAGGAATCAATGTGGTTAACGATAAGTGACGCACCGCACGCGTCTGTCCCTAGCGTACCGATGACTTATGGCACTGCGGGTAGCGAGTGTTTAACATGAGGTTAATGTAGTTTAACTTTATAAATTTAAGAACTTGTAAGTAATGAGTTGTGTGTAAATATTGTAATATTATGGCCAATAAATATTTGTGATAATGATTGTGAGGAGACGCACCTGCAACCTGGGAAACATGCGGTCGAGCAGGTGCCTGTAGCGGCCGTGCTGGAACAGCTGCGGGCGAGCGCGCAGCAGGCCGGCCAGCTGCAGCAGCAGCATGGGCGGGTTGGCGGCCGCGTTGCTCTGCACCACGAACTCCTTCGGCACCCGCGCCAGCGCCTCCACTCCTGCAACACTCAACACTGAACAACGTCCACCACACCTAATTTCGGCCACGGCGAGTCTCAATGACGAATAAAAATAAAAAATAAACTGCCGATACCAACCCGCTTGCCAAACGTGACAACTATGGCAACTATCCCTGCTCAGCAGTGGACTTTAATAGGGCTGTAACGAAATCTCAATGGAGTTCCAGTCTCAATGAAGACTCATTATCTGAGCAAGACACGATTACACATGTAACGAAAACCCTGTAGTTTGTTAAATAATAATAAATTTAAAGTCTTAACACAATAATGTTCCCATTAAGTGCCTTATCAGAATCAGTATTCAAACTTATAGAAATAACTTTACTTCAGAAAAATTGACTATGTGAGTTTATTACCTATGCATTGACCAGGAAGTAAATGTATCATCAAAAACCCCATTTTCCGATGCCCGTGTTTTTTTTTTTCTATAGAATAAAGGTGACAACCGAACACACAATCCACCTGATGGTAATTGGATGCTATACCCCATAGACATCTGTAGATGTCTGTGGGTTACTCCTTTATTAACAATCAAAATGCAGTAGCGTTATCACCCCTAAAGACAAAAATGGAATGCGTCGTTTCTAATAAAGGGTCTCCGATTCTCTCTACACTCACCATACGAAACACAGCAGCATTAAGGAGGAGGCTTTACGCTGGTATTATGTAAGAGCGTGGTCCTTATATGTCCGTATATCTGCAGCGTGACTCGTACCACGTAGAAAATTCACTCCCTTTTTATAATAAATACTATAGAAACGTACGACGATTTCCGACGTTAATGATTCAAAAGAAATTCATTAATCTATCTGGCGTAGATTTTCTAAATGTAAGAAGTAAAATAAATAGCGATATTAAATGATTATTAATATGTTTATTATGTTCTGTTTTATTTCAAATTTGCTTACAATCTATCAATTTCCTCCAATTGTAAAAATAAGACATCAAAAAATTATTAGTATATTTTGAGGGTAGTTAGATAATTGTAAATACCCATTCCTGTTACAACCATAATATAGCTGCAGCTTGGTTCTACCACGAATAAGTGACACGGATGATAAATCACATTTAAATAACTCTTTATGGTCTAGTTTTCTCAAGTAAAGTTATTTCCATGCCATACTGATCTAATAATGCACTTAGCGGGTACCATAGGATTTCTATTACATGATGTATAGTGTGCTCAAGCACAAATGCATTCTCTATTCAATAACTCTTATAGACGGATGGGACGGTAATCCGACACGACCGGAGAGTAATCAGCCGCAAAACCAACAGCTTAACGTGCTTTCCGAGGCACGAGGGTGATGAACACCGCCAACTACCTCCGGGCTACTACTAAAAATTTCTTGACAAATAACTAGGATATCATGATCAGCAACGGCGTCGACGACCACTAGACCAAAGATATTTCATCGAGCTTATTGAGATGTTGAAGTACCAGGTCAAAATCTCTATGTATAAAATCGATTACTGTCCGTTATAGTTCGGCCGTTCAGAGAATGCGTTCCTGACACGTCGCGATTGAACTGACGACGTAACTTTGTAATGGCGTTGCAGTTACGATAAAAATATTTTTGCTGGTTGTTTACCGTTTTAACAATTGATGAGTATTAAAACAACATTATTATATCAATAATCAATGAATGTTATAATTTTGTGCCAAACTGAGTGTCAAATAACTTGGTAAACAATATTTTACTAAATCTATACTGCGCTATTACAAGGTTATGTCAGCGCTTTATATTTGTAGTGCTATGCTAACAATAACAGGCAATAACAGTATCGTAATCTGTTCTTATACAGTTATACTTTATAAAATAATACGTTTTGTTTTTCTTTTTAAGAATTTGAAAATAATGGACTATAAGATAACTTTTATTAAATATAAAAATAAAACTACGACCAAACCGAACGCGCGAAAGAAAGTAGCATTTTTATATTTAGGTTGAAAATGGTAACCCCAAATGGCGTTATGGGCCGCCATTTTGTGACGCTAAAACAGTCGTCTGTTGTCGTTTTGTGCGCATAGACCACGTTCTTCAAGTGTTTTCGATCTGTTTTTATTTGATTACCCGGCTTTCGTTTAATGGACTGTTTCTGCTTTTCAAACTGACATCGGCGCTAAATCGGATTTCGATTGTGTTTTGTATTGCGTTCTTTTTACTTTTGGTGCATAATAATACCTAAACGTGGACAAACATTGAAAAGTGGAGCCCGTGAGTTAATCATCAAGCTGCAAGATTACTTTGAGCGGGAGCGGCAAAATGGCGGACCCCTGTTACCTGTCGAACAAGTACAAGAACGCGTCTCTCAGGCACTTGGAGTTAGCAAACGAACGATAACAAATATTAATAAAGAAAAGTTCGGCTCTACTGGCACGAAAGATAATATTTTACGTACTCCGAAGAAGAAACGTAGAACTAAACCCGTGACAGATATTGACACCTTTGACGCCGATGTAATCAGAAATCATATATATGGTTACTATTCCAGAAATGAATATCTCAACAGGAAGAAGCTTTTGGCATTGTTAAGACAAGAAGGCAAGAAGCTGGACTGTTTAGCGGGGGTAAAACTGCTTTAACCAAAATCTTAAAAGATATTGGTTTTTCGTATAAAAAAAAACAGACAAAAGAAAAATTTTATTAGAACGATACGACATAATTTTAAAACGGATAAGTTTTTTTAGAGAAGCAAAAAATATTGATAACTGGGATAATGGCGTGTTCATTGACGATACACAAGCGTCGACGTCGAAAGTACCAAAGGGGGCCCGTCTGATAATATGCCACGCAGGTTCTGCAAAATACGGCTTTGTGGAGAACGCGTTACTGGCATTTCAATCAAAAACCACAAATGACTACCACGAGGAAATGAATGCCACTACATTTAAAGAGTGGTTCCAGAACGTGCTTTTGCCCAGCCTACCAGAGCCTTCTGTAATATTCATGGATAATGCCTCCTATCTCTCGGTTCAAATACAGAAACCACCTACCCAAGCTAATAAAAAAGAAGAAATGGTGGCTTGGTTACAAGCAAAAGGCATTGACGCAAATATGCAGATGCTAAAACCAGAGCTAATTAAATTAGTTAAAGAAAATAAAGCGGCAAATGTGCGATAACGAAATCGATGAACTGGCTCTGGAGTACGGTCATCGCGTTCTAAGAATTCCACCGTATCATTGCCAATATAACGCGATTGAGCTAATCTGGGCTCAAATAAAAGGTTACGCCGCCCGCTACAATACTTCCCCGCCATTCAGCACGAAAAAGATGATGACCCTATTAAAAGAAGCCTGCGGGGAAGTCACAAGAGATGACTGGGCAAAGGTTGTTGAGAAGACTAAAAACCTGATTGTGGAACATTTTGACCGAGATATCAGGATTGATTCTGTTATTGATGATAATATAATTATACATGTAGGCGAAGATGATGATGAAGACACCACCTCCTCAAGCGAATCGGAGTCTGATTAATATTCTGTACGCACATTCAATTCAATGTACTTTATTGCATAGAAATAGAGATTGTAACTTTGTAACAAAGAATAAATAAAACAATTTTATTATATTAATATTACCTTTTTTTGCTTTCCACTTAAATTACTAAAATATAAATTTTAAATGATTCCGCCAATTTAAAACGAAAATAATCTTAAAAATAACGCGGCGGTTCATTTTGGAGGAACGGTAACGAACTCAGTGTTATGTTGTGCCCATCACTAGTCGTGACTAACTGATAGGTGTCAGGAACGCATTCTCTGAACGGCCGAACTATAGTCTCGCTAAAACTCGAAAATGGCTCGACTGATTTTGATGATGTTTCACTGGGTCCCTGGATGGTTTAAAATCATAATTAGACCGGGTAGCTGGCACTCTTGTCGAGATTCAGAAATCACCCGTGCGAAGCCGGGGCGAATAGCTAGTGCTTTAATAAAGAAAACTACACTAAAATTACAAGAAAGGCTTACAGAATGCGTTGATTGTCACCTCTGAAGACTAAGATGCAATACTTCACAGCCTGCACTGCCATTTGGCTGCAAAAAATGTGGCACCTACCCAGACAGGCTTCTACACAGGAAAAGAGTCAATATAACCATAGAATAAATAATAGTTAAAACAACAGGAGGCTCACTCTCTGATAGCCAACTTGCGAGTTTAAACTTAGTTACAAATTCGCTAATGTTTATAATCCTTTGCACGCCTCGGAAGTGACCTTCGTGAAATTAGCCTACAGTTTATTTCGTCGAAAAAAAATTTATTGCGGCGCGCGTATCAAATCAAAGCGCACCTTACGTTCACATGCGAGTGTCTGTATCACTTAACCCGTTACCCGCCTTTGTTAAGACCGCTTCTACTGTGGTTAGGTGTTGTGAGAAAACAAATTGAGTTGGTATATAGTAGAATACACCGAGGTGTTATGCAGTGTATTAGTATTTCTTTTATTTTTAAGGCTCCGTACTTCAAAAGGAAAAAACGGAACCCTTATAGGATCACTTTGTTGTCCGTCTGTCTGTCTGTCTGTCTGTCAAGACCCTTTTTCTCAGGAACGCGTGGAGGTATCAAGCTGAAATTCATATCAAATACTCAAGTCTACTGTCCCTTAGAGCTGTGAAAAAATCAAACTTCTAAGCCAACGCAATCAAAAGATACAGCCGTTTATGCCGTAAATTTTCGACATTCGCAAGGGAATCAAAACCTTCAGGGTACTTCCCGTGAACTCAGAATCTTGAAATTTGGTACGAAGCAACGTTTTATAGCACAGATAAAGGAAAAATTGCGAAAAGCATAAATTTTTAGTAACATCTTATAATAAAAATATTTTTAATAATTTTAAACTTATATACCTACAGATTTGTTCGGAACCCTCGGTGCCCGAGTCCTACTCGCACTTTGCCGGTTTTTTTTTATTTTGTTAAAAAAACGTTACCCCCACACTAGGACTTTCTCCAGTATCGTGGAGGCGGTTAACAAACATAAATTGCAATTATTTGTAGGCCATACAAACACTTGTTCCGTGCAGGATACGAATCCGCGGGCCGAGAGTTGCAACTGATTCCTAAACTACTGTGCCACAGAGCAGTCAATTTGCTGATAATAAAAACTTTACTGTTTAATGTGAGGAAGGTTAATATGCAACATCGAGGAAAATTAAGATTATAACAACGTGAATGTCTTTGAAACTCAGATAATTTACCTACTTACCATTTTTAACCATCGTCAAAAAAAGGAGGATGTACTCAATTCAACTGTATTTTTATGTGTTACCTCAGAAATTCTTTCTAGGTGAATCGATTTTGATGATTCTATTTTTATTTGAAAGCTGGTGCTTACAATTTATACATCCCCCATAAATTTGATCAAAATCTGACAGTAGTTTTGGAGTTATCCTTAACAATGCATATCAGTATTGAAGTCAGTGGTACAAAATTTTTATTTCTTTAGTTGTCTCTCTTCCTCTCTTTTTAAAAACCGTTACATCCAAATACTTGTTCCGTCCGGGATTCGAACCCGCGGCCCTTAGCGTTGCAACTCATTACTAAGCCACTGCGCCACGGTGCCGTCACTTGTCTGTTTAACATTCTTTACTTATTACAAACATGCGACACGCGACTTCATTATTAATGAAAGAGTAGCAATGTGAAGTGCTGCTAAGTTCAATCAATAACCAGTATATGCTGATCTTGCATTAGTAGGCAGTCACCAGTACTGGGAGGGCTACTTACACTAAACCATATTTTAAGGTCATTATCATTATACGCGAAAAAATCGTAAACTGCGAAGCTGTGGTCGGGTCACTAATTAAATAATAAATCTTTAACTATGTTGTCAGTGACTAAATACCTAATTATCTAGATCAACCTATAAATAATAATATATTACCTTTCGATATCCTTAGGAACAGTAAAGAATGAAAAGTCGATATTCCTATTGTTATTTAAGCATCCGTATGCTATGCAGTACCTTTTGGCTTATTAAGAGCCCATACTAGAATAAAAACTCAAAAATAAATATCAAAAGTGCCTCAATACTTATTAGAAAAAAAAATTTTTTTATTTATTTTGACAGAGTTACAGTAAGAAGTTTATTACTACAATATTCCATATTAAATGTTTACAATTGTCTATTTATACTTAAGTTATATGCAACAAAACTATTTACTAAGCTTATTTACTGCATACGCTTGACCCAGATGGGATTGCTGATGATGTACGAACGAATGAGATTTGGCAGGGGTGCTCAGCCTTAAATTGCGCGTCAGCTCGAGCGGGCGCGTAACAACCTCACAGAATTTTCCCCGCATGCGGTGTCGCGTAGCGCAGGTATATTTTCATGCCTAAAGCGCGGAGTGATACAGGCCTGCTATAACCTAGATAAATTACCTAATATTTGCTCCCGTGGAATCCAGCCTTCAACGTTAATGAGGTCAAGCCAGTGCGCTGCTATGTCCAGCTGGATTTCTGGAGACCAGCGCCCGATCAGCAGCCCGTGGAAGCCCTCGTCCCACAGGAACCCACGCGGGAAGAACGATCTGCGGACAATCTTTTCCTAGAGAACAATACAACATGATGCCATTGAGTTATATGTATTACGTACTAGAGGAGACACCTACTAGTAGTACTAGTTAGAGTGCGCGCTCTCAAACTCACTTAGTCTGTGCCAAGCGGTTGCTGCAACGTGAGAAGTTTGAGTGAAGAATTATTTTTAAATTAATATGCCTTCGTGTGCATTGAGATACTGTTCAAACAACTTGAGAAATATAAATAAAAGTCAAGGAGTGACTTTACACTAGTAAGTTCAACATATTATTATCTTTAAAACACGCTTAATTTAATGATATTTTATCAACTGCAACGTATACGGGAATGTCAAAGAGTAAAACATTTTTGTGCGCAGACTTAACGCTACTGACGTATAATGTTAAGTAATTATGGACAGTAAATATTAATATATAATCACGGTAGGAAATGTTAATGCATTAAAATTAATAGTTTTTAATTATTATTTGGATTTAAAGGTTTCGTGTATCACAAAAAAGAAAGAGAATCATGGATCAAATTTGTTCAGAAGAATCGCAGCGAAGAAACGTGGTTACCGTCAGATTATTCACGCATATGTTCCGTACATTTCAAGGAAAACAACTAATACTTCACTAAAACAGGAAGAGTATACTTAAAGAAATCTGCAGTGCTATGCGATAACGTAATTATATTATTATATAATATTGCTGGGATTTTTGTTTTATTTTGTGATTAGACGACGAACGAATTTTTGTAATGTGTAAATTCAGTATATTTACGGGACTTAAAAGAGGCGATACCCTCAGCGTGCGAGTCGTACTAGTTAGTATATGGCGGGTTTTTAATACTGTAACGCCAGAATTTTTACAGGCTTCCCAGATAACTAGTATCTTTTATTTCAGCCATCAAAATGTGGTGAACAAGAACTATTAGAACCGTTGTCTGAATCAGTAAGCAGTTTAAATTCAATTTTTGATAGTCCGACAAAAATTGTACTCAAAAATAAATTACGCAAGCTGCCGCTAGAAAGAAAATTACTGAGAAATTTAAGAAAATACAAAGAGAAAATATTTATTTACAGAAAAAAGTGATTCTTACGAATATAAAAGTAAATAATATAATATAAATGTATATTTTTATATTTTACATGTTTACCTTTTAAAATATCATTAAAATATAATTCTGACATAATATTATGTAATATTATATTAAATTAGCACATATATGCAAAATAAATATAACAATAAAAGAATTGTACTCGATATTATTAACAATACAATATAAATAAACAATTATTTCATACTGATCATTCTACCTTTGTATACCTATGATGACAAAAACTGACCGCGCAGGCGCAACGCGCTTATATCAACTGCGCATGCGCGACTCTACTATATCCCGCGCATGCGCGAAGATATAGCGTAGGGATGTGAAAAAATAATCGATTTTCATATTAATCGATTATTTTTTTCTAATAATCGATTTTTAAAAGTAGATTTTTTTGATAATAAAAATCGATTTTTAATAAATCGATTACGTAAATTACGTGTTTTAATCGATTTCTCTAATCAGCGTAATCTGTGCGATATATGTAAAAACGAGAAGTTCAATATCGTGAATAAGTCGATGAAAAGAACAGCGTCATCTGTGCGACAGATGAAAAAACGCGAAGTAAGTTCACTAACATGAACAAGTCATCAAAAGACGGCGCCACCTGTATGTATCTCTATGTATGTAAAACAGTTTCGCCTTTCGTATGTTTCAAACAGTTTTCTTTCTCCGCTAGGAGTAAAAGTATTCTGTGGTTTTCTTTCTTTCTTTAGAAAGTGTAAATAATTGTTAAACAATAAAAATGTCTTGTAAAATGCCTAAAAGTGGCTGACGGATGTATTTTATAATGAAAAAATAATAGCGGCCAACACGTCAATAGGCAAAAATACTGAATTGGACCTATATATTGCGGCATCACTATCAAATCTTAAGGCAGATGCCCTCAGTACATGGAGCTCTGAAGAAACTTTCCCTAAACTAACCGAATTGGTTCTAAAACACGTCTTTGTGATGGCCAGTTCCGTGCCAGCCGAAAGATTATTTTCGAAAGCGGGAAATATTGTCAGGTAAAAACGTAACTGTATTTTACAAAAGAGACGAAGAAGAATGTTGGTAAAATTATTGTTTTTAAATGAAAATTTATGGAAATATTTTTTTAACTTTTTTTGTTTACACAAGTTTAAAAAAATATTTATTTTGTATATTAGTTTTGAGACCAAAAGGTTTGATTATTTAAATTTATAGTTTTATTTTATTTTCATTCTAATCCAATGTCAATGATACTGAACATTTGTGGCAATAATGATATTTAGATTTTTTGTTTGTTCAAACTTACTTAAAAAACCTATCGTTTACTAAACTTAAACGTTTCTTTTTATTGTGGTTCTAATAAATTGTTAAATGACATGTATATAGTAGCAGTAATTATTTTTAGTTTTTTATTGTTAAAAGTTATAGGATAAAAAAATTGTTTTGTGGTTTAGTTTTGAAACCAGAAGATTGTCGTTCTGATTATTTTTTATACTTATCATTTTATTTGATTTATATTCTGATAAATTGTTAACGTAATACTAATATCGTAGTTTTATTAATATATTATAGGAAAGCAGGCATTTTTTCGAATAAAAGAATTTTTTCCGCAAAAATCGATTATTACTTCTAATAAAAATCGATCTTTTCTAAATCGATTAATATTACAAAGCAAATAATCGATTTTTTATTAATCGATTTTTTTCACACAATGTCACATCCAAGATATAGCGTAGTGCACATTTTATGTTTGGAATAGCTTCTCTAGTACGTAGTACATTATAACTCATTGCATGATGCTTAGTTAATAATATTTGAGAAGTGCAGGTATGTCATGCAAATTATTCACTGGTTATGGGTTTGCATCCTTGAAATATTAGTATAGGAAATTGAAATTATTTTTTACAACGAAGAGCACACAGTTCACTGTGGCTCATAGAAACCAAAATTTATCCTCGATTAAGAATCAAACTGTTGTCTGTCAGTTGTCACCCTTGAGGACTAAGATGTAATAATTCAGTAAAAAGGGTATTTGGTCCTCATCCCTACAATACAAAACACAGCAGTATTATGTTGTGACATTTCACGCTGATATTCTGAAAAAAAAAAGTGATCTTTCTCTGAACTCTACTAGTTAGACTATTCAATGTGCACAGAATGAGTATGAGCAATAGGGTATTTTACACCATGTAAAAAAAAATCAAAGAATATATATTTATGACAGATTTTGTAAAAAGTAAACAAGAAATATTGATTTCTATTTATAAAAATGCATTACAAAATTTTATATTTCAATTTAAAGAATTTTTTTTACCTGTGCCTCAAATCTGCAAAACGATGTCCACCATATTAGATAGCGTCGTGACGTCACTAGGTCAAAGAACTAGGTTATGTGCTGTAGTAACTAGCTAATTTCGAAATTTTTCAAGTTATCATTACGATTGTTGACTTTTATTCCGAATTTTATTGAAAAGGCATCATAGAAGACGGAATCGTAAAAGCGAGTTTATTACTTCGCTTTTAACACTAATGTTATAGATATTTTTTTTTTTTACAAACACTCAGACGAAAAAAAGTCACTTTTTTATTTGGTCTGAGTACAAACCATGTCTTTATTCCCATATAATAGAAGAAAACAAGAATTAAGGAAAACACTGCACTGCACTTGCAAGGGCCCACAAAGGGCAGGACAGACGAGCGATTAACTTAATCTATTACAAAATTTGACTTGCAATAGGTACCTATCATGTGATGATGTTTTGTTTTGTTTAATCGTTGGTTAAATATAAGTTATTCTTACATCAAAGTGATCTTCACAGAACTATAGATTAGATTTTGTAGACAATGCCTTCGGCTCTCTTCTTGCCAGTTTTAACCAAGTATTTCTCACATTTAAATATGTTGGCACTTTAATCCATAACTTCCCCGGTGTTCTTATGCTCGTATTTTTGCAATCAGGCACAACACAATAATGATATAAATGATAACTCATTATTAAGCATTCAAAAGTATCTTATTCCTTTGCAAAATTGTCAAAATTCTACGACAGTGACGTCACGAGTTGAACAGTATGGCGGCTAGCATTTTCACGCGAAAATTTAAAACGATAGATTCGAAGTAATCTCCATGTCACTATTCGGTTTTAAAAATTTATATAAAAATTATAGTGGTTCAATATCACTCTAGGATTCATTTAAAACACTTTTTGAAAATGGGTGTAATACCCTATTAGACAATTCAATGAGTGTTATGTGTATAACTCTACATAATAATTCAATGTAAGAATAATGTTCTCCACGCCGAATTTCAGTCACGGTGGCCAGCCTCAAAGGAGACTAGCTATCGGCGCAGGACAGGATTATAGTACCCAAGTTTATGCGCAAGCACAGGTGCACTCTCTATTCCGTCACTCTCATAGTCCGATGGGTTGGTAAACCGACACGACTGGAGAGAGATCATGCGCAGAACCAACGGCTTTACGTACTTTCCAAGGCACGTTCATCAGTTAGATAATTCACTGTGTGCAGTATTTAACTCTACCAGTTTGACAATTCAATGTGCGCAGTATGAGACACTATCAGTAAGATAATTCACTGTGTGCAGTATTTAACTCTACCAGTTTGACAATTCAATGTGTGCAGTATGAGACACTATCAGTTAGATAATTCACTGTGTGCAGTATTTAACTCTACCAGTTTGTCAATTCAATGTGTGCAGTATGAGACACTATCAGTAAGATAATTCACTGTGTGCAGTATTTAACTCTACCAGTTTGACAATTCAATGTGTGCAGTATGAGACACTATCAGTTAGATAATTCACTGTGTGCAGTATTTAACTCTACCAGTTTGACAATTCAATGTGTGCAGTATGAGACACTATCAGTAAGATAATTCACTGTGTGCAGTATTTAACTCTACCAGTTTGACAATTCAATGTGTGCAGTATGAGACACTATCAGTTAGATAATTCACTGTGTGCAGTATTTAACTCTACCAGTTTGACAATTCAATGTGCGCAGTATGAGACACTATCAGTAAGATAATTCACTGTGTGCAGTATTTAACTCTACCAGTTTGACAATTCAATGTGTGCAGTATGAGACACTATCAGTTAGATAATTCACTGTGTGCAGTATTTAACTCTACCAGTTTGACAATTCAATGTGTGCAGTATGAGACACTATCAGTAAGATAATTCACTGTGTGCAGTATTTAACTCTACCAGTTTGACAATTCAATGTGTGCAGTATGAGACACTATCAGTTAGATAATTCACTGTGTGCAGTATTTAACTCTACCAGTTTGACAATTCAATGTGTGCAGTATGAGACACTATCAGTTAGATAATTCACTGTGTGCAGTATTTAACTCTACCAGTTTGACAATTCAATGTGTGCAGTATGAGACACTATCAGTTAGATAATTCACTGTGTGCAGTATTTAACTCTACCAGTTTGACAATTCAATGTGTGCAGTATGAGACACTATCAGTTAGATAATTCACTGTGTGCAGTATTTAACTCTACCAGTTTGACAATTCAATGTGTGCTGTATGAGACACTATCAGTTAGACAATTCACTGTGTGCAGTATTTAACTCTACCAGTTTGAAAATTCAATGTGTGCCGTATGAGACACTATCAGTTAGATAATTCACTGTGTGCAGTATTTAACTCTACCAGTTTCACAATTTAATGTATGCAGTATGAGACTCCATCAATTAAATAATTCACTGTGTGCAGTATTTAACTCTACCAGTTTGACAATATAATGTGCAAAGTATGTAACTTTTAATGGATGTAACGTGTTTCACACTATGCTTCTATATAAAATTCTAAATTCGTTAATAGATTCACCGACTCTTATGATTTCGTTACCAGCAAGTGTTAGTTTTCTTGTGCGCTTCTCACGTTTACCACTATTCATTTCTCTTCGGTTTCATAGAAACTATACGCGTAACTCTTTTATATGTCCTTCCTCCAACATGTATAACAAACATTTTTCAGAAATAGATATTTTTAGCACTAGTTCTAATCTTCTTAAAACTAATTAAAAAAAAGGTTTTGCAGTAGAATTGTTGCCCGACTATGTTGACTCACAATATAAATAATATGGTTTGTTAATGTAGATTTTTGGCACTCTTTGGTCTATTTGTCATATGTAAGTGCAAAATGTAAATTATGTAATTGAAATATGACTGTTTGTTGCCAAAATAAATGAAATGAGTATCGTGGAACACTCGGTTGGAATAAAGTTCCTTTCGTAGTATATCATTATTGATAAACGTATTGTATTATTAATTAACAAATACAAATAAATGAATTACTAGTCTATTAAAATGAAGCATGTAATATAATATTTCTTTTATGGCAAGATAAGAAAAAGTGCGAGGGAGATGGATATTATTCCATCTCGCTCTCATATAGCCATCAAATTGACCACTACATTACGTCAGAAGGTTTCGTGACGGAAAAATCTTACACTTTTTCTCGACTAACCCCATCCGTCAAATTCGTACCGTCCGATAAGGAACTTCGTTCCAAAAAAAGCTACTATTTAGAAAATTCAAGTCACCAGATAGAACATTTAATGTGTGCAATTTGTAGCTCTACCAGTTAAACAATTCAATGTGTACAGTATGCCACTCTACCTGCTGGGTACTGCGGTGTACAGCGGCGCGCGCCAGTAAGGCACTGGCTCTCGTGTGTATTGGGATTGAACCCGACCCGCTCCGTAGAAATACCCCACGCCGCCGATCATGTTCGACATCGCTGCTCTGGCGATATTCACGTCTTCATCAGAATATCTGTAATATATTGTTTATGTTACTGTTGCAAAATTAATTGTAACATTATTCACTACAAAAAAGTCAACAAACTAAATTTTATTTACCGCTTCTTCTCTGGAGAGGTTTAGATTTTTGGACTGTTCGTAGTTTACTTTTTTTAATAAAAATAAGGATGACATATAAGCACACAGTCCACCTGATGGTAAGTAACTACTATGCCCATAGACACCTCCATCTATTCTTAATTAAAAATCAAATTGCAGATACATTCAGATTCAAAAAAGGGTCTCCTGTTCTTATCACTCACCGTTCACTCACGTTGGTATTCTACTAATGCGGTCCTTCCCCGGTTCAGCAGACCTATTCATGATGCAATATAAGTGAAGCGTAGTTCTACCAGTGTCTCCATAAGAGGTCACGTATATCACTCTTATTTTATGAAAAAAAAAACACGAATAAGGATTGAAATAGTTAAAGTTGGGTAACAGCCTACATACTACATTGATGGGAACTGCCCTTCTTTTCATTACTGAGACGAATTTTTGACCAGGGAAGAGTGCCAAAGCGCATGCAGATTTTGTAAGTGGTGGAGGCATGCTGCAGCTATATTATTGTTGTAACACGAATAGGTCGGCTAGACCGGGAAAGCTCTCACAGTATAAAAGTATAAAATAGCGACATAACCCTGCGGTTTTGTATGGTGAATATAAACCTGAAACCCTTTTTAGTGGAATCAACGCTTTCCAACTTAGTCCTCAGAAGTGACAACACCTTTGCATTTTATTTCTTAATCGAGGATAGATGTAGATGACTATCGGCCACAATATCCACTTACCATCAGGTGGACTGTATGCTGGTTTGTCTCCTTTATTATACTAAAAGATATATATGTAGGCAGACCTCACGTGTCCTGAAAATACTAGACAGATAATTAGAGTATAGCATAAACACTCTTTGGAAAGTTTTATATACCCTTTCTTCAACAACTTGAAGTTCTCCTCAAACTCTTCGTCGAATGACTTCTTTTTCTCTTCTAAAACCTTCGTATATTCATCCTCTTTTAATGGAGGAGTCGGCAGGTCTTCTGTGGTATACACAACGTCAAGTATAAACGGTGTCTCGACTATCATTTGAATTGGTACGAAATTAGCGAAGACACCCTGAAAGAATAAATTACATAACTAAAGATTCATGTAAGAACCATCCTAGCTGATAGTCAAATCATAGATCTAATTGAAACGACTACGGTTCTTACGGCGCCACGATTTGAAGGCGGATTCTCATAGATCTCGACGTTATAAACCGAAAAGTAAGAATAAAATTTATCGCTCGCTATTTGAGTATCGATATCTCGGAAACGAGTAATTACTTTTTTTACACAGGAATATTGACCCAAAGTTACTTCTGCAACGGCTTCAGCGATGCGGGAGTGCAGCCCCTTTGCCCTTGCGGCTCCGGCTACGGCTCGCACAGGTACCTGCTATTTGCTACAGCGGGCATGGGCTGCTCTCCCTGGGCACCTATGGTTTTACAAAAACATTCTAGGGGTTCGGGCAGACAACACTACGTGGAGTTGAGGTGTGCCCATTCGGTTGTAGTAGTCGATTTTTGAGTATCGGAAACTAAGAGAGATATCGAAAAATTTTATTCATACTTTCGGCGAATCTCGTCGAGATCTATACGCCGAATCCGCCTTCAAATCGCCGTCGTACTACACTTAGCTTAACGGTGTGAGCTGCAGTTTTAACTATTACTCCATATCGTTACGTGTGAGTGTCGTAAGAGGTGACAGAGAAAACAAACCAGGAGATGGGCTGCAGCATCTTCGCGATAGCAATTCAAAATTATAGAAACGATGATTGCCAATCTGCTTGTCTAGTGTGGCCACTATGGCAGAATCCCCTCTACGAGGGGAGATTCCAATGTATGGGGAGGTCTATGTTCAGCAGTGGACTTTTGATAGGCTGTAATGAAACAAACATGTGCTGTAGCGCGAACTATAGGTGAGTTATATAAAAGTAGACAGCATAAAAACCTTTTTTTATATATAAAAAGCATGACAAATGAGCACACAGTCCATCTGTTGGTAAGTGAATGTGGTTGCCCATAGACATTACATTTATCCTCAATTAAGAATCAAAATGCAGATGCTTTGTCACCAAATGCAGGACTAAAATGGAACATCTCGTTTCCAGTAAAAAGGGTCTCCGGTTCTCTACACTCACCATACGAAACACGGCAGCATCAAGCTGCTGTTTTACGCTGGTATTCTGTGAGAGCGTGATCCTTCCCAGGTCGAGACGACCCACTCGTGCTACAACTATACTACTAATATAGCTGAATCAGAGGCTATAATTCCTCTATCCTCAATTAAGAATCAAAATGCAGATGTGTTATCACCCTTGAGGACTGAGATGGATTGTTTCGTTTCCAGTAAAAAGGGCCTTCTCTGTGAAAAACACATATATATGCCAACTTTAATAGTTATCAATCGTCGAAGAATCTCAAAGAGATATACCAAAAATAATGCAGAAAGTTTAAACTACCTTCTCAGTCAGCTTGGGATCTGCTTCCAACACAGCCAGCTGTCCGAGGCGGCCATAACGCTCCTTACTGGGTTTTAGCAATGAATAAAACTTCTCCTTGAGGAGATGCAGCCCTGGTGCCACTGCTTCAGAGTAGGAAGTATGAAGGACTTTGCCTGGAAGCATTAATAATAATAATAATAATGTCCTCCAGACCGAATTTCGGTCACAGCGGCCAGTCTCAACGGAGACTAGCCATCGGTGCAGGACAGGATTATAGTGTCCAAGTGTACGCGCAAGTACAGGTGCACTCACTATTCCCTCACTCTCATAGTCCGATGGGACGGTAAACCGACAACCCCGGAAAGAGATCAGGCGCAGGAGCTACGGCTTTACGTGCTTTCCGAGGCACGGGGGTGAGACACCGCCAGCTTCCAGACTCCGGGCAGCTACTGAAAGCTTTTTTGATGGAAAATTTCAATAACTGATTTTTTTGGGTCCACCCGGGATTCGATCACGGAAGGTCGTGATCAGCACTCGCACTAATACAACCACTAGACCAACGAGGCAGTCCGGAAGCATTAGACACTTAGTAAAATACTTAAATAAATTAAGTTATAATTATTTGTTATTTTCAATAGTTCCGATTTCGATCATTTTATAAAAACTTAAAAAAAGCCTTCAATTTGTTTTAGTTGAAGATATTATTATAGCAAAGGTAAATATTATAATAGAATAAATTATTGGAATGAAGTGCCTTATCTGATGGTACGGGTTTGGCGGATGAGAGCTAAACGACAAAAAGTGTAAGAATTTTTTCGTCACTACCCCTTGTGTCATAGTGTAGACGGCCTTGGCGGCGAAATAAGGAAGTGAGATGGAATAACATCCATCTCCCTCGTACTTTTTCTTATCTTGCCTTGAAAGAAATATTATTTTATTTCAAATGATTGAATTCATTTATTTGTATTTGTTAATCAATAATATAATAAATAATACCCTACATGAGGAACTTCGTTCCAACCGAGTGTTGCACGACACTCACGCATTTTTTAATTCAATATAGACTAAAATTATTATTTTTAGGGTTCCGTACCCGAAGGGTAACCAACGGGTCCCGATATGATTCTAACAGATGGAGTCATGAGATGTGAAGCAAGCAGTATAACTTAGTAGCCGCGTAAGATAATAATGTAACGTTTATCCTGGCGTGGGTAGCGTAAGAGCAACAGAGAGAAACTGAAACGCGATATGGACAGTAGCATTTTGATAACGGTTTAAAATTATAAAAAACGGCGGATAATAAAACCGCCAGCTTAGCGTGCCAACTTTAGCAAATATCCCTAAATAATTAATCACCCAGTGAGCCCATATATATAACTTGTGTGACATACTTGTGTTCATATATATGGGCTCACTCTATGGTCAGGATGTACAACATGCCACCATCATGTATAGGGCGCCTTCTTTGCTTTAAGTGCATTGCAGACATCCAAGGGAATGGACATGTAACATCTGATGAACTGTGCATATATATTTCACTCTATTCTCCTATTTTTTAAAGGATAAGGGTAACAAACAAGCAGACAGTGTTTTTGATGGTAAGTAAATGGCACATAAACACATTTATTTCCAGTAAAAAAAAAAAGATTTTACAGTTCTTTACACTTACGATACCGAAACACAGCACACATGAGAGTGTGTTCCGTCCCTGGTCAAGTCGACCCATTCATACTACAACAATAGTATTTATTTATAGGATAGAATAACAAACGAGCACACAGTCCACCTGATGGTAAGTGGTTGCTGTGATCCATAGACATCCACATCTATCCTCAACAAAGAATCAAAATGCAGATGCGTTGTCACCCGTGAGGACTAAGATAGAATGCTTCTTTTCCAGTAACGGTTCTCTACACTCACCATACGAAACACATCAGTGTTAAGCTGCTATTTTACGCTGGTATTCTGTGAGAGCTACAACTATACTACTAATATAGCTGCAGCATGGCTCTACCACGTACAATTAAAGTATAGCTGCGGCATGACTTTGGACAACAATATAAATCATAGTTTACCTGTATGAGGCACAAAATTCACTCTAAAGTTCTGAAGCTGAGGCGTGTGACCCAACAGTGCCCCACTTTCCACCCACAGACGAGAATGCGGAGCCGCCGGCCCAAGGGATTCGTCTAATGCCCCATACCATATTATGCCCACTGTGGTCGGTTTCTTATTCTAAAAATGTTATTTAAATATAATTAATATGTTGCAGCAATCGTTCAAAACTAAAGTGAAAACATCTGTAGAATCGTTGTCATTTGAATCTCGATGAAAGGAAGAACCGATACTAAAAAGAGACAAACGTATGAGAATGATGATGATAAATGAGAGAATGAGATAGCATACAGTATACAGTATTTCCTATTATCTATTATACTTTAGTTACCATAAGCCACTAGTGTCATTTGTTAACATTGAAAATTTGGTGTCTGTATAATATACATAATACATACATAAACACTCACGCCTGTCACCCAGGGCGGTAGGCAGAGACAATGGACTTCCATTTGGCACGATCTTGACACACCTCTCTCGCTTCCTCGATATACCTACGCATACACGCTAGTGGGTTAAAGGTACTCTTAATTTGGCCCATTTTTAATATATCGCCAATTTGGTCAATAAACTTTCACCTAGGGCGTCCCTTCCCGACTCTGCCGTTCACCTCTGCAACGTAAATTTGCTTTGTCACTCTTTCCTCACTCATTCTTTCTACATGACCAAACCGCCGAAGCATTCCTTTTTTAATCCTAATCACAACGTGATCTTGCAAACCACTCTTCTCTTATCACACAATTTTTCACCGTGTCATTCAGATTCAGCATATATTACAGCAATCTGTATAATATGTAATGTATATGTAAAAATCTGAATCTGAATGACAGGGTAAGAAATTGTGTGATAAGAGAAAAGTGTGGTTTGCAAGATGACGTTGTGACCAGGGTTAAGAAATGAATGCTTCGGTGGTTTGGTCATGTAGAAAGAATGAACGAGGAAAAAGTGACAAAGCAAATTTATGTTTCATAAGTGAACGGCAGAGTCGGCAAGGGACGCCCTATACGTATACGTATAAAATTTATCGACCAAATCGGCGATACATTGAAAATGGGCCAGTTTAGGAGTACCTTTAACCGACGAGCGTGTATGTGTAGATATATGGATGTAAAGGAGGCGAGAGAGGTTTGTCAGTATCGCGCCAAATGGAAGTCCGTAGTCTCTGGGTGACAGGCGCGAGTGTTTGTGTGTGTGTGTGTGTGTTTTTAAAAAAAATGTAAAATAATTTTTAAATTTAGTAACAATATTATCATAAATAAACCCTACAATTATTCTACTTCTGATACACTGCATTCGTCTCATTCTCTCGAAGTTTAGTTATCTGAAGGTTTCACATCTACCACGTGTGTACTGCACACGTTTTTATTTTATTTTATCGCATAATATGTGCATTGCAGTACCACAATAGCGGCCCCATGGGTACTGAGGTGGTTGTATCTAGAACAAGCTACACAAAGGATAGGCTGCTCCTCAGTCTGAATACCTTGCCAGTTGGGGGATCCATTGTCCTTCCCGGCCATAAAAGTAAACATTATGGATGTAATATACTACCTAGAATAAATATATATTAATTAGCAACCCGCCGCGGCTTTGCCTGGGGCCCTTATTGTAACGTCATTAAGATTTAAAAAGAAGAAAAATTGATAAAGTAAATGAATTATTAATAATCACAGACCATTTTTTAACAGTTTTTCAATCTCACAATAAATCTCCAAGTTTTTTGGTTAATAGTCTAAAAAACTTTACTAAAAGTAGATCACACCTGGCATTGTCAGCCGAAGATTAGCCCTGACCGACAGACAAACAGACAGGCCAACATTATGGAAATGGTTATTCACGTCATAGTGGCCTGCAAATAATCCCCCTGAGCATATTAATTAGCAGTTATTTTGAAACTACAGACAGATACTTTAATCTATACTAATATCTGTACTATTTTTATAATATATAATAGCTCTATAGTTTTTTTTATTTGAACACGCTAATATGGAACTACCAGTCCAATTTGAAAAATTCTTTTCAGTTCATATTACATATATTCCAGTTTCATGGGGAACAATATAGGCTATCTAGCATTAGAGTACATAGGCTGCACTAAAAGTATCGGGAATGTAATATTTCCACTGTTCCTGTCATATTAAAATCTTTTTAATTGAAAAGTCCTTGGTTTTTTAAAATTGGATACCATTTATTTATTTAAAAAAAGATTCTCGTTCTTGTCACAAGGTTTTGTCAAACTTGTTTAGTCGTTGAGAAAATGGAATTGACTCGAGAAAATTCAAGAGCGATGATTTATTATGACTTTCGAAGTGGTTTAACACAAAAACAGTGTGTTGACCGGATGATTTTTGCATTTGGTGATGAAGCCCCATCCAAAACCACAATTTATCGCTGGTTTGCTGAATTTCAACGTGGATGTGTCAAGCTCAGTGATGATCCCCGTCAAGGTCGTCCAAAAACTGCAGTCACTCAAGAAAACGTTGATGCTGTGCGTAAGCTGATTGAGGAAGATCGACATGTAACATACCGCGAAATTCAGGCAACTTTAGACATTAGCATGAGTCAAATGCAAATACTCTTGCATGAACAATTAGGTGTAAAAAAAGTTGTTTTCCCGATGGATACCGCATTCGCTCTGTGAAGAGCAAAAAGCGGCTCGCGTTACTTGTAGCGTCAGAACTCTCGAAAGATTCCACGCAGGATCCTCAAATGCTGTATACAACATCGTATCAGGTGACGAATCCTGGATATACGCGTACGAACCCGAAACAAAAAACCAGTCACGAGTTTGGGTGTTCGAAAATGAGTTAAAGCCAACAAAAATTGTTCGTTCACGGAGTGTTGCAAAAAAAATGGTGGCCACGTTTGTCTCCAAAACCGGTCATGTTACGACTATTCCTCTTGAGGGACAAAGAACGGTTAATGCATTTGCATTTGCATTTGCTAGCATTTGTTTGCCACAGGTCGTTTCTGAACTCCGTAAAGAGAACTGCAACCGCCGCATCATCCTCCATCACGACAATGCGAGTTCTCACACCGCACACAGAACAAAAGAGTTTTTAGAGCAAGAAAACATAGAATTATTAGACCATCCGCCGTACAGCCCCGACCTAAGCCCTAATGATTTCTATACTTTCCCTAAAATAAAGAATAAATTGCGTAGACAGAGATTTTCATCGCCTGAAGAAGCCGTGGACGCCTATAAAACGGCCATTTTGAAGACCCCAACTTCCGAATGGAATGGTTGCTTCAATGATTGGTTCCATCGTATGGAAAAATTTGTCAAATTTCGCGGAAAATACTTCGAAAAGCAATAAATACATTTTTAAATAGTAATGTTGTGTCACTTTCTTGATTCCCGAAATTTTCGTGCTCCTGAACTGCTATATCCGGGAGCGATGGCGTAATGGTGATATCATATGCCTATTTTTTATACATAAGCCACAATGAGGTATTTTGTGACAAAAAATTATTGAAAATTAAAGTTATTTATGAACGTTACTAGGCATGGCATATTAATCCTTATGAACGAAAATTACTTCATCATCAAGACAATTTAAAAAGATAAGCTTTGTTTGCTCTTTATTGCATTTGTTATTTGGACGCATAGTTTAAAATAATAAAAATTAAAATAATTCAACACTCGGCTTAGATGATTAATAAGAGAACCTATATATTTTAATATCACATGAAAATGTCACTAAAAATATTGTCTATAATGAAGTATTATAAATCAATCAATCATTTAGTGGTTTCTTAAATTACACGCGGGTGAAAGCGCGGGGCGCAGCTAGTTGTATTTATACGTATACATTTTAAACAGATTACGGATATAAGCTATGAGATGTATTTTTTTCTAAATTAACAGTTGCTACTAACTGTAGTTGTGACATTAATTCTTGCAGTCCAATGTCCTCCGTGTTCGCCTCCCATAGTCTTTATAAAGGATGTGATGATCTGATGAGGTGGATCCGATATATGTTGTTCACCAAACGTGAAGCCGTTGTGGCGTTGCCAGCCGTATGTGGGTAAATTATCACTCTGCTCACACCAGTGTCTGAAAAAAAGAAGGATTGTCTGATAAATAACCAAATTTTTTTGTACAAGTGAAATCAAGAATAAGAGAGATAGATGGCTTTTAGCCTCTTTACATCCCTTCACCATCATTTTTTTTTATCTTTAAAAAAAATTTACCCACACCATAGCATTTTCTCCTGTATGAACTTTACAAGGACAAACATCCAAACCGGGAAAAAATATTTATAAGCCGTACAAATACTTTTTGGGTGCGGGATTCGAACCCGCGGCCCGCAGCACCGGAACTGATTCCTACGCCACTGCGCCGCGTAGTCGTCAAAAACCTTCATTGATCCATTAGTCTATCAAAATTCTTCGGAAATCGGATGTTGTCTAAAATATTGTATGAAGCCTACACATAAAAATTATGGTGATGTAATTTTTAGTAACCGAACGAATATTCGGTTTCGGTTCCGTTTCGGCAAGTTGCGGCAAAAAAATCTAGTTTCGGTAATAGTTTCGGTTTCGGCAAAAAATCTGCCGAACCTTCGGCGGCGCCGAAACTCACTGTTCGTGGATTATCGTGCGTCATTCGGATGATTTCGTGACTCGTCTATTATCTATACATATAATAAATCTGTAGAAAAGTCATGTCTGTAATTCTAATATATTCTTGAAAAAACAAGTCCAGGGGACTAAATAAAGGGTTGTGTGGGTGGTTTTTAGAATTTTTGTCTGTCTGTCTGTCTGTGTATTCCGGATTCATGCAAAAACTGCTGAACCGATTTATATGAAATTTTGTTTGTAGGTAGTTAGTAACCCGGGACAACTTAAAGGCAACTTTTTATCCGATTACGGAACTTTAAAAAAGGAAGGTTAAGTAATTTTATTTCCTTTAGATGTTAATTTTCTGTTATATCTTAGTTATAGGCGGGATGACGGGTGTTTTTCAAATAAATACCATATTTGTAAATAAAGTTTAAAATATAGTTATAATCTTGGTAAAATAAGTTGAAACTACACCGATTTCGTATTCAAAACAGCGCCATCTATCATCAAATGGAAAAAGTAGTATATTTTGCATTCAATTACAAATAAATGAAATAATATAAATAACTTACATTTATATGATTAAATTATAACATTTTTAAATTTATTAAAAAATCCTAACGTTCAGTTTTTTTGTATTTTTGTTATTTTATTTTAAAAGTGCAATAATTTCAATAGATAATAGTGACGTCTATCAAAAATATAAAAATTGTGGTATTTATTTCAATTATTAATATATATGTAAAGTGATTAAAACTGGTTTGTCTGCAATTGTTGCAAAATTTTCATTATCATCGTAGTTTGATTAAAGAGATTTTTATGTATGTCGTAGCCAGATCGTAGAATTGATTATATATCATAGTCTATCATTTCGTGAAATGGTGTGGTCATTTTATGATATTTAAGACTATTCGTTGGCCATGTAATGATATAGCTTAACCAAATCAAAGAATAGAAATCGTTTGAAGATATTATTAACTAAGCACAACTTTGCTATTTCATAATATGGTCATATGATGATATTGTTACGAGCTTAGGGTTCGAGACAATTAAAAACTGCCGATTGAATTACCAAAATTGACACTTTAATTACACAACACTAATTACAATCTAAAATCACACTAATAATAAAACACAGTTCGTTGTTATTTCGCTTCGAAGATTCTCTTGTATCGCCAATTCAATACTACTCCGGTCGTGGTCTATACCGGCCTTATATAGGGCCTCAGCTAGTTTCCAGAACCTTCTACTGTAGCGACATCTAGAATGTACGAGTACATATCGGCCCCGAAATTTCTGGAAGGATCTCGACTCTCCTAGTTCTGCTACTCGACACTAGAGGGCGCTAGTGTAACTAGTGTTACCATGTACAAGACATTAATAGTGGCGCGCAATACTTTCATTTACTCGACACTAGGGGGCGCTAGTGTAACTAGTGTCGCCATGTACAAGACATTAATAGTGGCGCGCAACAATATCATTAAATCGTTTTTCATCGCTAGCGGCGCTGATAGCTTATTTTTTAACAGAAACAGAAATTTCAAGAGAATTGATCTCACTTTATACCTTATTGATATAATAAATAAATGTTCGCTTCTATTGCTAATATTACTAGATGGTATAGTTTTGGCTTTCATTATTTCATGTAATATTAGCGCCACCTACTTATATATATACTACTTCTAAATAAACTAAAATGGCAAGTAATTGATAAAATTAAATAATACAATATGCTACTGAATATACGATGTAAATTATTGAATTATTTACATTCACTTTTTTAATTTTCATGGGGCAATATATGCAGTTTTTATTTCATTAGTGGTTTCGGGTATGTTACTTTTTGTTTTCACTCTACCGTAAATATGAAGGCCTGCAAAGATGAGTAGAACTCATTATCGTCAGCCTATCAAAAGTCCACTGAAATGAACATAGGCCTCCCCCATAAATTGTCAAGTAGCTGGATATTTGCTATAGTGGCGGGTTGGCAACCGCAGCTATTATTATTTTGATCTGCTGTCAAGAAGATGATGCAGATCATACCATCTACTGTTTTTTTCCTATGTCGCCTCTTACGACGGGACGATATGATGTGTTGGATTTTCTTTCACCACCACAACAGTGCGAACATTTTTCTACTCCCGTTCCTGAGTGTAGTGTTCCGCACGTTCACTGTGTATAAAATTTATAAGGAATAAAGCTAATTTTAAGGATTTTATCGCGTCTAATTTTAACTTTTTAATTTCCCGATGTTTTGGGCACTTTACAGCACCCATGTGAGGGGCGGGAGAACTGAGGTGTTTGACGACCTGATGTCATAGTTAAAATAGAATAGAATAAATGCAGTAGTAGTTTTAATTTAATTTTATTAATTATGGGGTCCTTAGCAGATGGTAGCACTCAGCCATCTGCCCTATTAAAATTAGGATATTTTTAATTTCAATAGCCTCGCGAATCATCATTGGTAGGATTCGGTGTTCTATTGCAAGGATTTGTTGTATATCAGATCCGATATAATGGTTGGGGTGATACTAAACATGTTCACATACTTTAGACTTCCCGGAGCTTCGGTGCTTCACATCAACGATATTATGTTCTTTTACTCGAAATTTTCATCCAAGACGCGTAAAAAAACTCGTAACATTAGTATTAATCCATGTGTGCTATTCATTATTATTTATGAAATTTTCAAGTCTACTCGAAGTAAAAAAAATATCTATATCTACTTTATGGTGCCAATCAATAAATATTAAATAGGACCAATGATATAAACAAAATGTCTCAAATAAACATTATATTACTTTGTTAAAACTAAATTAACTTAACTATGAATAAATGTAAAGAGTAAAATTTAAACAATAATAATAGTTACATTTTGATTTCAAGACTCTTATTCTTATGGATAAATCGGAATCAGAAGACACGCCCGATATAAAAAATAGTAGGTGTTTCTAGACCTATATATTCACGTGTTTCTGTAGCATGTTACCAATCATCTAAGTCTAATAGTATTTTAGAATGAAAAAAAATCTTTGACAGACATAGAGACATAGACGCCAAGGTGACTCTAAAAGTGATCGAATTTTTCTCAATTTGGCACGGAACAGCATTTAATGATGTCCCTGAATTCAAGAGCACGCGAGCGAAGCCGCGGGTAAACAGCTAGTACAGAATATAATACACGAGTCACGTCACGTCATAATTATACAGAAACAGAAACTTTTTATTCGATATAGATTGTAAATAATACTTATTGAAAGTCACTCTTTTGTATAATTACCACTGGTTCGAAAAAAGAAAAACCTCTTGTTCGCGACGGCCTAAAGACTAAGCAAAAAGTGATGAAAGAATAGGTATTATTTTGTATAAAAAGTGAAATTAGCAACGAAATCGAACAAATTGTGTATTTATATGATTTTACAATGTGTTTACAACTCTTAATATATTTGTATAGAATGTCGTTTTAATAATAGTTGATATAAACAACTTTAATCATCTAAGAAAAATTCGACCAATCGCAGCGCGTCATATCGTAGAACTTTCTGGAAGTTTAATTAACTGCGCAATAGTTTGTAACTGAAAATAATAAGAATATTTTTGTGTTCTAAAAGAGTTGTAAATATGATATTTAGTTAGCATATGGCATATAGATTGCGATAGTAAAGAAATATTTTGTATAATTAAACGCATTTGGTAGTTATAGAAAAATTAAAGATTTAATGTACTTACACATTTGTTATGAAAATTTGGTACATTTCGTTTAATAACTTTTTTAAATGTTAATATATTGAGTAACCTTTATCACATACTGATAAAGAACCAAAATGCCTATTTAATGATGTATAGCGTGTTAGTGTAAAAATTAGCCTTGTATAGAAAATATTGCGATTTGTGCTAATTACATAGTGAAAATGTTTAAAAATAAAGAGGCAAAACGGAAAATGGCAAGCGGCTCTCTATACAGTATAGCCGAAGTCTACCTTATGGGGGCAAATCCCAGTAACGTTGTAGTAGGAAGAACTACCAGTGACAAGCAGTAGTATCCGGTAGTAGCTGAAGTGACTAGTAGCAGAACATAGTGAACAGTAATAGTGAATTAGAAAAAGTTTAGCTAGCCAAAAAAGATCGTAACTGAAAATCGCAGTTACACATAGCCGAAAAATTAAGTGGCAACTGAAAATTCGCAGTTGCATATAGTAAAAAAGTGTTAGCTAGCCGAAAAAAGTGATAACTGAAAATTCGCAGTTGCATATAGTAAAAAAGTGTTAGCTAGCCGAAAAAAGTGGTAACTGAAAATTCGCAGTTGCATATAGTAAAAAAGTGTTAGCTAGCCGAAAAAAGTGGTAACTGAAAATTCGCAGTTGCATATAGTAAAAAAGTGTTAGCTAGCCGAAAAAAGTGGTAACTGAAAATTCGCAGTTGCATATAGTAAAAAAGTGTTAGCTAGCCGAAAAAAGTGGTAACTAAAAATTCGCAGTTACATATAGTAAAAAAGTGTTAGCTAGCTGAAAAAAGTGGTAACGGAAAATTCGCCGTTACATATAGTGAATAGTGTTAGCTAGACGGAAAAGGTGGTAACTGATATTCGCAGTTACACAAGTGATAAAGTCAACTAGTTTTAGTTGATTAATAGCTGCTAGTCAGTAGAGTTAGAAAACCAGCTACTACCAATAGATATTTTGATACTACCAATAGATATTTGATACTACCAATAGATATTTTAATACCAATAGAAATTTCAATACTACCGGGCATTTTACCAATAGTGAACAACCGTGTTCAACAACCGTGGTCAATAAATAAATAGTTATAAAATTTCGCGACTAATTAATCAGTCGAACCGCTGGCCACTCCCTTGCTATTTTAATTTATAAATCGTGCACACCTCTGTCCTTGGAAGAACCAGCAAGAAACCCAGCGGATTTTTTTAAATAACAGCTTACAATCACGTACGTACGTAGACTAATATAAACGTGAGCGAAGTTGCATCAGCGAAGTCCTTTTTTTTTGTTAGTCTAAGGATCTACCCAATAGATCTATCCTACCAAACATGCTTTAACACGACATACGAGGGCGACACTGAAAGTTTTTAGAACTTTCAATATTATTGTGTATGTATTTTATTAGTCATTTGTTTACGATTTGAAAATTGTATTTGTCACGTTAGCATGAATTTAACGCGAGAAAATTTTCGTACAATTTTTTTTATGAATTTCTATGTCATTTAAGTAAACAAGAAAGTTATGATAGACTTCGATTGGCCCTTCACAATGAAGCCCCATCTCGTGCCACTGTTTACAACTGGTTTAATGAGTTTAAGCGTGGTCGCACTAATCTCACCGATGATCTGCGTGAGGGACGGCAACGGTGACAACTGAAGATAACATCAGTGTTGTGCGGCGTATGATAGAGACTGACAAAATAGTGACTTATCAGCAGATTCGCACAAGCTTAGGCATCGGTATGAGTGAAGTGCACAAAATCCTCCATGAACTTTTAGCGGTCAGGAAACTTTGTGGCCGGTGGATAACTCATAATTTGACAGAGGCCCAAAAACTCCGTCGTGTTGATTGGTTTCGTGAAATGGTTCAAAGATTTAAAGGAAATGACATACTTACTGGTGACGAAAGCTTGATTTATTGTTATGATCCTGAAACTAAGAGACAGTCTGCTGTCTGGGTGTTTCTTTCCAAGGAGTTGCCAACTAAAGTGAAGAGAGGTCGAAGCGTGGGAAAAAAGATGGTAGCCTCGTTCTTCGGAAGGACAGGACATTACACAACAATTGTTTTAGAGGATCAAAAAACAGTTACAGCAGAGTGGTACACTAACAATTGTTTTCCACTTGTCTTGGAAAAAGTTCGGGAGAAACGACCTCTCAGTAGGATCCCCCTTCACCACGACAATGCCTTGACGCACACCGCCAAGCAAACAATCGACTACACGGCGACGTCAGACGTGGAATTACTGGGTCACTTGACTTATAGCACTGACCTCGCACATTGCGATTTTTATTTATTTCCGAAAATAAAATAAAAACTTCGAGGAAAACGTTTTATGGACGCCGAGGAAGCAGTGGCTACGTTTCAAAATGCCGTCAAAGAGGCCCCTAAGGACGAGTGGTCAAAGTACTTTTCTCAGTGGTTCCATCGGTTGTGGCGATGTATTGATGTAAATGGACACTATTTTGAAAAGATGTAATAAAGCTAATAACTTGCTAGTTTGTTTCGTTTTTGACTTTCTAAGAAATTTCAGTATCAGCCCCCTCGTACCTACTCATATCTATTAATTCCTGACATGTCTCGTATTCCGTCAATGTAACAATCGCGATCTTTGAAGGTAGTTACAACGGCCTCGCAGTCGCCTTTAAGAGGGACTTTTTGCGAGGCCCCAAACAAACACACTTAAATTTGTGACTTTCTTTTTTGAGCGTAAAAGTGGTCAAATTAATTAGTCATCTGTGGAAAAGTCTGGGGGCATCGTATTATAGAGGCCCCTTTAAGTGCGAGGCCGTGAGCGAGGGCCCACTTCGCCCACGCTTAGCTACGCCAATCTTACAATCATGCATGTAACACAATTAACAACACAAAACAAATTAGAAATAGCTGGCAGTGGATCACCTGATTCCCAAGGGTTATTATCATCCATATTATAATAACCCTTTTTACACAAACTTAGTTTATTAAAGTTTTTGAACTTTGAGCAGCTTTTGTATATTTTCTGGGATTTTGTTAAGTTGTGTGTATATTGTGTGTGTGTGTGTGTGTGTGTGAGTGTGATATATTAAGTTAATGAACTCATTGAATAATATTAACAATATATTGTGAACACAATAAAATATGTTCTCAATTAACGAGCAACTTTTTATGGGTGTAAGTGTTAATTTTTCTACAAAATTGACTTAAAAAAGTATTTCTTAACATTAAATTGTTCATTCTTACTTTAAAATAAATAAATATATTGCTACATAACTATTACAATAACTGGTATCTGCTATTCAATTAACATGCATAACCTATCTGTATATGTATGAAACATATACCAGATTTCAGTATAAAATAAAATAAAATGTCTAAATAAGTTTCGGTTTCGGCCGAAACTGACACCCAGACCAAAGGTTCGTTTTCGGTTGAAAATCCTGTTTCGGTCGGACACTAGTAATTTTATTGAATTAACCTATCTCATCCAAAAATATTATTTAAAATATTACATAAGTAACCACACTTAGGTTTAATTGTAACACTTGGTGAATTTACATTTGTTACAAGTTCGATTATATATTTTAATATATTTTATTTACATATTCCCTAAATTCGACGCTGATGTTTGACATTTCATGGTAAGGTTCATATAACCTTTGTCTGCTCTTATGGACTCCTACTGTTACCCATTCATTGAATGCCTACAGACTGTTCAAGGGGAACGTTTTATAAGTAAAAATATTATCAAACTAGCTGAACCCCGCGACTTCGCCCGCGTGTAATTTAGAGTTGTAACTATGTCGCGAGAAACCCTAATTCTTTTTCTAAACTATAAGTAGTCTAAGTTACTCCTTATAAAATCAGCTACCTGCCAGTGAAAGCCCCGTCAAAATCGGTCCAGCCATTTCGGAGATTAGCCGGAACAAACAGACAGACAAAAAACGTAAAAATTGTGTTTTTGTTATAAATACCGTATATATTTTCATATGCATTTAGTAAAAAGCTGTTATTTTGATAGTACAAACAGACACTTCAATTTCATTTATTTGTGTGTGTATATATATATAGATTCATTGCAAATAAGCTTAAACAATGTTCCATACAAAGAATTTGGATCATTTTGGTATGAGAGTGATGGAAGTTTGTTCACTGTGTTACTTCTAAACTTCTCCAAATGCACGTCATTTGGAACGAACAATTTTCTCATCTACTTGCTTTTTGTGAACCTAAGGTAACGAAACTAACTGTCCAGAACTAAGAAATACTAGAAAACTAACAGTGTAGTAACTCAATTTTTGAATTATACATTTATGCAACGGCTTAACATTTGTAAAAATGTTATCTATACATGTTGCACTACATTCAGTAACACGTGTTCTATACATGTTGCACTACATTCAGTAATACGTGTTGGCTCTAAAAATAAATTAAAAACACCATATGATTTAAACAATGATCTAAATTTAATATTGGTGGAGGAGCATCACTTCTACAAATCCCTACTGGAGGAGACCTTGTGTTCTAGAAATTCTTAATAATCAGTATGTTATTTGTAGTGTAACATTATAAAGTTTAGTCAGCTGCCAGTAACATAAAAAAGAAATGGAAATTTACATCTATTCTTCATCCAGAATAGATGTAAATTTCCAAATTATGGCATTCTTCATATTTTCTTAAACAATTTGTATCCATCCCATTTGTTTAATGTTTGTTTCTGGATTTTAATTTAACATAGTAGATAGAAAAATAAACACCAGACTTCTGGCCAGTCTTTTAATGTTGCTATTATTACCTGATACCCTTATGGGCTGCCCCGAGCTCGTACCACATCAAACCGAAAACTGGCGAACGAGGTTCTCGGCTCTTGAGACCGAAATATACACCGGGTCGGTATGTTCCCCAATATCGGTCAGGCACCATAAGACCCGTCTCCTGAACTGCCTGGAAATGAAAATAATTATAAATACACAGCAATTGTGTTAGATATCTGTAGAATGCGACATTAGCGAATTAAAAAGTTGGATTAGGATAAAGCCCTGCCTGATGCTGTGTGGTGGCGGTGGTGATAGTTATGGTGGTGATGATAGTGACGGTGGTGATGGTGATAGTGATGGTGGTGGTGGCGGTGTTGATAGTGATAGTGGTGATGGTGGCGGTTGTGGTGGTGACAGTGATTGTGGCGATGGTGGTGGTGATAGTGTTGGTGGTGGTGGTAGTGATGGTGATAGTGGTGATAGTGGTGGTGTAAGTGAATTCGTCAATCTCGTGATTTTCGTAAGAGGTGACTACGGGAAAAACAAAATAAATCTAATGGTTTCCGAAATAAGGTGTGATAAATCATCTCATCAACTTAGACTAACGATCCACCATAGATTTGAACGGATGGTTTCTGGATCTCGTAAACAGTGCCACCTACCGTCTCCAATTGTGAATCTTAACTATTATCGAATCAACTTAATCGCACACACTAAATTTCATCAAACTCTGTCCGGCTACAATCACATACACACGTATAGAAGACTTATAACATGCATATATTATTCATATAAACCGTTCTCTTAAATCATTCTGGCTATTGATGAAACCGCATTAAAATCCGTTGCGTAGTTTAAAAGATGTAAGCGTACAGACGGCAGGAAGCGACTTTGTTTTTATACTATGTAGAGATATAAAAGTAGTAACTAGGCAGTAAGTAGTTTTTGCACCACTGTGTTCCAGTTTGAAAGATGTATGGGTTCTAATTACAGGCTGCATTCCATCTTAATCCTCAGAGATGATGGATCTGTAACCTCCTTTGTTTGAAGTTGGCTGCAAGTATCCATTAACTGCAGTCATCACTACCCATTAAGTAACTGTATGTTCATTTGACACTAGGTCTGGTACTTTGATTGTCAATCCACCTATTCTTAATCGAGGATAGTAGGCCACAGCATCCACTTACCATCAGGTGGACTGTGTGCTTGTTTTTTTTTATAGAATACAGGTGACAAGCGAGCACACAGTCCACCTGATGGTATGTGGTTGCTATGGCCCATAGACATCTACTATCCTCGATCACGAATTAAGATGCAGATGCATTGTCACCCGTGAGGATTTAGATGGAATGCCTCATTTCCAGTAAAATGGGTCTCCGGTTCTCTACACTCACCATACGAAACACAGCAGTGTTAAGCTGCTATTTTACGCTGGTATTCTGAGTGTGGTCCTTCTCCGGTCGCGTCAAACCATTCGTGCTAGAACTATACAAATACTCGTAAGATAGCTGCAGCATGCTCTACCACTTGTTTGTCACTCTTATTCAATAAAAAAAATCCTGCCAAGCGTGACATTTAAGGAAAATCCTAATTAAAACAAGAAAGGTTCATGTTTATGTTTCAACAGTGAAATGATCTGGTGGAGCTTACTGAATAACAAAAGATTATAGGAAACTTCTCCAAAAAGAATAATAATATAGAAAATAAACATTTCACTCTATAAATATCATATTAAATGTTGGTAAAACAGTACATAAAATTTACAATTTTAATTTACTTCAAGCCTTTTTTACCTTCAATTAAAGGACATATATATAAAACTAGAAGTCCAGAAAAATATTACTATCTAAGAAATAGTAAAAATACATTATTGATATTAATAATATTTTGGTATAGAAAATATCATCCATCCATCTATCCATCCATTACAGCCTATAAAAGTCCACTGCTGAACATAGGCCTCTCTCATATATTGATAGTAAACTTCCTAAGGCGAGTCTTGCCTACTCTGCTACTAAATTCTGCATCATAGATTTGCTTTGTCACTTCAATCTTTCTTTATATGTGACCAAAACGTAATATGGTTAATTGTAACTTTGTAGACATCGTAAAGAAACCTGCATGTCTGAGGAATAAAAAAAAGAACTAAAAAATATTTCAAAGACGTAAAGTTCGTCACCATGCATTGGGGCAGCATGACATTTCTTTGCTCTAAAATTGTGAGGTATTTGCCCAGCTATACACATATAGGTATGTAGCAGCAGGACATATATGGGATGTAACTTTATTTTACTTTGATTTGATTTTATTTACTGCAGTCTTCACAATATGCTCTATTGCAAACTGATAAGCTGATATATTCTAGTTAGCTGATACACTATTACTCTCGTAAAACATAGACAACACAGTCCCGGCACAGTTAATTGTATGCCACACAAAACATGTGTTACGAACATGAATTAAACCCATGCACTGTAGCACGGCAGTATAACACTTATCACACTACTGCATTGCTGAGCCATCAAATCATCACTGTCTTTCTCCAAACAATTAGTGACTTTAAAATATCGATATGCAATATAAATAAATTAAGACCTTTACTATGTACATTACTAAAGTGTTTTTATATTTAATTTTAAAACAGAAAATAAAGCAGTTATATAACAAATTAATAATTATATGTGTATATAATTTTAACAAACCGTCAAACAGTATAAGAAAGATATGTATATACTAGTTGTTACCTGCCTATTGTGTGGGGTCTATATTAAAATATTATATTTGAAAACTGTGTGTAAACGTGGTTGCTGATCATGAGGACTTGGGTTTGAATCCCAGGTTTTGCGAAAGTCAGTTATTGGGTTTTACTGTTTTATAGCCTGAAAGATGGCGGTGTTTTAGCCTCGTGCCTCGGAAAGCACATAAAGGTGTGGATCCTGCGCCTGATCCCTCCGGCCGTGATGGTTTACTGTCCCATTGGATATGAGAGTGAGGGAATTGAGAGTGCACCTGTGACCACAGATGGCTAGTCTCCGTCGTTGACCACCGTGACCAAAATTCGGTCTGCAGGACATTATATTATATACAATATGTAAAAAAAGAATGTGTGCAGTTCTCATATGGTAGAACTGAAACCTTCACATAAGGAGACCGAGATAATATTTTTTTTTTATAGGAGAGGGGGCAAACGAGCATGCGGCTCACCTGATGGTAGTGACTACCGCCGCCCATGAACAACCGCAACACCAGGGGAATTGCAGATGCGTTGCCGGCCTTTTAAAAAGGAGCAGGCTCTTTTCTTGAAGGTCCCTAAGTTGTATCGGTCCGGAAAAATCGCTGGTGGTAAACTATTCCACAAGGAAGTTGTGCGAGGAAGAAAACATCTTCTAAATCGCACAGTGGTGGACCGCCAATCATCCAGATGGTGTGGATGGTATCTGGAGTTCTGCCACGATGTGCGTTCGTGAAATTTGGCGACTGGGATTAATCCGAACAATTCCTCAGAGCACTCCCCATGGTAAATGCGAAAGAAAATGCAAAAAGATGCAACATCTCTTCGCAGTGCCAATGAATCGAGCCGATCGGAAAGGACTCGGTCGTCGACGATTCGAGCCGCTCTGCGCTGGATGCGGTCAAGTGGAAGGAGCTGGCACTGGGGAGCCCTAGCCCAGAGATGGGAACAGTATTCCATGTGAGGCCGAACCTGCGCCTTGTAAAGTTGCAGGCGTTGAGCAGGCATGAAAACCAGCGTAAAATAGCAGCTTAACGCTGCTGTGTTTCGTATGGTGAGTGTAGAGAACCGGAGACCCTTTTTACTGGAAAAGAGGCATTCCATCTTAGTCCTCACGGGTGACAACGCATCTGCATCTTGAGTCTTTATTGAGGATAGATGTAGATGTCTATGGGTCACAGTAACCACTTACCATCAGGTGGACCGTGTGCTCGTTTGTCACCCAATCCTATAAAAAAAAAAAAATGAAATACTGTCCCGCTCTGCTGAGCACGCCAAGCTTTTTAGAGGCCAATTTGGCCTTCTCTTCCAAGTGACCACGAAACTGCACGTCACTCGATAGGGGAGTACCTTGAAACTGAGGAGATACGACAAAGGGGTTCTTTTTAGCGGTAAACGCGCAAACTTGTGTCTTCTGAGGATTAAACTGGACTAGATTTAGTCGCCCCCAATCCGAGACTTTGTCCAGCAAAGACTTGACTTCAGACACAAGTTTGTTCCGGAAGCACTATAATATTCTATCTCGTTCTCTCGCAAGCTAAATCCTGTAGATGTATATGTTTGTCTCCTTTTAGTGTCGCATTTTCTTTTCATCGAGTTTCAAATCACAACGATGCTAGAGAAGTTTTCACTTAAAAAAAAACTCTGACCCATCCATAAGGGTTTTTAGGTAGTGATTCCTAATTTAAAATAAATTATTATTTTAAATTGGGAAACTTACTTAATAATACCTGCAGTGCGGATGGCCATTGCCTAACAATATCTAGAGGTCACGACTTTGACCACTGTTGTTGATCCCAGGCATCACTTATCAGTTTAACATTTGTCTATAACAAATAATTCCTTAAAAAAATGGAAATGCTGCATGATTACGGTCACTTTTGATAGTATTGTGCCGCAAATAATGGCCAATGTTTAAAAATTTTAGGAGAAAAGCATGTATTTTGCCACGTTTTATTAGCTCTCTCTTGTTTGTCTTTCTGATTGTTGTTCTGGATGGAATTTAGTAATTGATTTTTAACTAACTTCTAGATGAGCTGGAAACTTGAAATTTTGAATATAGCTCAAATTCGGATGACAATGCAAAAATATCATAAATAAATATAGTAGTTGTTTTTTAATTTCACTTTTTAAATAACAATTATATTTTTAATCTGGTGTTTTAATTTGTTGTAATGTGCTCCATTCACATTGGACATTTTTTTACATAATGTATATCTATCAATATAAAACCCAAGCCCCACTTTAAATACCAGAGCATTATAAAAGGTTTTCTATGTTCTTTTTTATGATAAAAAATACCTCCATGCCCAAAATGTATTAAATGATGACAAACATCCAAACAGACAACTTTCATATTTATAAATTTATAAGAATTCTCCTTTTTTTTCCATCAGCTCATACATGTTGAACAAGAATTTACAACTCATTTCAACATAGACTTCATCAACATCAAAATTATAGTTTTTTACATAGTAAAGTCATGCTGCAACTAAGATAAATGTAAATCTAGTCAGCTATATTATAAAAAAAAATTAAAAACGGTCTCATGGATTACTATAGATGTCATAAGTATCTTGTTTCACCCAAGATGTAAAATATCTACACCAGGAATGCGGAACAGTGTCTAAAGTGTGAGTGTCTGATACTGTCAATCTGATATCTTTAATCCTTTAAGCTTGAAGATTAAGGCAAATTTACCTAAATAGGAGAGGCTCGTGTCAAGTGGACCCTTATGGACTGTGGAAGAAGACACATTGTGAATAATAGATACGTTGTGTATAGGAGATAGCTTTGTAAAAAATTATTTATTATATGAATTAGAAAAAATTCAACAGTTGAGAAAATAATTTTACTTTTGAGATGTGTGTAACAGAAGAAGATTAACTATAATTTTACAGAACTGGCTGTATAAAAACACTACAAGTCCAGGTAATAACATTATTTAAAATTAAAAATTTTGTATAGCTGACTTCAATATAAGTTATTAAGAATAACTCAAAAATTATTGGTCTTACCTTGATCAAATTCATATGGGAACACACGAGAAGTATCAGCTTTCATATAAAAAAAGAATCATCGAAAACAGTTCACCCAGTAAAAAGTTATGAGGTAACACACATAAAAAAAACATACAGTCGAATTGAGTACCGTCTAATTTTTGGAAGTCGGGAGAAAATATAATGCCATTAAAGCAGTAATCCATGTTAAAGATATGCCGCGAACTCACCTTTTCATCGTCGAAAGGTGTGTTTACGCGGGTCTCTAGATAGCCTAAGACGCCGACGTAAATAGCGACAACAAGGCAAAAGAAACCGACACCTGTTTTCCAAATAGATAAGAGTTTAAATGCACGACTGGTATCCGCTGTATCACTACCTCCAGAACTACTGTTCGTTTCGTTATTGTTTGCGTGTTTGTGCTGGGAAATGGCAACTTTTCTTTGCCTTACCATCTTAATTTGCCATAAAATTATAGATTAATTTAAAATACTTTATTTCAAAGAATTAGCAAAAATGGATAAGCGGCATTCACTTGGCAGTTGCAACGTTTGCAACAATGATAATAGCAGTGATAGTGATACTGATAGGTAAACCAAACGTCAATAAAATTAACCCATAGACATAGATAATATACGCTGTTTTCTTTCTTTGGTAATAGACTCGGACGATTGTACTTTTGCCAAATATTTTTTTACAATTCGAAACAAGCGCATTACTACTATGCCACCCAATCCCACTTTATCACTGAGCTCCATATATGGACTGGTTATAACTATGACATAATGAGGCATTTGATTTTCGCATTTAGGCGCTGACATAAGAAGTGAACGTCCAAGGAAATAATAATAGAGATAAGACAGTATAAAAAATATATCAATAAGAATTCTTTACTAGGCCTACCCGTAACATCCATTCTATTTATGTATCATATTAATATAATGTCATGCAATAAATAAATGTATCAATTACCTAGGCCTTGACGCAAGCTTTATACTTCACATTAAACAAGAATCAACGCTATCAACGTTTTTATTCGTAACTACAGAACGGATTTTGTTCCGGGTTTCAAATGAGAACATGCCTACGCATACCTGCATTGTGGAGGCAAGAACGGATTATGATGGACTTGCACCTACTAAAATCCCATGATGTTCCACCTTCACCACACATTGACAAGGCCACGGAAACGCTTTCAAGCACATCCTCGCTGGTGGGGCCGCGGCCGACCAGCGAGGACACATTCTTAGTTGAAGACTTCCCTCCCAGACTTCCCGACCCCAATATGTGGAGCTAAGAAAAAACGAGCACTCGGAAGCACCAACTGGTACATTCCCGCCAAAGTCGCAGAGGATAGTCGAGTGGCGCATTATCATACCAACAGTTCTCTTCCCTTACGGCACCACCTCGGCTGCAGCGATATTAAGAGAGGACTCTCCTCTAGCAGGAGCTCACTATAACACACATCCAAGGGCTCGACAAGCACACTTAGAGTAGCCACCTTGAACCAACCCTTTACTTCGGGCCAGCCATGTCAGTCGCCCTAAGTTTACCATGGGTTACCAAAGCACGGCTACTAAGCCCCCCCCTCCCGTCCTCCCTCTACCACGACAAGGCGGCAATCCGTTCAGGGAGGAGTTACTTCTCACCTGAACTCACGCAAACTCACTAAGGACATTTATAATTTTGCAGTCCCAATATAATTTATAATTTTATTACCTTGATACAATAAATTGGTCATATTAATTATACAGATTTTGTTCGCGACGGTTTAAAGACTTTAAGCAAAAAGTGATGAAAGAATATTAATTTGTTTAAAAAGTGAAATTAGCAACAAAATCGAACAAATTTTGTATTAATATGGTTTTACAATGTGTTTACAACTCTTAATACATATATTTGTATAGAATGTCATTTTTAATAATAGTTGATATAAACAACTTTAAGCATTTAAGAAAAATTCGACCAATCACAGCGCATCATATCGTGGAACTTTCTGGAAGTTAAATTAACTGCGCAATAGTTAGTATGAAAATAATAAGAATATTTTTGTGTTCTAAAAGAGTTGTAAATATGATATTTAGTTAGCATATGATGTATAGATTGCAATAGTAAAGAAATAATTTGTGTAAATAGACGCATTTAATAAATATAGAAAAATTAAAGATTTAATGTACACATTTGTTACGAAAATTTGGTACATTTTGTTTAATAACTTTTTTAAATGTAAATATATTGAGTAACCCACGGAATATAATAAGAATTAGCCTTGTATAGAAAATATTGCGATTTGTGCTAAGTACATAATGAAAGTGTTTAAAAATAAAGAGGCAAAACCGGAAAATGGCAAGCGGCTCTCTATACAGTATAGCCGAAGTCTACCTTATGGGGGCAAATCACAGTAACGTTGTAGAATGAAGAACTACCAGTGGCATCCAGCGTTAGTAGGAAGAACTACCAGTAACAAGCCAGTACCAGTTTTAGACAGTGGTAGAGCCACGCGACAGCTTTTGCTGTCGCATGGATGGGCCGGCTCGAACCGGGGTGGTACCACGACCTCACAGAAAACCAGCGTGAAGTAGGGGTTTACCTCTGCGTTTCGCTTGGTGAGTGCAGGTGGCCGGAGGCCCTTTTTACTGGAAATGAGGCATTCCATCTTAGTCCTCACGGGTGACAACGCATCTACATATTGATTTGTGATAGAGGATAGATGTAGATGTCTATGGGCCACAGCAACCACTTACCATCAGGTGGACTGTGTGCTCGTTTGTCACCCTTATCCTATATAAAAAAAAAAAAAAAAAGCAGTAGTATCCGGTAGTAGCTGAAGTGACTAGTAGCAAAACACAGTGAACAGTTATAGTGAAATAGAAAAAGTTTAGCTAGCCGAAAAAGGTCGTAACTGAAAATCGCAGTTACACATAGTCGAAAAAAGTGGTAACTGAAAATTCGCAGTTACATATAGTGAAAAGTGTTAGCTAGACGGAAAAGGTGGTAACTGATATTCGCAGTTACACAAGTGTTAAATTCAACTAATTTTAGTTGATTAATAGCTGCTAGTCACTAGTGTTAGAAAACCAGCTACTACCAATAGATATTTTGATACTACCAATAGATATTTGTTACTTCCAATAGATATTTGTTACTTCCAATAGATATTTGTTACTTCCAATAGATATTTGATATTACCAATAGATATTTTGAAAATACCAATAGAAATTTTAATACCAATAGAAATTTTAATATTACCGCACATTTTAAATTGAATCTTTTGAAATATATAGTGACCAACCGATAGTGAATAACCGTAGTTGAACAACCGTGTTCAATAACCGTGGTCAATAAATAAATAGTTATAAAATTTCGCGACTAATTAATCAGTCGAACCGCTGGCCACTCCCTTGCTATTTTAATTTGTAAATCGTGCATTTTAATTTTGAACCTCAGTCCACAGTTTTCCAGCAACACACACAAAGACGGCAGTGAAAGTATCCTCCGGAACCTATAGGTGTAGGACGTGAGCGACTCGCGGAGTATCTCCGACAACATTTACTCCGGAGAGTTACGCCCGTCCGGCACAGATTTAACAAAATTACGTCTTGTAAACACAAAGTCATCATCAGGCGACCTTTCTACACTTGGCTGTGGCTATGGGCCTTCAGTCTGGGCGAAAATAAGGAGAGAAGAAATAAAAAAAAATTCGAAATAATAATCCAATACTTTTATACTTACAGGTACTGGTACTACCAGAAAATATTGTGGGTATACTGCACTTTTTCAAAGTGGTGCGTTTCTCATGTCCAATAAAACAGTCGTCTGTGAAGTGTTTAGAACAAAGATAATCATTTTGTTTCGGACGTCAATTTTTAGCCATAATTTTAGTCTAGGTTCTAGTTCTAAAACTAGTTCTAGTTTTAGGTAGGTTGGTTGTGAAGAGATATGGGTAGAAAAAGGACATCGATAAGTATTATAGGCAAGGAACTCAACAACCCTATTGAATTTTATTGTTTATGAAAACTCAGTAATATAAAGACATGCATGTTGGTAATTACGATATTAGATTAGTAACAAATTTTTAAGTACCTATGTTATCAAATACTGTTAATTTGCTTAATATTAGCTGCAAATTGACTTACTTTTGGAATGTTTCCCACTTTCCTTTTGGTAACGAGTTTTACATATTACGTACAATCTCATTATTACTAAAAATAATTCTTATTATGTAACTAAAATCAAACAATCAAACCACATAAAATAAATTCATTTTTGGTTTAAAAATTCATGATACAGAGATATGATTTAAATAATACAACAGACGTTGGCATATTTTGTCGATTTTAGTTCCCGGTACGGACAATGAGAGCACTTCAAATCGGCATAAGCATTTTGTATGGCATAGGCATAGCCAGTCCAGCATACTTGTATATATAGAGGTCAGTGCACTTTATGATAAGTCGGACTCGGAACTAGAAATACTGTTGCTACATGTAACTCCTTTGTCTTGCTACAAGCTGATGTGAAAGAAGTCGAAAGAACACTCATGAACTTGAGATCAGATGGCGCTCCTGGTTGGGACAAAATTCCCATCACGTTCTTAAAACTTGTAAAAAACGAAATTGTACCTATAGTTACTCACTTAGCTAACTTATGTTTTGAGCAGGGCGTTTTTCCAGCCCCGCTAAAAAAGTCAGTAGTCACTCCTGTATACAAGAGTGGGGACAGGGATGATGTGCGTAATTATAGGCCAATTTCGGTACTGCCAGCTATTTCGAAGATACTTGAGAGACTTTTGAATTCTAGATTATTAAATTACTTAAAAAAATTTGCTTCTATCGACGTCAAAGTTTGGCTTCAGACAGGGCAGATCAACTGAAGATGCAATAGCTGCTCTTAGTCAGCTAGTTACTGAGACGATGGATAAAGGGATCAAGTGTCTGACTGTTTTTTTGGACCTCAGGAAAGCGTTTGATACCGTTTTCATCCCTATTCTTGTCCAAAAACTAGAACAATTAGGTATCAGAGATGTTGCGCCATCTCTCTTTAAGAGTTATCTCTCTGATAGAATGCAAAGAGTGAAATTGGGTCATTACATCAGTGAAGACGTTGCTATATCTTATGGTGTACCACAGGGAAGTGTGTTAGGACCAACGCTTTTTCTTATATATATTAATGACTGTAATCTAAAAATTGAACATGCGCACATCTTTTCCTATGCCGATGATATAGCAGTCGTTTTCTCTGGGAACAACTGGGCTGATGTGAAGAATAATGCTGAATCTGGCCTGCACTTGATTAACAACTGGTTAAAAAATAATTTGTTGACCCTGAATACAGCCAAAACTAATTACATCTGTTACAGTATTTAAAATCATTCACAACCTGACACTAACTTCAATCTATTAATTCACTCTTGCAATCCTGAAACTGAACCCACTAACTGTAATTGTCCTGCTAT